CTGTTTATTCAAAGTCTGCTAATTGAGTGAACTAAATTATGGTCCTTTTTTGAGGTCCACCAAATGTCTAATATCTATAGATAAGATTAGAGAGAGAAAGGAACCCCTGACGTATCGGGGTCCCTGTCCTTTGAAGTAGTCAGGACAGAGAGAAAGGAACCCCTGACGTATCGGGGTCCCTGTCCTTTGAAGTAGTCAGGACAGAGAGAAAGGAACCCCTGACGTATCGGGGTCCCTGTCCTTTGAAGTAGTCAGGACAGAGAGAAAGGAACCCCTGACGTATCGGGGTCCCTGTCCTTTGAAGTAGTCAGGACAGAGAGAAAGGAACCCCTGACGTATCGGGGTCCCTGTCCTTTGAAGTAGTCAGGACAGAGAGAGAAAGGAACCCCTGACGTATCGGGGTCCCTGTCCTTTGAAGTAGTCAGGGCAGAGAGAAAAAGGAACCCCTGACGTATCGGGGTCCCTGCCTTTGGAGTAGCCGGGGCAGAGAATAGAGAATAGAGAATAGTTAGTGAAACCATGGTGTAAACATAAAAGTAATTATAAAAAGGGAAACGTTAAACACTAAAGAGTGCCTTTTGTTACTAGTGTGGAAAGTGATCACTTCTAGATTTGGATGACAAAAGTATAAAGAACAACATCAGTTATATTCGCTTAACAAAGTAATCTTGAAAGTTATTCTTCTGTATCTTTTTGCCTGTGTGTGTGCGTCGCTCTATCTGCTGCCGTTGTCAGGGAAACGGCCCCCTCCTTCGCTGCTCTGGCTGTGAATCTGAAGCAAAGCTACTGCTTTAGGAATTTGGCTTTTCATAGTAGTTATTCCGTTAAATTTGCTAAATTTGCCATTTGAACATTGTGTTAGACACAGTTAAACGTTTTTAAACACCATTAGGGAATAGAAGTTTTGAATTAGTATGTTTTTGAAACCCAAAGATTAGTACAAAAAGCTTTGCTTTTCTTTTTAAATCTGCTGCTTATTTTGTGAGTCCATTATTGTATCTCTGATATATTTCATAGCTGTTTGTGAGAATTTTTTCATGTATTTTTTATTTTAGTTACAAAAGCCGTTTTTCAAACATTTAAATTAGAATCTGTTAAAAGTGATTAATGATTGTAGACTTCGTCTAAAAAAGAAAGAGGGAATTAGGCTGTAAAAGTATTATATTATTAAGTTAAACTACCCAATTCACCCAATTCACATGCAAGTGGTGACTTTTGTTTTTGTTTTGACTACACGCCTGACCTTGTTGCTCCTGCTGATGCCACAGCAGAGGAGACTGGTCTAAAATGTGCTCCAATTCATACTGACTTCATTTGAAAAATGCTGCAATTATTTTAAATTAGTAAAATATATGCTGAGATAAATGCATAGATAATTAATCACACAGTGCAAAAGTACATAATACATATTTTAAAGTTTAAGAAGGTTTAAGAGATTTGAGTCTTGTTTTTTATATTGAGAGTTTCTGGTTTTAAAATGTCATCATTAATAAGATAATAAGTAATCTTTTATTTACATAGCGCTTGGGAAAACCCAGAGCGCTTCAAAATTGTTTTGACTTTAGGGAGAAAAACAAGCTCATTCACAATCTCTGTTGTTTTTAATTTGACTATAAGGTTGTTTTCCAGAACCAAGAGCACACACTGTACAGGGTCACTGGACTGCTGGACACTGGACAGCGCAAAGCCCACCCAGCCACAGGTCACAGATCAAAGAGCAAAGGGAAATGCCACCTCCTTGCCCCTCCCCACGCCACTGCAGAACTGAGTGGGTGTGAGAGAGACCGGGGCCATGAAAGAGAGGTATCTGGAGACGTGATGGGTGGAGCATCAGGGAAAGACCTGAATGAGAGTTGAGAGTGTGTCCAGTTGGTTTGCATCACCACAGTGTGACCTTTGAGACCTGCAGGTGGTTCGTGGAGTCTGGAGAAACAACCCCAAAATTCACATACACACACACACACACACATACACTCACACATTCACATTTACATATAGATACATGAAAAAGTAGAACATGAGGAAAAAGCATTTTAAAAGTTTACTCCAATGTAAACACATATTTTTAATTGTCTATCACTTGAATCTTTAGTTGAATCAGTATTTTTTGAGACCAGAAATGTTCATTTGAATTCTATATTGTCATGGACTAATTGACGTCTGTCCTGACACTTTTGATTTGTTGATTTTGTACTGTGTGAAGTAATTACATTGATGAGGATTAGATCTGATAAAAACACAAATTAGAGAAGTAAACTGCGCTTGCTTTTGTCTGAGAGACATTAGCAACAGCATGAATAGAAATTGTGTTAAAGTAGAATCAAAGTGATTTAACCATAGAGAGTAACTATTGCATTACAAGCTGTGTACAGGAACTGAGACACTGCACCATTGACCAGAAGTGCATCGCAAATGACCTGATGTGCTTCAACTGAAAAGACTGTATCTGGAGATCTGATGTACCTGGAGTGACCAGAATGAATCTGGAGTGACCAGAACCATGGCTTGGACCCTACTGATGTCCAAGATGACCTGACCTGATGACGACTGAGACTCACCCTCAGGGGACCTGAGGACCTGAGGACCTGAGGATCTGAGAGAGAAAAACTGGGGAGTGATGTTTATATTTTTGAAATCATACATAGATGAGTGCTAAATGAGAGAGATACTCATGATTCTTCTTTTGTTTTTGTTTGTCCCTAGCTTCTGGACATCTAATGATCTATTGGACACAGCCATTTGCAGAACAAGAACCAGCCAATGAAAAATCGTCTATTGCCGATGCTATTGCTACAACCAGAACCTGTGACCAAATGCAATATAAATGTTAAGTATTCAGACATCTGACAGACAAAAACTTTGACTTTTTTAGTCTGGTAGACTGAGCAACTGTTAAAATGTTTGAAAATGATAAAGTTTGAGTATTGTAGCGTTTTAGTAGATGTTAAATAGTAGTAAAAGAGTAGAATTTGACTTCCTTTGTTTTTCATAAACACATTTCCACATAAGAGTTAAAATAGTACCCTACAATGTTATCCTTTTGATAGATCAGCTATAATATTAGAATCAGAGTTATGTTACAGCCATTAAAAGTGACAGAAGTCACAAATTAGAAATATGCCTTGACTCAAGCTGCAACCGAGCTTTTGAGTCAAAAAATGAGTGTAGCCTAGATTAATGCCTAGATCAATGAGATAGATTAGAACCAACAGAGATTCAAAAGCATTTAAAAGCATTTTGATGCATTTGGGTGTAGCACAAAAACACAATAGTAGATATTTGGATATCTTTGAGAAGTTTCCAGCACAAACACCATTGTAGAATAACTGACCCCAACCCCAAACCTGCTAAAATAGATTAGCTCTTGTATAATACTAATTTGATTAATGATGTACATTCATCCCAAACTGCCTGACAATAATATCTTTAGATAATAAAAAGTAATAAATCACTGACCACTATAGAAGTGTAAATGTTGACCATTTGCCTTACTGTGTTCACAGTTTTATTCCTGAGAATGAGAATAGAGATGGAGCAAAATCCCACTGATAATATGCCACTGATAATTAGAGTGTAAACCACAGAACAGAGAGATTTATGTGAATAGATTAGAATAGTTTTAAACTATAGTGATAATGAAAGTAAAGTACACAGTCTAAGATTGAAAAGTGAAAATAATACAGTGAAATAAGTGAAGTGTAGTGTAAACAATTAGCATTAGAATAAAAGTATAGAGTAATAAAAGTGAAATTAGCTTCAAATTTGAGACTCAGCTCGTTTTTGTCTGTGTTTTGACTGAATCTGCTGAGTTCTTGTGTGTCCAATAGTTTTTGTTTGTTTTTATTTTTGTTTGTTTTTATTTTTGATTTGTTTTTTGTTTGTTTATTTACTTTATTTTTGTTTTTTATTTTTTCCCAGGATAGAGGATAAAATCCACTGATATTGATTTGATGATTATGAGTTTAATGCATACATTTTCTTTGTTTTTTAATAATTTTGTAAAGTTTTTTTTTTTTTCTTCTTTTTCCACTTTATTGATTGATCAAATTGAATGATCACATGTGATTATGTGATCAAAGGGGAGGGTATTAGTATTAGATAGCAATATGGCCTACGTGCAGGACTGTACAAGGACTCTACAAGGACTCCATGTTATGACTATGATGTGACTGTCTCTTTGTGACACGTATGTCTTTCGATGTGTGACGTGACAATGACTATATAAACTGTGTACTGCCTTTATTCTGTCTGAGAGGAAGAAACAGAGTAAACCAGTGGAACTTGAGAGAAACTTAAATAAACTTCCAGAGTTTGGCACACCACGATCCGTCTCTGTCTGCTGAATCCTGACACGTAAACCAAACAAGTCCAGGAAACAATAAAAACTAAATATGTCCTTGTCACGCTTGCTGTTAGCACAATGAAACACAGCACAATTGTATGGCATTGCTTCAAAGAACTTAAATGACGCTTCGGAAGACTCTAATATGACATTATAGAGCGTGACCATTAAGCTACAGCAGCTTACTATAGAGTACATGAGTATACCACCAACATGGCCGACTTCCGGTAAGCTGAGCCTTGTTTCACAGGATGTGACGTCACGTGAAAGTCATGTATTGTTAACTGACACGCTTTGCCTTTATGATCCAATGTTGTACCTAAGTGTCATTATATGATTCAGTGTTGTATTCCATGTTAGAATAATCTTGTTTTCTCCTGCACCAGACACCTCAGAAAGCTCTGTTATCACCTACCACCTATCTCCACCCACATTTAAAACTCCCAGCTGGGTTATACAGGACAGGGGTAATAATGTCGCAATAATAAAAGCCCATAAAACACGTCTGTAGCTTGTTGTGGTGGAATTAAATATTGAGCTACAGTTCTGCAGATTTATGAACATATATCAACATTGCTTCTCAGCCTGAAGGTGAAAGAGAAGGATCTGCACATTATAAAAGAACGTTAGAACTTTAAAGAAGCAAATTGAGGAAAAGTCACGAGTGGCTACGGTGGCTACCCAAACAAAAACTGTGCTGCACACAGCGCCCCCTGGTGTATGCTCTGTTCGCTGCAAGTTAAATATCAAGGACATTTATCATCAGGCCAATGTGATTATTGTTTTCAGATTCACAAATGCGATAACGCTATTTCAAACAATCTTTCTTGTTTGTTTTCAGAAAAAAACGCTTTGTGACTCTGGTCTGTGAAAAGTGCTATATAAATAAAGATGTCTTACTATTACTTACTTTATTTATTAACAGAAAATAATGCAGTGGAACATTGAACAATAAAGTACATCATCCAGAGCTCAAACTCAGACCAGGCCAAAGCTATACTGTTTCTTGCACCGAGTCATGACGGCTAGTGTTCAGTTGTTATGTGGGAGGACAGTTTCTGACAGAGAAGGAAGTGACAAACCACAGGAGCAGCACAAACAAACCCAGTCCAACAAACACAGCGCTATAACAATGCCCTCAAAGATCACACAGCTCAAACTGTGTATACTGAGTAACTTGGTACACCTGTCAAACTAAAGACTTTCCACCGCTAATACTGAGGCATGACTCTTTACGCACAGTTCTGTCACGACGGACCCGGACGGACTTTACCTGAGCGCGCGCTCCGCAGCCGCAGCAGCACCCTGTAGTGGCACCCAGAGGTGTCACTGTGGGCCCTCAGCCTGGTCAGAGGCCACAGCGCACAGAAGGGCCTCAGCTCTGAGGGCGCATCACTCTGCTCCTCCATCTCCTTCTGTCACCTACTGTGCACCTACTGTGCACCTACTGTGCACCTACTGTGCACCTACTGTGCACCTACTGTGCACCTACTGTAGCACGCATCAGGAACTGTCCCTGTCTGCAGACCCGCCTCTTTGAACCCGGTGTTCTGTCGGTTTATGTCAGTGTGGTGCCACACAACATTACTAGAACACTAAAATCAAGCGCTTTTTAACCACAAGTAAAGTACTAGGCCTAATAATACCATTATTACTTGGCAACACTGCGAGGACCGTCAAGATGGGCTGCAGGTCTGGATAGTTGACAGCACTGCTGTCACTGCACTGCTCTGAGCTGAGCTGGTCACTGTCATGTGAAAGGGGAGGAGGCAAAGAATGTGCAACTATATTATATACAACTTCTGCAGTAGTTGTGGAAATATGTTTTTATTGAAACATGTTTAATTTAGATCAAGCAAAATGTAAATGTTTTGTTCTGTATAAAATACAGATCAAGGCACTCTCTCTCCCTAACCAGATTTCACATTTCAAATGTATGCTCTAAAAACAGATTATGTCATCAGTAGTTCTGATGTAAACTGATGATCACCAGATTTTCAATCATTCATGCAATAACTAGACTCATACTCAGCAATGTGGCTGAGGTGTCTGGAACAAGGACACACCAACAGCTTGGCACTTTGCAGCTCCACTGTGGCACCTCCCAGGGGTCTCCCATCACAGTCCTGACCTGCAAGGGCAGGAAGGACGGCTGTGTTTTCAACCAAACTATTGTAGTATGACCCTCCTGATGCAGATTAGTAATTCTGACTAACACATATTGGTCGGAATATGTTTGGTTGTTGAATATGTTCGGTTTGAGTGATAGTTTGGTGTTTGGTACGTGTTTTTAGAGTGTACATTACAAGCCTGTACCACAAAGTGACACACTCAGATCTAATAAAAGCATGCAAGCATTGGCCATACATGTGCTCAGTCTGCACTAATAATGATCTGTACATGTGATAAAATACATTTGTGACAAAGAGTAAAAAGTATGTGACACGTTTTTAGGGAAAACTGTGCAACTGTCAAAGAGTCCCAGACATGATTTGAGTGCTCTGCATAGATAGATTATATGCTTTAGACAAACTGTAGAATGTTGGACTGAACCAAAACCAGTTTTGGGCACAGAACTGAGGACTGGCAGAACCATCTGTGACCCTAACCCTAACCCTCTTCGTCAGAGGTTTTGGGTACAAAGGACAAGATCGCGGATACAAGAGTTCAGACCGAGTTTTATCCACGTGATCGATGGGCACTCCCTCAGGGTTAGGGGCTGTCACACAGGAGGAGCTCGGAGTTCAGCCACTGCTCCTCTGCTCCTGGTGAGAGAAGGACTCCTGGACGCCACAGGGACATGCTGAGGCTCTTGTGGCTCAGCCGGCGGCCTGGGACACAGGAGTAAGTCTCTTTGAAGTTGAAGAGATGGATGCACAACTTAAACTTTCACAGACCTGTTTTGTCCATCTGGTGTGACCCAACAGGTTTTTATCTGGAGACCGAGCCAGGACTGGACAGCTCCTTTGTGACGTCACATGAAAAGTCTGCAACAAATAGAGAAAGTATACAGGTCAGAGTGTCAGTGCTGTTTTTAAAATACACATGTCCAACACAACATGTTCCTGATGTTTAAGCCATGTTTGGATCGTCATGCAGGAGAGTCCACCTTATATTATTGACAATGTAACATAGGAAGAAATTCATTTTAAAAACGTGACTAAACACATTTCATAATTTACTATTTCAAACATCACATTCGAAGGGACTGTACGTGATGTTTTCATTCTTTTATGTGAGTCAGATCAGTCAACCTGCTGAAAAGTAGAAACTTGAGTCATTCTTACATAAAAAAAAAAAACAATGGACACAATTCCACAATATTTATTGCTAAGATTTTCAAGCAATCTCAAAAAAATAAATAAATAGCACCACACATTTGTTTAGATTATAGCAATGTTCTTTTTTTTCCCCTGTTTCTAAACCCCAGCAGGTGGTTTGCATCAGAGGCAGAAGATTCTGGCAACAGACATGATATTTGAATAGCAATGACTTCATTAGACACTAAGAGGTTTACAGTAAATGAACTCTTCATTGTGATATTATATTGTTAACTTTAAATTAGTAATATGTTTTCAGATGTTTTTAACTGCAAAAGTTCAATCCAATGAATCTTGAATCTTCATATTACATACAAGTCTAAATAAAATAAATAATACTGTCCCTTTAGGATTCAGACTTGAGGACAGGACAGGGCAAGTCAGACATATATTTTTTTTTAACTCTTTTGAAAGACTTTGCAAAAGTGGTGTCCACAGTTTAGAAGCACACGGTGAAATGATCCCCGTACAGACACTTCCTCCAGAATCGATAGGCAAAGCTTTTAGAGCAGCCCCTTCCTGGAAACAGCCCAGGGCTTCAGTAGATTGAATACAGAGCACTCAGACGCTAACAGCTTTATCCTGCACCACCACAGCGTCATCACAGAAGGTGCACTAACTCCAGCGCTCAGCTGCAAACTCAATTACACTTTAGATTTACGTCTCTGCATGAAACCAAGGAAACATGAAACACATCACACATGTACCTTTTGTAGACGGAGGGCTGTGTGCGCTACACTTCCTCTCTGCGCAATGTGCAGTCTGCAAGACAGAAACAAGAGATGTAAACAAAGACCTGTGTGACCTGGAAATGTTTATTTTTTATTTTATTTGTATTGTTTATGTATACAGGTGAAACTCTTTTTATTACACAAGTTGTGAGCCAAGGATCAACATTATAACAATAAGACTTGATATATCTCACCTCATACCTGTAGTGAGTAGTTTCACTTTGTAAGTAAATGGAGCGATATTCTAACTTCCTGAGTTTCACCTGTTGATAAACAGATCAGTCTCTTTGGTAAAAACACAAACCTGAGAGTTCCTCACTGGAGAATGTTGAGCCACATCTGTAACAGAGGAGAAACCTTTACTCTCCACAGAGAGGACAGTGTTGCACAGACTTATAGCATTATCATTTTCAAACTCACAGATTTACAGTAATCATGTTCCAATCTGAGATGTTTGTGAATATTATAATGAAAATGACACATTACATTAGTTACACTGCTGTACCTGCTTCAGGCTGTCTGCAGACCTGGAAGGGGGAGGCAGGGGTGGGTCTCCTGCGTCTGATCTGTGAATGTAAACAGTTGCATTGATCCATTGTTATTATACAGCAGTTTTCTTCAAACAGAAGAAGATATTCCACTGATATTAAATTGAATCTCACAGCTGTTTGTTACATGTTTGGATCCATGCAAGAGGAGAACACTGTCATTTCATTTAAGAAAAAAATCTGCTTCGTCTGTTACCGATTTATTCAATTCAATTAGACTTTCAGCAAAATACAACAACATCAATTTTGAAAACTGGCAGTGACGAAGAAACACCTTTTTCTTCTATGTCTGTGATAACTGTGCCTCAGATCTTTAAATGCCCAACCCTCAATTCAAGCAGATGTAAATATTCATGATTAAAATATAGAATCTCTAGATATTAACTATCATAAAAGAACACAAAAATGCACTGTAGATTCCTCACATTAACATATAATCACTGTCATCAAAAGCACTCCCATTTACATTTTATTTGAAACTTGTTTTTAAAGTAGAAGTCTCACTTGTTCTGCAGCCTGAGGGTCCAGCTGGTCTTGCAGAGGAGGGTCACAGAACTGGATCTTTTTGGGACTGCTCGGCTCCATTTTCACGAGTGGAAGACAAACACATAGAGCTGTAATAGATCCATGGACAAACCCTGAGAGCAGAGAGCGAGGAGAGGGTGTGGCTCCGCTCCAGCATCAACAACAGATGGACACAGGCACAGAGGGGCGTGAGCTCTCAGAAAGAACACAACAACTGCTCACTCTTTGTGTCAAAATACTGTCCTTTTGTGTTGATATGATGTGAAGACAAACAAAATCAGATGCAATTCAAAGGTTGTGGCCAATAGATTGGACAGACCACACAACACACAACACAACAGACCACACAATACACTACACAACAGACCACACAACACACAACACACTACACAACTGAACACAACATATTTCAATATTTCTTTGTCTTACTTTTCTTTTATCATTGTTTTGAATTCAATATTGAACCTTCATATTTTGTCCGTGATCTCACATTTAAATGTTACTGAACCACTTCGGACCATGTGACTACAGCACCATTCGACTGATGCACGTGTTTGCAATAGGACATTTTTCTCATGCACCTCAGGCACCGGGCGCACGGACTGATTTATAAATATTCAGATTATTACGGTTCAGCTTTTTGGCACAATTCTCAGTTTTGATTCTATACACTTCCACAACAGATTTAAATTGAAAAAAAAACTTGACCTGCAGAGTGTGAATACTGAGACAAACTCACAAAAAAGCATCCAAATGTCACTTTTTATTATTTGGTTGTAAATGTAATCAAAGCCTGAAGTCTGAGTTAAAGACGATGTAGAGTTGCTCCTGCGTCAGGCCTGTGTTGTTACGTGTTCAGTTCCTGCGTGTTCATGTGAACTCTGGCCTTTGTTTTGTCTTCAACAAGGGAAATGCTTAACAAACGAATGCAGGATTTATTGCTAATTTGGAGCGGTAACCATGGTAACCAGGGTAACCAGGGTCATGGCGTCCATCACCCTCACTGATTAGTTGCTCCTGTGCTTATTCTTACTCTTTTCGTTACATCACTTTGGTACAAGTTGATCTTAGTCTTGTCAAACTGTGTCGTTTCAAACATGTAAAGCACCAGAACTGAAGGTTTTTCTTGGTTATTGACACAGACGTCCACCTCCCGGTGATCTGGATTTGTCCAACCATCTCACTGATTCTTCTTTCAAAGAAAAGTTCATTTGGACACATTAAATGAATTTCATGTTTTGATGATTTGGTTTTGCTTCACTGACAGCGACATGTGTTTGGATCTGATATTGAAAATGAACAGGAATGCACTTTAAATCAAGTGTCAAGTTTTCTCAAAGGAAAATGGGATAATGAAGGAAAAACACACATCAAAACTGCTGGACACCCAAATGTCCCAAAACATGATGATCCACTGTTCACCTGATATGAAAGTCAATGCACACAAATGAAAGCGGACACTCTGCAGCTCTTGTTGTAAATAATATATAGTAAAAAACAAACAAATAGTGAAATGTCCCAATATTTACTGTATTTCACGTATGTAAGACTAGTGAAGAAAATTACAATTGTCTGGGATTGTGTCTTTCAGACAGAAGACATGTTTTATTGTCGATGTTAGACGAGCACGAACAAAGATTCACAGAACGTAAGTGATGTTAGACAGCATGGAGGAATTAAAACCTCCAATCAGCATTTTCCACAGCATTTGCCAAACTAGTTTGACATCTGTTCTGTGCAGACAGAAACAGTGGAGGTATCGGAGAAGGAAAAAAACTATTGTGGTGGTCCTGGAGGCTGGGACTGAAGGCTGTAGGAGGGCAGTGGCAGCACAGAGGCCTGCAGCCCATAGACCAGGGTCCTGGTCCAGAGGGGAGGGTAAGGCGGAGTGTGTTCATGGGAAGGCGGCGTCCGCTGAGGCCAGGGCAGAGAGTGTTCATGGGAAGGTGGCATCAGCTGAGGGTAGGGCAGCGTGGGGGGCAGCGTGGGGGGCAGCGTGGGGGGCAGAGTGGGGGGCAGAGAGGGGGGCAGCGTGGAGTGCAGCGTGGGGGGTAGCTGCAATGGTACAGAGGGCTGTGAGGGGAAACTCCCACTGTTCTCAGGCAGAGGCATGTCTACAGGCTGGCGGCGGATGGTGTAGTGCGGGTCGTAAGTGTGTCGTGGGGGTAAAACCTGTAGGTTGAGGACAGACTGCACTTTGGGAGAGTGAGAATCCAGCAGCACAGACACTAGGCTGCGGTCAGTGCTCCTCTCGGGGGACTCTCTGGTGGGACCCCTCGCTGCCTCCACAGGTGCCAATGTGTCCTGTGTCCACTCTTCTGTGTCTGACTCTGAGCTGCAGGAGCTGGACTCGGACTCTCCTCCAGACCCTGAGCCCTCAGAAGAACTGGAGTCATTGCGGTGAGGAATGTGGCTGTAGCAGGCTGCGCACCGGGTCAAGTCATGCATGTCCAGTTCAGCCATAATCTAGACACAGCAGAAGAACATTGCACTGAATGACATTGTGCTCCTGGTGCTGGCAGACCACTATAATAAAGAACAAGTGAATCAGGCTTTGGAAAGAGAGAAGTGTGGTCCATACAGTAGGTCTAAAGCATTTTCTCCCTCTGTGATTTGAATGACTTACCTTGCCCTGTCTTCCTTCCAGTTCAGCTTTATTAAAATAACAAAACAAAACAAAATCATAAATTACAAAGACATTATTTTTTTGCCTTGAATTATATTCACTTACTGTGGTATTCTGCCCCTTGCCTTTTCCTGGTGTGACTGGAGTGGCTCATGTGAGAGTGAGAGAAAATGTTGGGTTGACATTGATGGCACTATTCTGTTGTTCCTGTTTGTGTGTGTAAGGACAGCCCATGGGCCTCAGCCACGCATACACCTTTGGCAAATAAGGAAGGAAGATACACCATGTTCTTGTGACAAAGGGAACCAGATCAGAGGCGGTGGAGCTAAAATACACTTAATAAGCCACTTCAAATACATGTTAGTGTAACTGTACAGGCTGCTTCAGGAATTTCAGAAAAAGGGCCTGGGAATGAAAGGTAACCACATAAACTTTCATGTTTGAACTTTTAAAAAAAAGAGGAATTGGTTCTATTAAATAATTATGTATTGGTTTTATATTGTGCTGTTTTGGACACTCAAAGACGCTTCACATGTCATTATTCATTCACTCCAAACACAGTGGTGATAAACTACTACTGTAGCCACAGCTGCCCTGGGGCACACTGACAGAAGCGAAGCAACCAGTATGTGCCACCAGCGTCTATGACCATTCTGATCTATTCTTGCAAATGCCAAACTCATTATAGGCAGTGTGTGTGAAATGTCTTGCCTAAGAACACAACCATAGTTTGGCAGTTTACAGCTGTAGCCGCCCCCCTGAGGCATCTGGTGTTCCCAGAGGTCTCCCATCACAGTACTAACCAGACCCTGCCATGTTCAGCTTCAGAGGCCTGACAAGATCCGGCTTTCACATGCATGTATGGCCAATTTTGGTATAGAATTTAAACGATCAAATGTATTTCAGCTCTGGGTTGATACTTCAAAGTGTGACTTTGTAAATGCACGTATAGAAGATAAACAACCATGTTACAGCGACCACCTGAGCCTGTCCACCTCCATCTCAAAACGACTGGACATTAAATAGACAACAGTAAACAAACAGTATCTATTTTGGATATTGAACAATAGAAGTCATCGTTTGATATATAACTCAAGGCCGTCTTTTCCGCTTTCTTAACGGAGTCTGATAATTGAATCTGTTTTGACCTGGCACACAGTCCTTTGACCCAGATGCTGTTCCTTTAGATAAGCATAAACATGTCGCTATCAGCTGACCCTGCTGCCAGAACAGAACCAGAATAGAGTACATTTGTAACAAGTCAGATTTCAGGTACATGCCTCATCAGGGCATTGATCCTGAGCAGAGGGACAAGTGCCAGAGAACCCTGTCCTTAAACATGTGAAAGTGTTTGACATGTTTGACTTGGTGTGGCGATGGCTGCTGATACTGCGCCACTTCTGCAAATAAATCCCACAGCTAAGTAAAAGCTGGTGTCTGAGCATGCAAAATAGAAAATTCAAAAACAACAATCTAGTTCTTAAGACTTTATTGCATTAGAACATACATTTCTCTTATATCTTTATTTTATATATTTGTTTTATAAATGTGTTTTTTACACTACAATCTTATTGTAACATGTTAGAAAATATTACGCTCCAAAAACATAGCACTAAAAACAGTTACCAAACAATGGTTAATACATTTCCAGATTATGTTTTAGCCACCGATAATAAAATGAAACATGGGGTGAGGAGCAGAGCTGGGACAGAGGGAGGCTGCATGGAGTGGACCATTGACTGTATGAGTCTACACTCTAAGGCGGATACAAAACCAGATTTACAGGTGGGCCTGTTTACTTGGGCTAAATGTAGAAAATTATACATGTGGTTTATGATATTGTTGGATTCAAAGCTCCAACATGTATGTCACCGTTTCACAAATATCAGTATGACAACATCAGCAGTCTGCAAAAGCTCCAGTCAGATCACAAGGTTCAAGAACCTTCCAGATAAACACAAACATTGATGATTCATTGAAAAGTTACATACAAGGGTTCCAGTTAGATGGCCAGTAAGAGGTCAAGACAAGATTTTAGAGTGGTTTTAGAGCAAAGTCCAGCGAACACATAAGAAAACGCAGACAGCACTGACACAAGACTACCACTAGAGGGAACATTGGTTCCCCCTTCACTGTGAGTGCTGCGAACTATGCTTCAGCTCAGACTGTGGGCCTAGAGTGAGCTGCTGTGGTACCTGCCCCTTCACATAATTCCACACACCCTGTAACCATCACTTATGATATGATACTGCGTGCAGCAGTATCCTGTAATACTGCTGTACAAATATGACTAATGTGTGGAAATAAACTAGTCTAAGTAAGAAAATGAACCCCAAAAAAGACGTGTGCATTTTAAACTCAAGCCAAGTGAGAATGTTGTCTCTAGCCAGTACACACTCGCTCAGAGAGTAGACAAAGGCAGTGTCACAGGGAAGCACCGGGCCCATTACCACACAAGCTATACATAGGCCACACTTCTGTATATCTATAGCCATACAATGTAAACAGATTAGGTATTTGTGGTCGTTTCATAAATGAAGAAATCATTTTCTTACATTATTTCAACTCTCTGTATTGAACTAAAGTGCAATACAGATGGAAACCTCCAGTGCAACCTTTCACATACTACACACAAACCTCTGGAAGACAACAGTCTAAATAGGGAGGAGTGCAGCATTAACTGCAAGTTTGAATTCTAACAGATTCAGTCCTTGATAAATAAATAAAAATCACTCGTAGAGCGCAAACTTCGGACAAGAGGTACAGTTCCTTCCTTTAGTTTGTTTTCTTCTACACTCCAGATCGCCTCCAAGGTCTAATTATTTGTTCATTGTCCCATTCCACAGATTTACTGAATAATGTGACAAACTCCATCCATTATTTCTACAGTTATGTTGCTGAGAAACCAACAGACATCAAACAAACCCCAATGAACACATGATGAACTCTCCTGTTTCTCAAATATTCTGCATTTGAAAATATTCAATAAAATCAGGATGGTTGTTGATCGCTCCGAATACAAGCTGCTAATGGAACCCGTCCACTAGATCGACAGGTATAAACTTGAAACTGGATAATGTCTAATCACTTGAACTATTGTCCAGTTAACTCCTACAGATTCAAAGTTAAAGCTCACACTCAGTGGCCCATGTTAGCGATGGCCTTCTAGGCCTCGTGCTTGTGTAGCTTATATTTTGATAGAGATAAAATGGTGACAAAAGAGCTGCAGCAGGCCAACGAAAGCAACTGTGTGGATCCTATGGGTTTTAGTAAAATACCGTTGACAAAATGTCTGATACAGTTTCAGTACAACACCTATACATCAACTATACATTGTGCGTTTTTTTTATCCTATTTATTCTGGATTTAATCCATGGGTATGACTTGGTCACTATTACAACACAGCAGTAGGAAGGGTAGGATGTGGGGTGGAGCCATTGACAGAAAGGTTTGATCCGTCGCAGTGACAAGACTTCATTGTATTTGTAGATGTGGGTTTGTCATGAGCATAATCTATATTCTACTATATGCTCTGGTTTGCTTTGGAAAGAATGGCACCACTGGCACTGGACTTGTTCACATTAAAACAGTTTCACTTTCTGACGATGGCTCTCAGAAGGGTCGTCTTGGCAAAGGCCTCTTTAAAGGGGAAGGGCACAACAGACTTAAAGGGATTGTGTCAAGTAAGGGGACAGATGTTAACGTGGGAACATCCAGGTTTACAGATAAAGAGCTGAGAGAAACTATGGTGTTAAATTTATTAAGAGTCTACGGTGGCACAAACATGGTCACAAGTCTTATGGGGGAATGTTAGGATATGAGCATGGCCTCCGTAACAATAGCTGGATCTTCTATGTCAGCTTTACTTTGAACCATGCGAAGCTCCAGCTGTGGGGGACTGGGTCTTCGGCCAGGACCTGCCAACTCTAGGGCACAAGAGAAATAACAAAAGAAAGATCATTCATTCAGACTGTTGTTCTGATCGCGGTAACCATAGTAACTTTCTGTGGGTAGGTCAGTACATACCATGAGCATAAGATATTGTCCTCTTGATAACATGGTGCATCACAGAAAAGGTCTTCTCACAAGCAGTCTATCAAAAGAAAACATACTCAACAATAAGGCATGGTCTGGATGAACGAAAGAAAGGTCAATGTTGAGTATTCATACCTTTAGGTCGTTTGGATAGTGATGTGTCCATGCCAACAGCATAGCAGCAAACAAATCTCCAGTTCCAACAAACACAGCATCGACCTTTGGGACTTCCATGCGTACCCTCTCAGTGGTCCGGCTGCCATCTGGATGAACTGAACATGAGCTGCATGTTAGTGTTCTTCAGAGGATCCTGGACCCAAGACTACACCGCACTCACCATGGCGCTGGCTGCCGAGAGACACAAGGAAGCGGTCTCCTAATCTGGGCGGCAGGTCAGAGGAAGTGATGACCACTGTGTCAGGGCCCATCGCGTGAAGAAGGTCCATAACCTAAAACAAAATACCAAAATTAAAAACAGTGCCCATACAACATTAATCTGTAAATATTTTAATTTTTACTTGAAATATCTCTGTAGTAACAGGTCAGTGACCCTGCCCTAAGCATAAACATGAAGTTGGCCATATTGGATCAAATCTGGGAATTAGTGCCAAATCAAAGCTGAGCGTGTTATTAGTATTATACAGCTGTATCTTCTGACATGGTTCTACAGAAGCTCCACAAAGATTAAGGAAATTCATATCAGGCAAACTGTAGGAGGAAGGCTGGTAAATAAAAAACATGTAGCCATAAATTATTGTGATGAAGCACAACAAAAGCTTATAGAGTTTAGAAAAAATAATTGTTACGAAACTTTAGGTAGCAACATTGAACACAGAATGACATGTAATAAACAAACGCGTTAAACTTATTAAAAAAGACTGAAGACTGGACAGTTTGTATAATCATTACCTCCACAGCATCCTTCTGTGAGGTGATGGTCTTCCCGGTCAATAACCTAGAAGCAAACACAGTTCATCAAGGAGACGCACTCCTCAGTTTGAAAAACAAGATGGTCTCAAACTCAGAGTTGCTGTTTTTTCTCTGAGGAAATGAAACGTTTGTACTCACTCAGCCTCAAACTGATTGGGAGTGATGATGTCTGCTACTGGAACCACCTTGTTCTTGTAGACTGGATATAAGTTCTGTGGCACGTACTGCAGGAAAACAGACCAAAGATTAAAACATGTGAACAACTACAAGTCATTTTTACAAACTAAGCTTAAAGTGTATGAAGTGCTAGTATTAACTGGGGGCCGACAAACCCTTTTTTTCTAATTGTTGGATGTTAAGAGTCCCCACTGAGGCACAGAAAGCTCTGGATCAGCAGATTTCATTTCACTACTATCAACATGTCTGTTATTGATAAAAGTCTGAAGCTGTCTCCGTTATCATAAACAATGCCACAAGGCCTTTCTTTTATTTAAATATTTACTACATGGACCTTTTATCTATACAAATAAATTGCTGCTTCAGATTTAGACATTTAATTGCAAGATTAAAAAAAACAAAACAAAAAACACAATAAGATCATTGTGGAAACATGTGTGATTGAAATCCAAACTGGTAAATTCCTACTTTTTACTACAGTTGATTGAATAATGCAATGACTACTCAAGGCCCATAACATTTAGAACACGTCTATATACAAATACCTCACCATAGAGCCGTGATCACCAAGGACTGGGTCACACACTGAAACAACAGAACCATTGGATTTCATGTGGTGTATTTGAACAGCGCTGCGTAGAAGTAGGAGACAGCAGTAGACTTACCATAGACCAGGCTGGGGTTCGCCCTCTTCAGCTCCTGAACAATGTCCACTACCATCTCCAAGAACGATGTGTCTCTGGTATACCCTGAAGCAGATACCAGAAGCAGCAGAGTGAAGGCACCAGCATGTTTACTCAGGGACAACCATGACACGTTTATTTATATAGAACAAAACATAAACAGGGAAACTCAAACCCTGTTAAAAACAAGACAGGAAATATTACAAGTCATAATCCAATCAAATCTACATTATTCATAAAGAACATTTCATTTACAAGCGGTTTCCAAAGTGCTGTACAACAAAAACATAGAAGCAAAAATAGCAACAAATAAATAAATACATAAATTAAAAAAAATTTAAAAACACAGGACCACGCGACTCAAGCGGTGTTAAAGCCAATATAAAGCAAATCTAAAATAACAGGAAGCCGGTGCAAGAACGCAAGGACGGGAGTGATGTGGTCGCACCTTTTGGCTCCTGTTTAAAACAGGAGCCAAAAGTGCAGCAAAGTTCTGAACAATTTAAAAAAAAAATCTTTTAACCTTTTTGGACTACAGTAACACACTCCACTCTGGTATTTCACACAAGGTGTAGATCAAAAAGGATTCATTTTGGATAAAGGTCGCAGATGATAAAAACTGAATTTAATGGTAAATTCAATGCTGTGGGGCGCAAACGTTCGCTCAGAGGTCCCACATCAACTTGATTGCCCCAAAGAGAATTACTTCTGTTTTTTTCTCATTCATTTTAAGAAAATTTTGGGCCAACCGAGACTTCTCGTCACATAGACAGTCGAGTGGGAGTGTCAGGAGGCCATGAGCATTGTTAGCTATGGGCAAGGAAATTTGACAATCAATAGCATAAAAATTATTTTTAAAAGTCCGTAAAGTAAAATGCGTTAATTTAAGCGAATAAGTATCTAAGAAATTGTCAAGAGTAGAAAGCTGTCTCTCATTTTCAGGAAGACAGTTCTAGATTTCCCAAAGGTGCACACATAAAGCTCTGAAACAGTCGATACAAATCCTGCACAGTCTTACTTCCAAACCTGTGATTATAAGGAACAGTGGTTACAGCAGCGAGGCTTTAGTCGGGCAAAAACAGTAAAGAAAATCACAGGTTTGGAAGTAAGTAAGTACAAGTCCCTGTACTCCTCAGGATCCCAGCAGGAGGCCAGTCCCTGTGCTCTTCAGAGTCGGTTCATGTCACAAATGTACACATCCCGGGCTGTTTTTTGTTCATTTATTTGTTATTTGATAGGGGCAACGATGATAGCTACAAAGCTACTTTTCATCCGTAGTCCTTCGGCAGGCAAATACATAACGTACAACATAAAAGACTTGTATGAAGGAAATTACAAAAAATGTTTAAGAGTCTAGTGGCAAGATTCATCTAATCTAAAATAAAATACTATTAAATTAGTACAGTAGTGATGATGACTGCAGAATGAAATGAAAATGTGATTACAAAGTACTTTTTATCAAAGAGTACGATAAGTAACAGTCATATCTATGAAGATGTTCTCCAAGGGCAACACCTGAGCTTTGTTTTAGTCAAATATATAAACATGTAAACAAACCCCATATTCACTGATCTTCAATCTAAATAACAAATAGTAGGAATAAATCATCAACAAATTGTTTATCAAAATTAAAAAAATTACAGCTCTAATGCAGACTAGACACAATCCCCATAATCTGTGATTCCATTGGGTTAGGGCTGTGGGTCTGTAAATGAAACCAATGTCCAGACTGGCATGTGCGCATTGGGGGATGCCGTCTTCTTTTAGGCAATAGTCAGTGTGTGTTTGGATGTTGCGTTGGCTGTGTGTGTCACATATTCAGACCCACGCAGTGTGCATGCACATACATATTGCTTGGAACTCAGAACAAAAACAGGAAGAATCACACCCACAACATTTGAATGGCACTGGCCTTACCTGTTAAAACATAGTCGTACTGGTGCACATTGTTGAGTTTAATGCCTTCATAAAGAACATGGAGCTCATCTGCCGTCAGCACCTGTCCTTTCCAATGGCTATATCCTGTGGAGACACAGACCACATTATTCAGACACAGACATTAATTATTCAGGCACATAGCAGAGCTGCAACAAACATAAATTATACAAACGGTAATAAGAAAAAATAATAATGAATTAAGCCTTTTCTGCTTTCCTATGTAAAAAGGCCAACATTTTAGCAGAAGCATGGAAATGAAACACTGTCATTGGACGCCTGGGTGGTCCACATGGCTCACAGGCGCCCCCTTGTGTCATACACGAGGACTGTGAGGAGGAGACACTTCAGGTGAGTCACTGCTACGTCACATGGGGCTCCAGAGGAATCTGGTTGCTAGGAGACAAGCGACAGGATAAATGAGTGACAATGAGCGGCGTTCTCACTGCTGCATGTTACACGATCATTTTCAGCAAAAACAACCAATATGTATCTGTGACGGCAGCTGTCGCCTGGAGAGAGTCCTTCTGGCAATGAAGAAGGGTCATGTCCATTTTTCACAATCAATATTAAAATAAATCAGATCTAATATGATTAAGCCTTGCCCTTTCCAGGGACAATTTTATTAATCTATATGATTAGAAGTGGTATAAAACTCTGAATAAGAAAATGAAATCTTATGATTGCAGTATAAAAGTTATAAAAATACAATTTTAAACAATCTCCTTAAGTGCAGCCTGTAAGTGACTACCTTAGGTTACTCGATGCAAATGTAAAATAATGAAAAATTTAAAATAAAGTTTCCAGCATAACCACAAAGTTCAGTGAAAGAGCAGGAGCTCTACGTGAGCTCCTACCTTACGACTAAACTTCTGGTAAGGCCACATTTTGTACAAGAAGTCATTTGTTTCAAGTAGCAGCCATTTGAGCAGGTGGCTCTCTGTTCACAAAGCAGGTGAGGCGCCACTTGCCAAGTGCATTAAAAAAACATATATACATGCCAGTGTTTTCATTGGGATATCAAATGACAACATTAATAAGACTACTGTAGTGTGATTATCCACACAATTTTTTTTATTACCTGATCTAATCCTTGTCTAGTACCAGTTCAGACCGCATCTAGTTTGGGTCTAGACCTGTTTTAATACCTATTCCTAGTAATAATTACCGCTAAGGACTTTTCATCCAAATTCGTTGGCAGTCTGAACTGGGCTTTGTGGAAGTGAGCACTAGGAATGGTGATCTCTGCATTTGACCCATCCTTCAATGCCACGGCTTGGAGCTGGAGGATACGAATGGTGGGGGAAACCAGAGTGCCTGGAGGAAACCCACCCAAACAAAGAGAAACATGCAAAGCTGGGTCTAACTCACAACCCCTAGACTGTGGAACATGAGTATAGCACTGTGTCACTCAAGCCACTGGGTTGGACACAAAGATGGGTGTTTTTAGAACATAATACTTATTTTCATTCATTTGTGGAGACGTGAAAACACAAAAAGAGTTCACTGGTCCAGTAGTCACACAAGTCACTTCAGTTCAAACAGATGCATCATCATTATGTGATTATTATTGTGCTGAGGTGGATCTGAACATTATGTATTATTTGACTCTAATAAATCAATATAACTACATATTTAAGAGGAACACAAACAATGAATACTATTTATAAAAGGAGTCTTAAATTCTTACCAGTGTGGTTGGAGAACTGCACTGAGTTAATGGAGTCCACTTCAAAGCCTAAAACCTGCAACACAAAGTTCACAGTCCATTTTGCAATTTTTCACTGTGTTTTAACTGGAAATACAGTGAAAAAACCCTGTTCACAAATGCAATGTCTCTTTGAAGACCAGCACGTACCATAAAACTGGACATGTCCAGACAGACGAGAAAAGACAGAGCCAGTCATTGTAGAATCTACACAATGTCTTTTACAAGATTTTTTTTTCAACCTTACAGACGTTAGTTCAATAACACTTGAATTAAAGCTAATTTAAAAGTTTTCTATTCAACAAGAAAGAGCAGGTGCAGTGTTCCACGGCCAGTCGGATTTTCTCTCCATCTTATTGTGAGGCTGAGGAATGTGATCCCACTGCAATGGAACCCTTCAACTCCCATCAGTCGATCTTAACCATCTCCTGAAGCCTTGCCAAGCTGCCTGCCATTGAGGATTGTGTCAACAAACTCAGTGTTGAACGATTTCTAACACCATTCAACAATATCTCCTGCCCTCAGGCAGAGGGTACAGGTCCAGAAAGGGCCAAACAACATGACAATCTGAATCCTCAAACCCTCTTCCCTTCTCTGACCCACTTCCCTCGACAATTACCACATCCATCAACAACAGCTCTGGACTTTGCATTGCTGTACTTTATATCCATCTACATGGATCTGTTACAAGGTTAGATAGCACAGATGTCAAATCTGTTTAATGAATGTTTACGTTGGGTTATTTAATGTATTATTTGGGATTATTTGGGATTCTGGGGTAAATGGACTTTGGACACCGTATAGAGACACTTATGCACTTTTTTGCAGTGTCGGGGCTCTGAACAGAGTTTTGTTGTTCTCTGTGACAAAGACAACAATGGAATAAATATCCTCAGTGGAGCACTGTCCTGTCCACTCTGCATTCGAGCCATATGAAAACCTCTGCAGCTGGTGAGCCCACAGGGGGGCAGACACACAACATCCATGAGTTTACTTAAAGAGACACACACGTTTACCGTCTTGAGAAGTTTCAAAAGATAAAAAAACACCTGAATAACATTTTTGCTTTTTGACATTTGTTGTCAATAAAGATACTGCTTGGTAGTACTTGTGCCAAAAGTCAACAAGCTGCAACTCTGATCCTGCGTCTTGAATATTATGGCCTCATTAAGTTATGCTCATTTTTGCACTGACTGTCAGCTGTGGTGCACTAGATGTCTCTGCATGACTAAACCACTCCACTTATAAAAGGTCACGTGTGAAAACTAGTTGCACATCTGTTAATGAACAAATCCAACTGACTTTCAATTTGTTCACAAACCCAATAACTTCAACTATGTAGACTATAGTGATACAATGCTCAATATATTGTTATTTTTCAGCTTGTGTTAAATGTTTGGAGTGCGTGTGTGCCTCCATTTAAGCACATTATACATTCAGAGATGCCAGGACAGCCCTGCACAAGAATTTCAATGCAATTAGTTTGTATCAACATCTCGTTCATCCAATTATTGATTATCATTATTATTATAGTTCCATTCATTGAGATGTACATGGTGGGGGAAGATGCAAAGCCCATTTAATTTAAAACACAAGCCAATGCATTTAAGGGAAGAAAATAAGGGGATAAATAAGCCAAGCTACAACTTAAGCATTCGACCTTTTGCTGGTGGTCGCACTGGAGACATCTCGATCATCTCTGTCACGAGTGGCAGGTCTACGGCCTTGTGATGAGGACCCCACAGTCAAAACCAGTCACAAACACATGACACATGAGGAAATGAGGGCTTTGCTTGAGCTGGAGGATGTCTGAACATGCAACAGTGAGAACAAGGCGGTGCGTTTACCTGTAATGGGAAAGAAGCGCTCTTGTTGCCCACATAACCACGGACTACATGGCTCTGTATGGACAGGACACGGCACTCCATGACAGCTCCCAGTCAGGCACGTCTCCTGGTTTAGCAACACGGGAGGAAGAACATACCGAGATAAAAAGAAAAGGCAAAATGCGAGCGCCACAACACGACTAGCGCCCGGTGCTAACAGCTGCTGTGTCCGAAGAAGCTCCACGACCCCGCGGCGTGACCAGGACCACCGACACACACGCACACGGCCTGGTGTTCACCTGGAGAGATGGCCTCAAAATGTACACACGTAAATGAGTAAAGTGTGCGAGAGGCTGTCAGGGGGCGGGTAGACAGTGAAGGACAAAACCACACAGGATTTCTGAACAGGCGATCAGCGGGGCCACCTCAGTCATGACGCCATCACATCAGCCTCCTCCTCCAGCTCGTGCTCCAGCTGCCAAAACATCTGGAGACGGAAAAAGATCAAAGTCTGCATCTCTGCTCTTGAGGAACGAAACAGTCCATCACGAATTTACGAACTAGCGAGTCTGTTATTTTAGTTATAATTATTTGCATATTCAACACATGCACATCTTTAAACAACATTGAACGAGATACAATGGAACAAATATGCTGGAGTTATGTATTGCCATGCTAGTGCTTAACGTTGGCATTTGCCTTTTTATCTTCTGTTGAGGTAATAGTTGTCATGTCGTCAGAGACATTTTAATTTTTTTATTTTGTAAATATCACTTTCTATAATAATAGTAAAATATTCAATATCAATATCACTGTTGAAGTTGACACATATTAGCATTTAGAGTATTGAATTTTCCCATTTTCTTTAACAAAATGATTGTACGTCAATTCATTGTTTTTTTCTCTATAAGGCATTCTTTTAGGTGCATGGTATCTTGAAATACACTGCTCCTATTGACATCCACAACTGTCCACAACATCTTTTGAGTAATCTTGCTGACTAACAAAAAGACAGACACAAACAAACAAACCCTGGTGATTACATTAGCAAGTAGCAACAACGGTACCTATCATTGAATTGGAGACAGGAATCAAGCAACTTGTTGAGCCATCTGATGACATCTGATCATAGACTCATCTGATGATCATAAATATCTCCCACGAGCGCGTGTGGCCTCTTCAGCACCACGGACAGCTCCTGTGTAGTTACAGTCCTCAACTGAAGCAAGAATCGACTCTTGATCGCAGCATTTGAAGAAACAGTCATTCTTCGTGACCTGTATATTTCAATCAAAAAAGGACCAAATCGACAGTATTGCTGTGTAGCTCATCTTTTAATTACCTCTGCAAGGGGGTAATGTAACCCACTGGCACAGGTGAGGTTTATTCGTCCTCAAAAAGGTCTGGATCCAGAACCCAACGCTTTTCTAGTTTCTTCGTGTATTTAGGGTGTTGCCTGAACACTGAGGTAATTAACTTTTCCATTGCACAAATAAATTGTGCTTTAAAATAATTCAACAAAGTCAATTCCAAGATAAACCTAGGTGTTTATGGTAAAAGTGAAACAAAAAAAGTGATTTGAATCTAAAGTGAATCAAAGCATGTTAATAATTTCCTCTGGGGTATAATAACAAATTACACACACCTCTGGTAGTACCTTGCATTGGTTCTTCAGAGCTCCAAAGCCTTAACGGTAAAATGTTGGACCAATACATGTTGCAAACAAACAGCCTTGGTCCAGCTCAAGTTTATTCTCAACATTTACACACAACAACAATATATTCTACAGTGTGAATTAATAACAGCTTGAGTTCTTGGCCCATTGCACTGGAGCTATAAACTCCCCAAAAACAGTAGTCTAGATACACTCTGGCAAAAGGGAGGATCAGTCCGCAGAGTGCAGTGGATTATGGCCGGTTTGGTTTTGTTTTTCTTTTGCCCAAAAATCCACAGTTAACCCATAGTTCATCATGTAATGGACAAACATCTCATGGAAGCGTGGTCAGAGGAACAGCTGGAACAGTATGCAGAAGTCTGGCACAGCTGTAATTATTTTCCTTTTTACAACACCAGCTATAGGCACTGCTTTGCAGGTATCTTTATAGATTCATGAGTAACTAAAATATGGCTAGATTATTTTTCCGTCCTAATTGGATGAACGCCTTCTTCTCGATTCTGACCTTAAACAAATATGTTCATTATAAAGAGCTGCTTTCAGACAAACAATGATATGGACCCTGTCCCAACAACACCCGCCAATACATTAGCATACAGTGATTTGGAATAAAGTAAAATTCAATAAATAAAGCTAAAATATAAATTCTATGTGAGGGAAGCTGTTTAAAATAGGATAAAAATAAACCATTGCTGCTGCTTTAGTTGGTTATAAGGAGACGCTTTGCAGTGAAGGCAGTTTTCTGAACAATACGAGCAGAACAAGCCAAACACAGGAACACTTCCAGGTTCACCCACAGAGCGATGGAAACTTGTACCATTCTTTCCCGCTGGAGAAAGAAGTTAAATTATACAGGAAACGTGTAGATGACACATACTCGTAAGCATGGTTTGATGAAGTAACAAGGTTAAAGAAAACCATCTTTTTACATGATACAGATCTATTAATGTTTCCGTCTGGATTACACCATCGCTTCAGGAACAGCTGAGCTCTACTTGGACCTGGGACATCAACAGAGGGATGACTGGAAAATGAACATGTAGTCACACATATTATACAGAGAAATAACCCTGACAAGTTTCCTTTAAAACTCACTCTCAGTGTATGCCTAAAAAAGCCATCACTTTTAAAACGGAGGTCATTTGCTGTACATCTATAGAGTTTCTTAGAATAAAGGCATTTGTAAGAGCCACACTCTTCCACAGTTTGGGGTTTGTTGGGATTGTCACTGGAGTCTTAATAGACAAAGATAGGTAGGATGTTTTACCAATAGAGAAAACAAAAACATTGAAAACAGACCCGTGTTATTAAGTCAAACTAAGGAAAAGGTATTAACAAGATATTAAGACCAGATGTAACTGAAACTATGAGACGTTTGAGGACTGCATCACAGTTATGCCTGCTCCACTGCCTCTGCATAATATTTCATATTATTTACTCAAATTCCAACCAGCAACAAGGGGATTGCACTAGTCCACTCACAAGCCACAGGATTTGTAAACAAAAAACTAAAAAATGAAAACAAAATTAGAAAAAATATGTGTACACTACCAATGCTCAATAGCAACTTTAACAGCTATCCATTATGTTTTGTTAATTAAAACAAATCATAATTAGACTTTGACAAATGGTCTAAGCCAATATTATTAATACATATGTTAAGAACCATGAGCATATTCGTAGCAAGGCGGCCACAAGAGTCTGTTAAAGTTCAGGCCCATCACAGACATGGTCTCTCGGACCGTGGTGCTGCTGGCCGTCCTCCGGTGATTGCTGTCTGCTCTTGGCCTTATGCCTCTGGTCAGGAGCATGTACTGAGGGCTGTAGATGAAGTGTGTGGGAACAGGTGAAGCCTGGAGAGGGTGACACCAGCAGCTGCCACTTGCTCTTACGGCTCCTCAAAGAGCTGCAGGTCCAGTCTTACCACTATCTCCCCAGTAGGGACCTCGTGCAGCAGGAGACGCTTTGTGATTGGTCCCTTTGAGCCCTGGTCCTTTTTTATTTCAGCCAATCGAATCTCTGTTCTTCCCAGAAAATCTGCATGAACATTAGAGCAATAGTTTAGACTTTTGAACATGCGTTTTGAATAAAGCCATGTTTCCCACACTGACCGTCAGGAGAGAACTGATCCCGTTCAAACACAGTGATGCAGAGGACGTCTTGTTCCAGGTCTTTGATGAAAAACTGACAGTTGGAGTTCCATTTGGGATTTAGCGTGTCCTACAGAGACAGATATTTTGATACATACTGTTTCAAGATTTGTCTGTAGTATATCACAATGAAATAGAATACATATTTGGGTTGCTAGTTTCTATGGTTCTATTGAGGCGTCGATTCATGTAACGACCTCTGACTGTGTTGTGTATCAGTGTGTGTCTCTTTAACAAAAGTCATGTGACCAAACATTTACTGTATATCTAAGTGCATCTATTATTACTATTTATTTTATGGTATTTTATGTAATGTATTTATACTGCATATTAATGAGGCACAAATAATTCAAAAGGTTTATGTTAGAGCCAACTTTGAAACCACAAATTTCCTCGCTCTCAAAACAATTTGGTTCTGTCACTAGTCTTCACATACATGCATTTTTTGGCACAAAATGAAGAGAGGACCACCCTAACTCTGCCCACAGCATCAAATAGTGAATCACACGACGCTTTCTCACAAGTATGCAAAATATAACATGTTTTCTAAAGACCGCATGTTGTAGTCTCATTTGTTTGGACCTAAATGTATTATTTATGAAGGTTGGGTACCGCAGCTTGAATGGTGAATAGATTTACCTGTAATGTCTTTGTGATATGGCACTGGGAACCCATGGTCACTTCACAGTACGGGTTGCTTTTCCCTAAAACAAGTTCAGAGAGCAGATGGAGATGTCATCTTATTATACATCAGTTATCAACATTTAGCACATACAATCACAAGAAAAAAAATGAGGCAACTTTAACGGTAAACCACTTTCTGTCATTTCTCAACAGGCAAAACAAGAGGTGCGAGGAGAGAGAAAGAAAACTGTACCATGTGAACGACAAGGTTTCAGTTCAATTCCTTCCACGATGTTGACCATGAGTCGGCCGATCCCTGTAGCTCTCTGAGACCTCACTGTCACACAAGGGACACGTTAGCTTAAGCACATGCTCACTCAGCTCTAGCTAACAAAGTCCCTCACCTAGATATGCCTTTTCTCTCTTCTTTTTCTCCGTTTCAATGAAAAGCTCTGACGCCGCCTTAATTTTTTGAACCCAGGCTGTCCTGAAACAACGATGTGCAATATGTATATAATTCTAATATATTTTATGAGTATTGTCAATTACAGGTCCTTACCTTTCATTAATGCTTTCTGCTCGGAGTGTATAGACCCGGTCAATGTGAGAGATGTGAAAGAGTGGTTCGTCTCCCGAGGGGTCTGTGGGCAACTTCACTAACACTTCATTAAGGAAGATGGGCTGAGGAAAAAAGTTATGGTTATTTTGAGTTTGTCGAATATGACAAGAGTAAAAGACAAGATTAAGTAAAGCGCAGTCCTACCGTCTTGTACATGCGATACTGGAGGTGAGTCTTGGAGGAAAATACTTTGTCCGATCCAGAGAAGCCCAGAGGTTTAGTCACCTGAGACACACATAAACACACACTCTTTAGATTTGATATATCCTAATTACATTACTACAGTTCATATTTAAAGCTGGGAGTAACTTTGTCTCATTAATTACTTGTGTGATTTTATTTTTTATGTTTTTAATATTTCTTGTGATCTAAATGTTTGTTTTTAATCTCCTGAGGGATTGTAATTATATATTTTTTAAATGTCTATGCAGATTTGAATGCTTATGATTTATGTGATAGATGGAAAAAGCATGCGCCTGATAATTAGTGATAGAACCAACCTTTTAAAAGATAGGGACTACATTCAGCATTCCAGCTTTAAATCGTTTAATGGATCTAATCATACAGCTGATTTATTTTTGAGTGAATAAAACAATGTAACAAAGTAGCAGCAGCTCACCTGGGTCAGCAGTAGAAAGTCGTTGAACAGAAAGCCGTAGAGCTCTTTGCTGCTTTTAGCTTTGAACAGTTTTCCGCTGTGGAGAAACTTCCTTGGTCCCAGACAGTTGGTGACGGAGTTAAACACAAGTTGCTGAAGAACGTAAACATGTTATTCGCTGACACTCGTATAGTTTCAGGACATAAACATATAGTTTGCAGTCGTCATGGTAACTGACCTCTGAGAGACCTTCACATTGAACATGAGCCTGAATCCATTCAAGACGATCAGAGTTTTCCTTTTCCCTCACGCCTTCATTCACCTACAAAAGGATAGTTTATTAAAAAGACATAACTTTAAGAGAGCTGATCATTTTAAAGCAAAAAGTTGTGCATTAAAAATGGGACTAACCTGTGAGCATAGTTCTTCTGCCTTCTCCAATGCAGCTTTCAAATGGCTGTGGTCAGGATGCGACTCGGGAGTGTTTTCTATAATCTGTGTTTTGAATTTTTTGAGAGAATTAATACGTATAGGTTGGTGCCACAAGGGATGTGTCAAAACTGCAGCTGGAAAAGAATAAACTTACATTTTTGATAATCAAGGGGTATCGAGTGACCCTCTGCATGGGTTTGAGCAGGAAGCTGGAGAGAGGCATTCCTTTACATCGGGGATCCATGGCTAATCGCTAAAACACAACAAGTCAGATTCAGCAAGTCAGATTGGCATGTCCATGTTTATGAGGGAGACTTTTGGGGAAACAAACCTTGAGAAAGTCCTTTATTTCAGGATTGTCGTCAGTTTTCTGCTGGATTAACGTGGCTCCATTCAGTTGACATGAACAGAATCTGTCAAGAAAAAAAGCAATTTGACATTTTAGGTTATTTCAGACACTCAAGGACGCTTTACAAAATCACTTAATCACTGAAACACTGAGTACCTTATGTAGGGTTGCATGTGAGGCAACTGATTGGTCAAGATGTCGCCAATCATCTTCACTGGCATCCGATCGCCCGACATCTTCTTCCTCACCCGCAAAGCTCTGGACAATTGTTTTTTCATTATTTGTTAGGCAACAATGTAATTGAGAAACATTGTACGTAATTCAGATGAAGGAAATGTATAAATGTTTCTATTACCGTGCAATTTAGTTCATATTCCAATGGTAAAGAATGCAGGGTTGTGCAAAGTCCCAGTCAGGTGATCAATAAATCGTTTTGTGTCGATAAACACACATTGAAGCACTGATTAAACCCGCCTATGCACACCGCCATGAAATGTATGTTTTTACATTGGTTAAACTCCAGAAATTCAGATCCATCTGTGCTCAGGCCAAGGAGAGGAACTTAAAACTTACTATTCATATCAATTATTTTTCTAATACCATTCTATAATAATGGTCAAAAAATATCCACTATTTTAACATTTTAATACAATTGAACTTACTGACATCTACTTTTAAAAAGGACAGTAAGATTTTTATTTCTAATCGGTGTCCCTGCATTTTTATTATTATTATATTTATTTAACCAGGAAAGTATCATTGAGATTAAGAACCTGGGTGAACTCCAGCTGGTTTGGTCTATTTGGTCCTAGTGCACATCAGTATGCTGTGAGCTGCAGAGTGGCGACACATGGTGTAGATGTGTTTGAGACATTTAGGAAAAGCGACATATGGCTCTTTTAAACTGGCATTTTGGAACCTGAATATTGCAGGATAATAGAAGCAAATACAGTCCTGTCTCAAGGCAGTGTGTCGAGAGTGGAGACTTTACTTTAACAGTTTAATATTGCACATGATGAGTTCCTTCCAGTTGACGAAGATCATGGCTACTTCTTTCTCAGTGAGCAGTTCACATTCCAACAGGGGCTTGTGAAAGATCTGGGCACACAAACGCAGTAAGAACACGATGGTTAGACTAAAAAGACAGTTCAACACTAAACACCTAAAATTATAGGTCCATTTCCCATGTATTCTACTGCGCCTCACACACTAAAACAGTTTTACTTTGGAATATTGGTTACTTTCTCTTGAATGACTAAACTTTCTAGATATTGGTAGAAACTGGAACAAAGTCATCTACAGCGATCCAGAGCATTACATGCTCAATGGGGACATGTCCGGTGAGTAGCTGGTCATGCAAGAACTGAGGGGTTTTAACCTGTATTGAGAACAGATGCTTGAAATTGGGACTGTGGGTCATCTGCTGCAGCACGAGGTGATGCTCGTGGATTTTGGTACGAACACGGCCTCACAATCTCAGTGTGATTCAGAATGTCATCAATGCAATGCACCTGTGTTTCCAGAACACAACCGCTCACCACACCCACCCACCAGTCAAAGTTGAAGCAGGTGTCTGGGGGGCTGGTCTCAGACCATTGCAAATATGAACATGATGGATCTGGAAAACTATAGTTACATGTGGTCTACCATTTGAATGTACTGCAAAATAAAATGAAGTGTTCAGTGAAATTAGTGGCCTAAATTCTTAAAGTGGCCTTTTACAGCAGTCAGGAACAGTGCAATAATCATGCCGTCTAATAAACATCATGAAGTGTCACAAGGAATGGATGATCTCAGACAGATCAAAAGTTGACTGATGTATGAATATTTGATAGAGATGGGTGTATTGAGCTCATACAATTTTAAAGCCTATAAATGAATTGATGAAAAAATGGGAGCAAAAACAAGCATTTTTATTGTTCAACGTAGTCAAAAAGACTTCACCCAACAATATACAGTGCCTTGCAAAAGTATTCACCCCTGGCTTTTTACCTATTTTGTTAAATTACAACCTTTAGTTCAATGTTTTTTTAATCTGAATTTCATGTGATGGAACAGAAAACAATAGTCTAAGTTGGTGAAGTGAATTGAGAATAATATATACATAAACTATTTTTCAGAAATAAAAAACTGGAAATTGGTATGTGCATATGTATTTACCCCCTTTGTTATGAAGCCCATAAAAAGCTCTGGTGCAACCAATTACCTTCAGAAGTCACAAAAATAGTGAAATGATGTCCACCTGTGTGCAATATGCTGTCAGTACACACACCTTTTTTGAAAGGCCTCAGAGGCTGCAACACCTAAGCAAGAGGCACCACTAACCAAACACTGCCATGAAGACCAAGGAACTCTCCAAACAAGTAAGGGACAGTGTTGTTGAGAAGTACAAGTCAGAGTTAGGTTATAAAAAAATATCAAATCTTTGATGATCTCCAGGAGCACCATCAAATCTATCATAACCAAATGGAAAGAACATGGCACAACAGCAAACCTGCCAAGTGACGGCCGCCCACCAAAACTCACGGACCGGGCAAGGAGGGCATTAATCAGAGAGGCAGCACAGAGACCTAAGGTAACCCTGGAGGAGCTGTATCTGTACATAGGATGACAATAAGACGTACGCTCCATAGAGTTGGGCTTTATGGCAGAGTGGCCGGAAGAAAGCCATTACTTTCAGCAAAAAAACAAAATGGCACGTTTTGAGTTTGCGAAAAGGCATGTGGGAGACTCCCAAAATGTATGGAGGAAGGTGCTCTGGTCTGCTGAGACTAAAATTGAACTTTTCGGCCATCAAGGAAAAAGTTATGTCTGGCGCAAACCCAACTCATCACATCACCCAAAGGACACCATCCCCACAGTGAAACATGGTGGTGGCAGCATCATGCTGTGGGGATGTTTTTCAGCAGCCGGGACTGGGAAACTGGTCAGAGTTGAGGGAAAGATGGATGGTGCTAAATACAGGGATATTCTTGCGAAAAACCTGTACCACTCTGTGCGTGATTTGAGGCTAGGACGGAGGTTCACCTTCCAGCAGGACAATGACCCCAAACACACTGCTAAAGCAACACCTCAGTGGTTTAAGGGGAAACATGTAAATGTGTTAGAATGGCCTAGTCAAAGCCCAGACCTCAATCCAATAGAAAATCTGTGGTCAGACTTAAAGATTGCTGTTCACAAGCGCAAACCATCCAACTTCAAGGAGCTGGAGCAGTTTTGCAAGGAGGAATGGGCAAACATCCCAGTGGTAAGATGTGGCAAGCTCATAGTGACTTGCCGCAAAAGGTGGCTTCTACAAAGTATTGACTTTAGGGGGGTGAATAGTTATGCACAGTGACCTTTTCTGTTATTTTGTCCTATTTGTTGTTTACTTCACAATAATAAAAAAAAAAACATCTTCAAAGTTGTGGGCATGTTCTGCAAATTAACTGATGCAAATCCTCAAACAATCCAGGTTGTGAGGCAACAAAACACACAAAATGCCAACTGAATGAAACTCAATTATCAAAAATATGAACTTTTGAACAAATGCAGAGATAAAATTAATTTCAACACATTTTTTAATTTAAATTATTTTTTGAACACTTATGAATAATGTTTGAAAGTTGATGCAACCTGTGGCTTTACCTCAGTGACAAGCTGCAGGTCATTGACATAATTTTCTTCTGTTACAATGAGTTCATGGATGTAGCCCTGACGCTTCCTCTCCATTGGACTGAGCATGTCCAGAAGGTGGAGGTCGGCACACCCTGAAGGACAACACATTCATAAAAACAGAAGGCCAAACACAATGTGACTGCTCTGTAATACATGTGCATTATTTGACAACAGTTAAAGAAATGTCCTTATTTAGAATCAAAAAGAAAAAAAAGATTAGACCTGCATTTTATTAATCCAGTTGTCAGTCATAGAAACAATCCTTGTATTGAGTCTTTTAGCTCTTTTATGTCTCACTAACGTCAAATTGCTGAATGAAACTGCCCCCTAAAGAGTTACTAACCATCCTGACAATAAGTTCAAAACATGTCCAATGTCATGGAGGCAGCTTTATGGTTTTGCAGTATGATCATTTGAAAAAGGAATTGTGTAGAAAAGTCTTGTAACCATTTCACAAACTGGAATTAGAATTAAAATTCTAAGTACTGATTATTTATTTTATTAAAATTTCAACAAATAAAATCTCCACACATTCAACAATTCATTGTAATCATTCAAGTATACCAAGCTCTTCTGTAAAGAACATAATCTAAAGCATCCACCTGTTGGAGCGTTAGTTGCTGGGACAATTTATTAATTCAAAATGTGTCAAACAAATTGTTAAAAACAAAAACTGCAGGTCTGCTCATGATGTGTTTGAGACTCTTCACACATTCAGTATGATTAGTAAAAATAAACTGCCATGAAAGTGTTATAAAACATACTATGTGGGGCCGAGCTCACTATGATAGTGCAGGAGTAATGTGCAAACAGCACAGACAGATGGACATAAACCGTTACTTTGAAACCATAATACATGTAGTTTTGCATATATTGCAACCAAAAGTGCCTTTACAATTCAATTACATCAACAGTAATGCATTGCTTTTTCATAATCCGTGTATGGATTCATTGCCCGTTTTCTGTGTGTAAAAAAACAATACTGTCATTGGACAAACACATAATTGCAGTTAGAACAGTTGTCTGTTGCTATGTAAACATGGAAAGTAGCATTGATTTGGCATTGGGACATGGAGATAGAGATGAATCAGAAAGTTTGGCCAAACATAATACTTGCAAACAGTTTAGACTGTGCTTTTGATATTGACAGCTGATATATTGATTTAATAGTATATAGCAAGTTGGGTCCTAATTTGATTATACAACTTTAATTTCTTCAGGTAAGGTTACAGTGCATTTATTGGAATGATAAAAACTTTGTTGAAACCATCACCACTGCCAAAGGGCGGGCTTTTCTTTCAACATAGCAACAGACTAAAAACATGTGCAGGAAAACATGATCATTTGATGTCATTCGGGAACATATTTGACAAGGATTGCGTTCCACTGCTAGCGTTTGCGAGAGAGACCATGAAGGACTTTGCATCTAAGCTTTGGCCCATATCTTTTTGCATACAAGTCTCAACTAAAGACATAAGCAGCATTTTATAATATAATATTGCAGATCACAATCCAAGACCCCTTCCTCACCTATACAAATTCAGCCAGTTCATTAGGGAGACACTGTGGCTGGTGTCATACAATATATTTTAATGGGCAGTCTATGATATCAACCCCTTCATGTATCCATGCACTGTAAGCACATTTTGTGTAGCGTTTACTTCACTGTTTGGATATAATGAGGAAACAAATGTCACTTTGCACGTCTCTCACACAAACAGGTGAGAAAGGGGAGAAGGCATGAGAGGGTTCATAAACGGCATGAGGGGTGAGAGGTAGAGAGGATGACTGGGCACATGGGAAATTGTTTTAGGGGGAAGGAATGGTGGAAAAGATCCTCCAGCAGATAGTGGGTCTTTCTGTGATGCTGTGGGAGGGGTTAGTGAGGCCCATGGGGGTGGAGCCCTGCAAAAAACTGAACCGCATAAACCAAACCAATGGGTATCCAGTAATTATGGAAGGAGGAAACAGATATTCCTAGAACTGGTCTCCCAAAAAGCCACAAAATGACCCACTATCCCACGCTGTGCCAGCTTCAACGCACAGCTTTACGACCTCATTGCTGGCTTCACACACAACAAAATGTGTAAATTGTTGTCACCCTACTTCATATTATGTTTTTAGTAAGCCTGAAACTTTAAGATCACATTTACAATCACTGGGTAATCATGGTTCTCTGGTTGCATGTAAAAATAGAGTTCATAAGAGTTTGCAGAGACCTCTTTTACAGAAGAGGGTTCCGGCGCAGTCATTTTATTACAGGTCTGGTACTTGACTGCGTGCAATTTTGTTAGGAGATTGAAACAGAAGTTTACGCTTGTTCCTTGGCTTCTCAGTTTAGCAACAAGTCGACTACGAGGGAAGAGATCGGCCTCCAGTAGAACACTCCACTCAGAGCCATGCATAGAGTATCGTTACTGTCTGGTTCTGGCTTCTATGGGTGGAGCGCCGCCATTTCCGGGTTAAGTGACCCCTCGCTGCTGTCGCCATTGGTTGAGTAGTGGCCTAGTGGGCGTGGCCTAGTGGGTCTCTTTGAGGGCTTTGAGGAGAAGGGGGTCTGGGTAATGATATGATCCTAGAGAGAGGACGACAACAACAACATAAACAAAAACAACTAAACAAAACAACAACAACAACAACCAATGGGGTGTGAAGTGAGCAGAGCATGCAGTCAGGTTAGGTGGGGCATGCAGCAAAAGTAAAGTGTGATGATGTGAAGTAGAACAGAACACTTGGACCAGAGCAGAGCATTCGTTCCAACGCTCACTACATTTGTGTCAACGTCTTTTAAGTTCAAACGCAAATCAACTCTGTCAGAAAACTCTTGCTGCGAGTCCAGATGCAGGAAACAAAAACATATTTGGAGCTGTGAAGGATAATAAAAACAACTATTGCTCCTCATTCCTCATTAACTCACTGTCGGTCAAATAAAGGATGTTGAAATGGCATTGGAATATTTTATTCACGCAGCACAACTAACAATGACATACATGTCATTTAGAGGGACTGTATTTATCAATGCAGCTGATCTAAAACTAATGAGCACAAATCCTCATCTTTTCCTGTGCACCTAAATGCATGTTGTAATTCTTGTAACGGTTGGACTTGGTTTAAGTGGCTACATGAGATAAACACAGATGTAAACGCACAGAACATGTATACATTCGTCTCTGACATTTATCAGACTGTACCGCACATTCATGGAGGTTTTGTGGATTACTTAACCAGGTCAACGCATGACACATACAACCACAAACTCAGAATGAGACTTGATCATCTTTGGGTACATAATACAGTTTCAAACCATCACAAGACACTATTTGATTATTCAGGTTATGGAAATTGTAATCTGTACATGTCACAGCCACACTGTAATTTGCCCAATTTACACAATATTATTAGACAAATTCAGGCCTACACTGTCGGTAAAAATGGTTCCTTGTTTAAATGCTTCTTTGTTTCTTTGATTCCACTAACACATGCCCACAAGGACGTTGAAAGGGGCAGATTTACATCCCAGTGATTTGAGCACTCCCATAAAACTATTTTAGTGACTTGCCTTCAATCATATTAAACTATTATGTTAGTCATAGTAAGCCAATCACATAAAAATAACAATCTTATCTAAAAAAAAAAAAAGTGTCAAATTGAAAATTCAAAAGAATTAGAAGTGATGACAATCCAACACACATGTTGTCCAGTAGAAAGGACTTTCAGACATACGTATATGGAGGTGTGCAAATCTAATTACTATCATAGTTGCCAGCTGAAATCCCATTCTAGAACATGAACGCAACCGATTGAAGTCCTAGTACATCTGAGTGTTTTGTGTTTTTTTCTGCTCCTGAACAATAATCTTTCAGCATTCCAAAAATATAGTTGAACATTTGATTGGGTGAAATGCATAACAATTATCACAGACGACTGACACTTTTGTCCAACAAGAAGTGTTTTATCCAATTATTGATAAATACATTTCTTGGTGCCGTTCCATTAGAATGCTTTTTCAAGGATGAGACCTAACAATTGACCAACAGGAAGGTTTCCAACAGGAACTTAGTACGAGTCTGGTGTTAGCCTGAATGATATGGGGTGGTCGAAGGGGCCAGATGGCACAGATTTGTAGCATTGCTTCTGTCAGTCTACCCCAGGGCAGCTTTGGCTACCTTTATGATTTCCTCAGAAAAACAAAAATCAAATTTTCTGTGAGTAGTACAGGACAAAGTGCTCAAAAAGATAGAATAGAGTCAGTTACACAGATGAATATATAATGGTCTCCTCCCAGGGTGGAGAAATGTTTTAGTATCACAAGATCATAGTCAGGCAGGCACCACATTTTGTTTGCAACTTATACAAGTAAAAGAAATCTGCCAAAATTCAAAAGTGCCCAGTAAGAACAATGTCACATGCAGATCGCATTATGCATAGTAAAACATACTGAAGACCATCCATATACACAAACTAGAGAATTACTTTTTTCTTTTTCAACTTCTCTATTAACCTTTGCTGTCTAACTAGTATTAATACTATTTGGATCAAACTTGTTTACATGAAAAAATCTTGCTCTGCTCTTTTGAGGCTCATGCAGTTAAAGACATGCATGATAGACAAGTGTTGCAGATATACATGCTGGCTCATACAGACACCAGGTGGCACCGGTCTGAGGTTATCCACACTGACACACTCCTACACTGGCCCTGGGTCAAGTCTGAGTGCACCTCACTAACAGTTTAGTTTTGTAGCTGAGAGTGAAGTCAGAGTTTAATGTGTGAAAGAAAAATGTCAGTGTTGCACTTACACTGAGTGCTGGGATCCGTGTCGGTGGTGAGCTTTACATAGTTGCTGGGAAACAGGCCCTCTCTGCCGTTCAGCTCTCCTTTCCACCAATCACTGTCATCTTTATTAATGACTGTGATCACTTGACCCTTCTGAAAGGCCAGCTCATCATCATTCTGAGCCACGTAGTCATACATGCCGATCACCTGACACAAAGCTTCAGGCAAAAAGGCTCAATTAGTTTTAGGCCCACGTAATAGTAAAAGTCAAGTTTATTAGAAGCATTATAGGAGCATTGGAAGCCATGGGAGTGTACGGCTGGTTACCTGAGTTGGAAGCCATCACTTTGGGCGGCGTGGGCTCTGTTGGAGTCGTCTTGCTGGTACTAGGACTTAGCAGCTTTACATAGTTTGCTGGAAACCAACCTATCTGACGCTTCTTCCCCCTTGCCTGAAATTGGAGAGAGGGAACAGAACATCAAGTTATTCTGAAAAAAAAGTGCATGAGTAAATACAAATCTGCTTTTTTCGTAAAAATCTTTTGTTCATATTAATCACAAAAAACAGTTTATCAATGGTACCTTTGAGTAATAGAAAAGTAACAAGTGGTAAAGAAGTTAAAGCTGTGAAACCTGATGTTCAAATGGTAGAAAGTATTATGTACGGCGTGTAAAACCATCCAACTAGGAACATAAATAGTTTTCACATGCAGATATTTTCATTGGCCCCAACCTAAATTCTGGTCAAGAGTCAGGTTGAATGTATGCAATATTTTGTCAGACCACGAAAGTCTCAGGTCTAGCGAACCCAAACAAACGTCGCCATTTGCATGTAAAGCTGATGTGAGTAATCCCTAGACTCAGGTTTGGTTCAGGTTCTGGCAGCACGTGATAGGCTCTGCTTGGGGTGGGCTCAGAAGAGTCCTAAATCCAGTGTAGACTAAGGCTGAGTTTACACGGAGACAATGTGGCAGTAAAACGGTATAGTTGGATGTCGGTTGCTACCAACCGTTCATACGAAGACTGTGTTCCAGGGGGGTGAAAACGTAAGTGTTCAGATCCAGCCTGCAGAGTGGGACAACTCAGAAACGCTGCACAGCAGGGAGCTTTTTCACACCCGCGAGAGGGGAAAAGGTGTGAAATCCCCCTCTGCTCTGACCCCCGCCTCCGCGCTGCACCCCGCACGTAAATTTGGACATGCGCAGTAGCGGAGAACAAACATCAACAATAATGGCGCCGCCCACACAAACTAGCTACGTGGGCTTCCAGCGCGGGACAGAGGATAATTCTACACCTTCGTTCGTCCAAACGAGACCACGCGAAGCTCTAGGTTCAGTTCCTATGTTCACAGCTGCTGTTAAAATGCAGATAGATGTTGGTACTCTCTGAGGGTCTGGCACAGGAAGTGAGTACACTGCCGAGAGGGGGGCTGGGCACGGGGCTCGGGGTCGTGTGTCGTGTTGTAAAGTTTATCTGCCCACTACTGGCCGGGCGCTAGAACTACATCGTTTTTCAACCTCATGTGAACGCTGAGAAATTTGCATTAGGAGCCAGGTCGTTTCTGTTAATAGCCTGGAAACGTCTGCGCAGCGTCTCAGTATAAACAGGGCCTGAGGATGTACCGATCCGATATTCACTATCGGTATCGGGGGCCGATATGAGTATTTTGTAAGGATCGGATAATATCGGATTTGTTAAATATGAAGCCGATTTACGTCACTTTTCAGCATGCTCACGCTTTAAGGCTGCCGTAAACTAAATACAATGTAAAACTAGGGCTGGGCGATAAAACGACAACGAGATATATATATCAATAGAAAACAGGGTCGATAGAATGTTAGTTTAACATCACTCCGTTAGAAAAAACAGGACGGAAACACAGGAAGTAAAGCCGAGTCAGAAGCGCGCTGCATTCTGGGGGATGTAGGCATAGGCTTCTCGACCTATCACAGGCAAGCGTGAACCGCAAAACTTTCTGGAAAAAGGCAAAAACAAAACAACTGCACAATGCGTAGCGTACCTGGATCTAAAGATTGTTTTTCAATGCCGTGTCAATGGTTATGCATGTTCGTGTCAGGGATAGCATGTGCGGTGTGGCAGAGGCAGTGGACACAGAGACCCGGTGCATGCGGCGAAAGCAAGAGATTAAATTTTTCCTCCGTGCGGCTATCAGAGAGCAGCCGCACAGAGCCGTCATGGGGACACAAAACAGGAGATAAACCAGGACTAAACCATGATTTCACCAGGACAAACTATGGGGGAGACTGCTTGTGAACATATTCCTCGAGCCTCATTCCCCGTGACTGTAAACAAGGCTGCTCACGTGTGTTAGTCGACACGGCAAACATATTTATTCAGGTAAAAATGCAAATTCTTTAATGCTTTGAAAACATTAGAAAAATTTGTATCGGATCGGTATCGGCAAAACAATATTTAGAATATCGGAATCAGATCGGATTACAAAAAATCTGGATCGGTACATCCCTAGCGTAGACTTCCCTGCTCACACAGACCCTGAGCCCTGAGTGTCTGTAAACGTCTGTGTATTTTACCTGTAACTCGCCCTCCCACCAGCCTCCAGGATTCTTTTTCCTGATAAGGATGAGTTGTCCAGGAGCCAATGTCAACTGTTCTGCTCCAGTAGCTGTATAAGGCGCAATGACCTGAGCAATCTCTGACAAGGCAAAGAAAATCATGTCATTACAACCAACTGAAATCATATAGAAAGAAAAAATATATTTAGGATTGTATTTGATTTTTAATTTCTTTTACGTGAACAATTTTAGAAATTGGCAGTGAAGAAACAGAACAAGTTAATAATAGAAGTATCACCTGGTTTTTTTCCAAGGCTCCCAGTCTTCCCAGATAGCGACAACGACTAGGAACAAAATAAAAGATTCAATTATGATGCATTAAAGCACTTCCCGATGGGTCCCACTGAGAATATATTTTTTTAAACGAGCCTACTTTTAAAACATTGTGTATTCATCAGCCAATTGTATCACCTCAGAGGAAGAGTCTCGTGGTTTCACATAATTGGATGGGAAAACTCCAGTTTTTCCATTAACAACACCTGTCCACCAATCTCCTTCCTTACGGGTCACTATAACAACATCTCCTTGTTGAAAGCTCAGGTCCCCCTGTTCACTGCTTTCATACGTGTACATGGCAATGTACTCTGTAACAAAGGATTGTTTCAATTATTACAAATACACCAATCAAACAAAGGGAATGTTTGCACTGTTATTAGAATACCTTCACCGGCTTCTGGTTTGGTTGGAGAGGGGGAAGGCCGTTTCCCATTTGGAGGGCTCTCTGTTGGTCCAGAGTCACTACCAAACAACAAATAACACTTTTTGCAATGTTCAGACCTTCAAATCTTATTTTGTCGAATGACGCTGAGTTTGACCTCGGTAGATTATCTTTTGGAACTCCAAAAGACAATGTCAAGCCAGACATGTCCAGAAATGTAGAGATGGAGTTCTAATAAAGCAATACACTTACCTCGAGTTTTTATTGCGTGGCATGACAGCAGCTGATGGTGGCATACTTGTGGAGATGAGTTTGACGTAACTTTTTGGAAACCAGCCTCTTTGACCAGACTGCAGCTCCCCTAACCACCACATATCTTGTTGTTCCAACACAGTAATTGTCTGGAGGGACAGATTCATACTTTCCATCATTCAGTTAATTTTTATATTATGGGTAAGACAGCTGTACCTCATTTTTGTTGAAGTTCAAATGGTTGTCTTTCTTGGCTCTCCAAGGGTACAAGGCCTGAGCTTGAAGACCCTCCACTTTCTCTCCCTTTACAAAAAATGGAATTGATGAAAATTAATGGAAAACATTTATGTATTGTTCAGAAGGGAGAGCCTTCCTTGGGCCATGTACACATTACCTGTCCGAGTACAGGAGAAGGGGAAGAGCCTGTGGTCATAGTCGCTGGTGTGAAGGCAGAGCGCTGGCGTAACTGAGCAGAGGGGACACTGAGTGAAGGGTTTTGTGGGGTGGAGGAGGGCCAAGCATCCCACCCCTCGCTTTCTGCCTGACTTCCTGCATTTGAGGGCCACCTGAGAAAACACCGTAAATTGTATTCAATTAAATTTTTTCTTGCATAGCCCTAAATTACGACAGTAGTCATCCCAGAGGTCTTAACAAAACCGTTGAAATCGTCAAAACGGATCAGAGAATCCACAGTTAAGATAAAATATAGAACACAAAAGTATTGGTCCATAGGGAGTTGACCAATGTTCATGAATGAAGTCGTATCTGTTGTATGTTCTTGTATTACTCCATCTGTGAGTAACCAGATTGGCACTTACGTTGTACTAAAGTCAGCCCAATTGCTGTTTGAAGAAGGTGCAGAAGTAGGCGGTCCAGGAGCTGGGGGAGGAGTAGTATTGGGCTGTTGTGCAGAAGGTGTGGATGTCGCAACCCCACGCAAACTAACAGGTGCTTCACTGGCAGGTATCCGCTCCGCATAATTGGCCGGAAACCAACCAGTGCGGCCTCGTAGTTCTCCTCCCAACCAACCAGGCTCACCGGTCTGAGACTCATCCACCTGCAACAGAAACAAACCATGTCAAGAAGGGAAAAAAGGAAAACAATGCAAACTATTTAATTATAATGTTAATATAATGATGCACATGTAGGGTTTCTGGCAGAAGTTGTATTGCTTTGTGTTTATTGCCAAAATATATTAAAGCTGTATGGCAGACATATTAAATCTACATTATAGTTTTTATTTATCGCATTACAACAAAAACAAATAACTTAACCTAGGCCAACAATTTATTGAAAATAAGATGTCGAGAGTCAAAACGAGCTTTGAATGTTGTCATTACTTTGCTGAACAAGGATCATCCTTTGTTGTGAATAACAAGAGCTCAGACTTTGTTGGGAAATGCGGACACCAGGAGCCTCAACATTCCATTTGGAGCATGATCAGGAAACATGCTTAGAAACAATGGCACTGGAATTTCATTCATTTACGGCAAATGAATGAATATGACAATGACGGATGGATATTGGCTTGTGATTGGTCAACAGACAGGCCAAAACTTACCCATTCCCCTTTCACCTTCAGGTTTGCAGAGCAGGACAGAAAACAAACTGTTAAACCACACCAGAGCAATTCATTCCTGTTGGGATTCTGAGAGCGGTTTCATATTTGTACAGCATGATCATTAAAATTGGCCAAATCTTTATATTTGAATTAGAGTAAAAAAATCTATACATGTGTAACAATCGAGGAAATAAATCAATCGTCCATCATGATAAAGCACTGAGGCCGGTGGTGTAAAGTGTTCCCGTGGTCTGTGAGGTTTCAAACTCACCATGGGTTTCCTTCTTTTCAGGAATCACTAATTTCATCGTTTTATCAATATTCCATTCCATTCCATTTTCTTCCGCTTCATCCGTTGCCGGGTCGCGGTGGCAGCAGTCTAAGCAGAGACGCCCAGACTTCCCTATCCACACACACTTCCTCCAGCTCGTCCGGGGGGACCCCAAGGCGTTCCCAGGCCAGCTGTCCTGGGTCTTCCCTGGGGCCTCCTCCCGGTGGGACGTGCCCGGAACACCTCCCCAGGGAGGCGTCCAAGAGGCATACGGAACAGATGCCCGAGCCACTTCAACTGGTTCCTCTCGACGTGGAGTAGCAGCGGCTCTACTCCGAGCTCCTCCCGTGTGACTGAGCTCCTCACCCTATCTCTAAGGGAGCGCCCAGCCACTCTGCGGAGGAAGTTAATTTCGACCGCTTATAACCGCGATCTTGTTCTTTCGGTCATTACCCAAAGCTCATGACCATAGGTGAGGGAGGGAACAAAGATTGACGGTCCGAACACACCCTCCGGTCCCCCTTCTTGTAGAGAGGGACCACCACCCCGGTCTGCCACTCCATTGGCACCGCCCCCGATCGATGTTTTATTAATATTGAAATTCAAATTTATTTCAATAATTTTGAAGAAAAAGCTTATCTCCTTGGGTGTAAAAAATAAATACAAGTTTTCCGCTGTCCACAGATGCTGCAACCAATCAGAGAGCCACAGAGGACACAAGCCCGTCAGAGCCAGAACTTGAGAACAGCCAAAACAAGGGCCAAACCAGGACTTAACCATAATTGACAATGGGGGACACAGTGCTAGTGAATAGAGGTGCAACGGTTCATCAATGATCCGTGATCCATTCGGTTCAACGTCTTCGGTTCGGTACAGACGTGATCCGCGGTTTGATTTATGAAAAAAAAGTTGTGCGCACGTTGTTCAGTCCACACACAGCATGCAAGCAGAGGAACGAAGGAGCTTGAAAGCCCCGCGTCATTTAAATCCCCAGTATGAGAGAATTTTGGCTTCACTGTAACTACACTGATAATTAATATTCGACAAAACTGTCACAGTGTAAATACTGTGGCAAAAGAAAGACATGAGTGAAAAAGCGCGTCTCAACGACCGCTTATTGCCGCGGCATTTAAGCAGCTCCTTTACGCAGTCAGACCGGGCTAAAGTAAACTCTCCAAGACTGATGCTTGGACGTCCCGCGGAATCTATAATAGATCCATGAGCGGAACGGAGAACTTCATCACAGCAGACTGGGAGATGAAAAGTCTGGCACTGCAGACACGCCCCCTCTACGACAGTCACACAGTCACCCAGCGCAGGTTCTGACACAAGCAGCGGAGGAATGGAAGACAAAGGCCCAGTACTAATATTCCAGTCACAACTGATAATGCCAAAAATTTAATAAATGCAGTGAATGAGGCTGGACTGGGCCCAGAATGGAGCGCCTCCTTGGGAGAATCAGGAAGGTGGTTTAATATATGAGGGTAAATACCCTCATAAAGTTCCTTCTTATGTTGCACTTTGTGTTGTTTTTCACTGATTATGTTAATAAGACGTAATTGGATGGATGGATGGAATATGCCTTCCATCCATCCATCCATTTTCTTCCCCATAATTCACTTTTTTTTGAAAAAGGAACCGAAAAATGAACCGAACCGTGGCCTCTGAACCGAGGTACGAACCGTACCGTGATTTTTTAAAACCGTTGCACCCCAGCCTGAGTTCTCATTCTCCCGTGACTGTAAACAACTGCTGCTAACCTGTTTGCCAATGCTGAAGTACTGGTTAATAATAAAACAAAGCTAAGGCGCAGCTCTGTGAACACATTCTGCTGTTATATGAAGTCTCTGGAAGGTCTCGGGACTAGGGATGTAAAAAACTATGAATTTTCATGACCTACCACCGAGCCTCATCAACTGGTTGAAACCGATTAAGCGCGTAGTTTAAAATATTGCCCATTCTAGGAAATAAAAGCCATTTCGAGCCACGCACTTCTCATAAACGCAGCTATACGTTCTACTGGATCAGAGCCAAGACAGCAAAGCAAAACCTTCAGCACCTTTGCGCACAGAGAACTGCTTTTTTTAATCTTCCCATTCTTCTGTGCTGGGCAGACCCAAATCTGCACGTGGCACGTCCAGGATTGGCAAGACAGCATCCATTCAATCTGACTAGCTCCATTGACTAAAGACACAAGCGCAGGGCAACTATTTCTTATTTTTACACTTTCATTTGTGCCTCCTTTGTTGGAGGCCAGTGTTTTACTAAGGTGCTCCATTGAGCTCCATTTACAGGGGGGAGGGGTTAACTCCTTTTGCAGATTGAAACGATTGGATCTGAGTTTACCGTGACGTATATAGAGCGCCCGAGTGAGTCGTTAACATTTAGCATTTAGCCTAGCCATCTCCTTTGCCGCTAACGGAGCCCGTGGAGAGTAGCCCCACAATTTATTCTAGCAATTACATTTGCTAAACATTCCTATTGCTCCAGCTTCAATTTCTTGATAGAACCAGAACGGATTACTTTACTATCGCATTTTTTGCCATTGTCAAACTACGACCTTCCCGTTCGACGCAAACTCTTGACGTCACCCACAACTAACTACAACACCTGCCTTCCGCGCTCGCTGGTTGGTCGGTCAAAAATCAACCGATTGGGTCTGATCCCTGGGTTAGCGATTACAGACGTTACATGCAGTGAAATGATGATTGAGCGTACGGATGGCTAAGGCCACGCTAGGTTAATTTATTAGTTAAATACAATTCAGTTGTAGTTTGTGTTGTGTTTTGATTTAGATAAATGTTTTGTGTTGATTTCAGTGGCTATTACTGGCTAATATTTATTTGCTAACTTGTAATTTATTTATTTAGTTAATTGTAAATTTGTTTTCTCCGTTTGGGACACTCATTATTCAATGAACAGCAGCCTCTTTTCAGGAGAGGAGAGCTGCGTCTCGCACGTCTCCACTAAAGGTTAAATACAACTGATGTGTGTGGAGCGGATCAAATGCCAAGGACCATCAGCACAAACACGTTCCATGTATTTTGACTGGAGCCGCATCCTTGCAAGGATCCTTTGGGCTGCGCGAAGAGGAGAGACTTGCACACGCGCGGCCCTTATTACTATATGTCAGTGAAAATATATTCAGACATTGCTCCCATGTGAATGCGCTGCAAGTATCACAGAGGAGGGGCGGTAATTTGAAAATTGCCAAAGGTCCACAGGTAATACTAATCCCCAACATCAAATGTTTTATTGGTTTATTAAATACACATAGGTGAGTGATGAAACACTGATTGCGAGGGTCTGAGGGATCATTTGTTCATAAAAAAGATTGTATACTCTATACAAGAGTATATTTTTCTAATAGCTCAAAATAAAGTATTCAAATCAAATGTTTAATGTCTGACGCACCAGAAAGAGGTGGTTAATTACTAAAATAGTCCTTAGCTGCAGCCCTAATAACAGGGATTGAAATGTATTTCATACCATGATGACATCTCCTGGTGTGATAGTGATTTCATCATGACTGCGAGCCTCAAAGGGATACAGAGCTCTGTAGTAGACCACCTTCACACTCTGATGTTCGAATCCACTCACTGGAGGCTTCTGGTCAAAGAGACTGGGCCCAGGCGTCTTATCCCCTTTAAAGAAGGAAAACCATAAAAAGCCACAATCAGTAACAAACACATATCATATTTATAAGGCCAGAACAGAAACAATGAAAAAACGTAATCAAGCAATAATTAGCCACATAAGAGACCAGAAAGTCCCTCTGAAAGATTCAGAGGGACTTTGACCAGATCAGAGGTCTGCTTATTTGAGATGGATTATAATTGGATTTTATCATCTTTGTTTTAAATTATATTAGATTTTTGTGTGAATACTTAAAATATTTCTAGGGTAGGGCTTGTTCACAAAGGGTGACAGTGTGTGTGCACTTTGTGTTGCATCTTTTGTATGAAAAGCGCTTTATAAATAAAATTTGATTGATTGATTGAAAAGGCCACAAATTAGATTGTAATAATCAGTGACACTGAAAAAACACTGAAAAAATTATAATTTTCCAAGGAAACAATGTACAATACAATACAAATTCACCAAGTATGAATAAACTGGTCTCAGTGAGGAAACGTTTATTGTAAACAATCTAGTGGGAGGAGAAAGCAGACAACCCAGAGGAAACTGAAGGAGAGGAAAAACAAGTTTATGATGTACCTGCTGACGTCCAGGGGTCTGCAGATTGGCTGAACAATTTGTTGAGCTTTTCCTGCATGTCTTTGTCTCTGGCTGCATCCTCATTATCGTCCTTGGCGTCATTCCTTCCTTCCACTTCCTCCTCAATTACTCTTCTTTTACGATCTTCGTCTTCTTGAGTAATTCTATTAAGCCAACCATGTGGTCCTGAACCTAAGACAGGACTGGGAGCCTTTGCTGCCATGTCGTCTCTCCAAGAAGAGCTTTCATCGGATGACAACCTAATCAAAACAAAAAAGGTTTTGTGTAATTCATTCAGCAACTACATTTAAAACAATTATATTTCTTCTACAGAAGGCCTACATTGAGCCACATTTTCCAGATAAAATGTCTTCTCTTGATGAATGGAATATTTAAGTGAAACTTTATTATCATTTTTTTTTCTGGGTGTTTTAAAGTAGCAGTCCTCATTTGTTGCAGGTTAGTATTTAGGAACAATTAGGAAACAAGTAGAGACCCAGAAATAATACCAAACAATGGGCGACGTACGTGTGTTCAGTCACACCAGGAACTGTTTGGTGATATATTGACATTTGTGTCACATGGAACATAAGTATATTTAAGTACATGATTTTGGCATGGCTATTGAAAAGACACACAAAAGAGGCTTCAGACAAATTTCTTTGCTATATCAAGTCAAGCAATGATCTGCTTTATGCCACTGTCTATTAGAATAGTTGACGTCAGCCGAGCCTTTAATTACTGTTTTTGGCAGCCACTGAACAACTATTTTTTAAATAGTATAGCTTTAACAATAATTGTATAATTTATTCAAATGGTTGTGCTGCTCGAAACAGATGCAGTTAAATGTCCATCCATCCATCCATTTTCTTCCCCTTAATCCATTTCTGGGTTGGGGGGGTGGCAGTCAGAGCTGCACCCAGTTCACAGAGCACCAGCCCTGCAGGTGGTGAGTCCACAGGAGCTGAGATCTTTCAGCAGTTAAATGTATACTATAAAAACTTTTGTTTATGATGACATAAATCTTTGATAATATGGGGTTTTAACAAAGGACATGTGTGTGGTACCTAGTATTCTGAACCTCTGAGGAATTTCTCTCTGAAGGAATATGAGAGAGATTGTGAGCAACAAGCTGGGAATCTCCCTCCGCTTCCTTTTGCTTCAGCTTCTGTTGTCGGCTATGGATTTCCCTCAGCTCCTGTAAAGGATGAAGGGAAGGAGCAATGAAAAAATTAAATGTTTACTAGCATGAGCCTCCACAACAAAACCTACACAGTCACCAAAAGATGATCCGAAACTTTCGTGGGGAGATATTACATCAAGGTCAGACTTTAAAAAAAACAAAAAAAAAAAACAACATTAACTTGAATTATTGATTACATAACATCCATGCAACATTGTTTAAATGTTAATTAAATCTTAAGCAGAGAACCGTTAGACACTTGACATTCAGGTGAAAGCCAGAAAATTAGAAAAATCCTTTGTCAACTTATAATGTGAACCCAATACAAAATATACACAGTAGATCCATTAAAAGATTAATATGACATATGCCAAGCCTTTGTTTGTTATAATTTTGATGATTATGGCTTAAAAAGGTATATAGGCATCATCACTTCCAGGTGGATCATCAAGACTATTGGTCATTCCGGTGATACTGTATGTGCTCTTCATATATTATTTACATTGTAAGTTTTACAGACGTAAATGGACCATGGAACAATATATATTCAAATGTTCCGAGTTTCACCAGGATGTTTGAACAGGTATCCTGTCAGAGATTACAAATGCAAAATGACAATGTCAAAGTCCCAGATCATCTCAAAAACAACATCATTAGGAACAATTTCCCATCTCCAAAACCTCCTTTACATAAACATGCCAACTTCCAGAAAACCCCATTCACAGAATGACAAAAGATTCAGATTTCAGTCTTTCTTTAAACTCTGGTTAAAAAAACCCTGGAACATGCATAGAGGTAAACTGCTGCATTATTCATATTGTTCCTCGGATCAACACAAGCCACACCGATTATACACAAGGCTCATGAGTTTGACCATGCCGAACTGTGTAAGTGTGTAAAAGTGCAATAGATTGATGGCAATCATCACAATTCAAAATTATCTTCTTTTAAAAGTCTCCTAAATATAAAAAAAAAAAAAAAACAAGGTTGTTACGGCTGAAACTTATCAACGATGAACTACAAACCTGGAACATTAAAATATGGGAACTCCCTTCTTGCATGGCCTATAGCAGCATAGTAGATATGAGAAACCAGAGCAGAAAGAGGTGAATGTGAGAAACCAGACCATCTCAGACACAGAAACATGGAGACAGAAAAGAGTAAAACTCCTCTACTCTTTCATAATTGTGTTTAAATTTTGCTCATAGATTTATTAAAAATAACAAACTAGCCTAAAATGTAATCATAGCAACAATAGGTAACAAGTGATAACACATGTAACGATATATTCTTTTTTACAACAGTGGCATTTACCACAACAATAGAGTACAGTGGAATCAGCTGTGTTCAGCAGGACTCCACAGGACATCTAACTTACCAGTAGATTACAAATAATTATGAATTTAGCATGTTTCCATTGGCTTTAAGATTAAATATTTTTCACCTCTCTTTGGTTAAATAATAGTTTCCACTCTGTAAAGTAGCCTTAAAGTCTACGTTGAAGTGTAAATTGAATTCTTCCAAAGTTTCACAGCGATAGCTTATCAAATAGCTTGAAAACCATTCAGATTAAGTATCATATGGCAGTACTGTGGTTTTTGGTGGATACTACATGATATGCATGTACAAAAACAATGGCGTATTTACGTAAACTTTAAATTAGACATAATAATAATTATGTACACAAAAGCACATTTCTCAAGATCTTTATTGTTTTTTAGACTCAAATTCCTTGACCCCACAGCCAGATGCTGTGGGTGTGCAGACTGGGTGATCATCAGGTGCTCACATACAGTCGGGCAAAAAAGTATTTAGTCAGCTACCAATTGTGCAAGTTCTCTCACTTAGAAAGATGAGGGAGACCTGTAATTTTCATCATAAGTATACCTCAAATGAGACAGAATTTGAAAAAAATAAAAATAAAAACAGCTTAAACGTTTTCTGAAAGTCTTCACAAGGGGTTCACACACTACATCCATCCATTTTCTTCCCCTTAATCCATTTCTGGGTCGGGGGGGTGGCAGTCAGAGCTGCACCCAGCACTTAGCACCAGCCCCTCACTGATCCTCCTGCAGGTGGTGAGTCCACAGGAGCTGAGATCTTTCAGTGGGGGCTTCAGGGAAAGTGGGGTTAAGTGTCTTGCCCAAGGACACGACAGCAGACATCAGTGGGAGTCATGAAGTAGGTCTTAAGATGGGCTCGAACCTTCAGGCCCAAAGGCCAATGTTCTACCAACTGAGCCACTGTCGCCCTAGGGTTCACACACTGTTGCTGGTATTTTGGCCCATTTCTCCATTCAGATTTCTAGAGCTGTAAAATTTTTCAACTCCCTCCAAAGATTTTCTATGGGATTTTCCTAATCTCTTTGCAGAAAAACAGCCCCAAAGCATGATGTTTCCACCCCCATGCTTCACAGTAGGTATGGTGTTCTTTGGATGCAACTCAGCAATTTTTCTCCTCCAAACACGACAAGTACATTTTTAACAAAAATATCTATTTTGGTTTAATTTGACCATATGACATTCTCCCAATCCTCTTCTGGATCATCCAAATGCTCTCTAGCAAACTTCAGACGGGCCTGGACATGTTCTGGCTTACGCAGGGGGACACGTCTGGCACTGCAGGATTTGATTCCCTGTTGTCGTAGTGTGTTACTGATGGTAGCCTTTGTAACTTTGGTCCCAGCTCTTTGCAGGTCATTCACTAGGTCCCCCCGTGTGGTTCTGGGATTTTTGCTCACCATTGTTGTGATCATTTTGACCCCATTAGGTGAGATCTTGCGTGGAGCCCAGATTGAGGGAGATTATCAGTAACCTTGTATGATTTCCATTTTCTAATAATTACCCCCACAGTTGATTTCTTCACACTAAGCTGCTTACCTATTGCAGATTCAGTCTTTCCAGCTTGGTGCAAGTCAACAATGTTGTTTCTGGTGTCCTTTGACAGCTCTTTGGTGTTGGCCATAGTGGAGTGTTTGAGGTTGAGGTTGTGGACAAGTATCTTTCATGTTGATAACGAGTTCAAACAGGTGCCGTTAATACACGTAACGAGTGGAGGACAGAGGAGCCTTTTAAAGGAGTGACAGGTCTGTGAGAGCCACAAATCTTGCTTGTTTGTAGGTGGCCAAATACTTATTTTCCTCAATGATTTGCAATAAAAAAAAATTTATAACAGACGGATGTGATTTTCTGGATTTTTCTCATCTTGTCTCTTATAGTTGAGGTATACCTAGGATGAAGGCCTCCCGCATATTTTTTAAGTGGGAGAACATGCACAATAGTTGGCTGACAAAATACTTTTTTGCCCAACTGTACATCCCCTGTAAAGAACCTACTGGGGGAATGAAGCCACTTTTCCTTGCTGAGGATGGAGGGTGTAAGGACAGACAATGTGTCCTAATAGTTTAATTATCCAATCGCTGTTGGCGAATAGACAAGGCTCTGATGAGAGTTGTTTTTTTTGGGCTATACAAAAACGGATTGGATTTTGAGGGGAGGAGCTCGAAGTAGAGCCTATGGCACCTACATGTTGGAGTTTGGTGATCAGTTTTGGATGCCTCCTGCATAGGACAACTCACAAGGAGACCCTGGATATGTCTGAGGGACAATGTGTCTTAGCTGGCTTGGGAAAATCCCATATGTATCTGTACAAATTATCAGTAAATTAAGGTGTATATCTGTATAAAGGTGAGGCACACTGCTGCAAATTTGCTCTTTTTTATAGTCTTTGTTAGTAAAAAGTGACAGAAGAGGCAATATATTCTCCGGTCCACCGAGCACAATGAGGCACACAGGAACACAAATGGTCAGCGGTACAAGCATACATTAGCAGGTTAGTGACAGACGAGACGACTAAAAGCTGACTCCAATCACAAAACTACATTGGCTTTGTGCTGGTCTGTGAAGATTATGTCAGTGCAGTACAACCTCAGGCCAGCAGTGGCAGTGTGCGCTACCTGTCTGCCTTTCTGCTCGTCCCCAAGCTGCCGACGTAGGGCTTCTATCCTGGCACAGTGGTTGGCATAGAACTCACAGAGAAACTGGTATAAGCAAAAGAGCAAATGGCTCAGGGAGAAAAGGGATATGTGACAATAAGGAAATTGTTAATTAATTGAATTCATGAGCAAAACCAAAACAAATTAATATTGGTACGAGAAATTTAGCCATTTCCAAAATGTCCCAATTGAATATTTTATCATAGTTGATATTCTACAAAGAAACATTTTGTATGAAGATATAATAATAGATTGGCTCAGCTGTTGACCAAATGAGTGTAATTGAATAATAACAATTACAAATCTCAGACCACGCGGTCTGAGATTTCATTCCCTAGAAAAAGTCCTTTAGATGAAGGACGAAACGTCGGGAAAACCTGCTAATAAGTACAGATGATGGGTGAGAAACCTTCCTTTGCTTTGACTAATCCCTGTACGAGAGAGCTTACACAAACTTTCCCATTATTGAATTAAATATTGTGAGCATTTTTCACTGACTTACACTGACCAATCTATTTGACTCCTTGCAAAAGTCGAAATCCAACATTGTTGAAAGCCGCCTATCACTTGTCAAAGTGGGAATTCTAAATCCAGTTCTTGGCTTTTATGATCACTGATCCACTTCTCTCCCCTTCTGCTTAAACCGTGGAAGCCCTAAACCATTGGTACATTTGTTATGTGTAATGATGCATCAAGTAGACTACACTTTTTTAATTTGTCTGTAAACAAATATTATAAAATCATTTGGCAACTTTGAGCATCAGAAGCCTCATCCTCAAGATAAATCACTGTGGTGATTATGTCAGAGCTAACCATATGGGTAAAGTTCCAATCACACTGTCCCTTAATTGAACTTCACATATTTGCACATCGTATTTTGGTCACATGTGTGATTACAAAACACAGCTCGTTTTCCTGCCTACTGAAGAGGCATCTGTTCTCTGTGAACCCGTGATCTGTGCCAGAGGATAGGATATATTCCTTAAAGATTGCACACGGTATGGGTCCATACAAGGAAAATATTTAGATTAGGTTCTTAGTTTAAGTTTATTTCATGAATGGCCATAATGCACCAACTCTGTTAAAACAATGGTACCCAGCCCTATATGTATATACAGTACATGTATATACATATATAAATAAAGCTGACTTACAAACACAACCGTCTGACCCAATATAAAGGACCTGGGGACAGAGAGCCTGTGGCAAAAGAGTGGCCTTGTCTTGACTTTTGTGACTGGCACTGAGGACTATTATTGTGGATGACGCCTAAATATCCTGCGCCCAGAATGTTTAAAACATTCAAAAGAAGGGTTCAACCCAAGCTTCTTTTAGAACAAATGTAATCTTATGCACATGTTTTTAATTCCATGCAGAGCTGTCAGAACAGGCATTGTTCGCTGTGGAAGATTAATTTACCTTGAGTTGAGTGTTAAACGCATCAATCTCCAGAAGTTTAGCCCTGGTTTCTCTCTCCACTGCATCCAGCTGCTCTCTGAGCTGCTGACGGCGGATTTCCTTCTGTTCCAATGTTTTGTGTAGTGATGAAAGACTGTCCCCTATATAGCAACAATAAATGCAAGTAAATAAAGTTGTGTATCTAAATACACACTTAAATGGGTGGAAAATTCTATTGGACACAATATTAGTTGTTTTCTCATGCCTACAATAACACTCACGCTGCAGGCTGTTCTGCTGGACTTGCTTCAGCTGCTCATTCAGGGTCTGTTTGTCCGGTATGAGTCGTCCCAGCCACTGCTGAGAGTCCTGCAAATCACACTTGACATGAAACAACAGTGGCACAATTTGTAAAATGTAAAAGTTCCCTTCAGGAGAACCACATTTGGACAATCAGTCTTCTCGGTCAAGGGGGCAAAGCTCTGGAACTCTTTAAACCAACAGCTGAAACTGAACTCTAACTGGGCTGGTTTTAAACACTAACTGGCTATAAACGTTTTAGTGTTTTGCATGTTTATTGTGTACACTTGTCCCCATCAAATAACTCAATAAATATAATGTACAGTCCCCTCTTTAGGCACATCTTCAGGAAATTCTAATTATACAGATTTTTTTGTCAGAAAATATATTAAAGAAAGTGTTGCATTATTCTACTTTCAACTGTGTTTATATTTTTATATGTCAATGAACTGACACATTAAAAACATGAATGTAAACCTGCCAGATTATAGCCTAAGGCTAATTTCCATCTGTTGTCCCACTGTAATGAAACAATAATTATGGAAAGCATTATTGCTTTGTGTTTGCACCTGAAGCTGCTGCTGTAAGGAGGTAATCTCTGCAATGCGTGTCTCCCTTGATTGATTGGTCTGCTCCACCTCTCTTCGTTGAGCCGACAGTCGAAAACGAACATCCTTCAGTTTTCCTTCAAGCTGTGTTTTTTTGTCATTCTGAAAAGAGGATATTCCACAACAAATCACTGTATGTATTCCAATATGATAAGTATGCATAATACAACATGTATTTTATTAAAGGGAATATTTGAAGATGATAAACCATGAAACTACTGATAAACTGATCCCATGTCTGCATTTATACATGCACCCGTTTCCTTGGCAGGTTCAATCTGACTCAGCCCTGACATTTTTTGTGCATGATTTAATCCAGTTCTAGCTGAGAGTCCACAGCAATGGTGCGCTAGAAATAATACACTGGTATCATTGTAGAGTAAATCTAAGCACTAGGACATCAGACAAAACCAATTATCTTGATTCACCCTTACCCCTTGTGTCTGCAACAGAAACCTATCAGAAAATATATTGTTTTGGAATCAAGAAGGCGTATAAAAAATTACCAGGGCTTCGAGCTCAAACTCCAAAGTCTTCTTCCTCGCTTTGAGCAGAACAATACTTTCTTGCTCTCGGTTTCTTTGAATTAAAAGCTCCTGGCGTCGTTGTCGCTCCCATTCCAACTGACGTTGACGCTCCAACTCCCTTTTGGCAGCCTTTTTAAGAAAATTAAATAATTAAAATATATTATGAAAAGCCTGAATATAGTCTGTCAACAGTAAATAAATATGACTAATTAGTTATAGCAGCGGCACACTATAATAAGCTTGCTAGTGATTCCAATTCAGATTCTGTTCACAATTTCTGTAATCTGAAGAAGATTTATGCGATACATACTGTTGTAAAATCTATCTAATCTGAGAGCAGAGCAAGTTATGGAACAAGTGTGCATTTACAGAAGGAAAATAAAGCCCCAAACTCATTAGCAACCAACTGGAGTTAATTGGAGTCCCTCCACACTAACAGTGACGGTCAGAGAAAAGGGAGGTAAACCCCTTTGGAAGAGCAGCTCTATCATTTCAATTAACTTTAAAACACAGATGAATGGTACCTCTCTCCTTTCTATCTCTTTGCGCCTCTCTTCTTCTCGCTGCCTCTCGATCTCCCTCTGTTTCTCCAGCTGCTTTTCAAGCTCCTGCTGCCTCCTTCGCTCCTGCTCCAGCCGCTCACGCTCCTAAAGTAGACACATGTAGTGTGCGATGGCTCAAAAAACTAAATGTACAGTTCTGCAGAATTAACTAGAAACACCGTCAGTCGATTTACCTTTCGCTCCAGCTCCTCCCTTTCCAGAGCAGCCAGTCGTTCCTGCTCTTTCCGCTGCTGCTCCTGGAGAGCCTGCCGCCGCTTCTCCAACTCCAGATTCCCTCGCTCAAAATTCTCTCGTTTCTTGTCTTCAAATGTAACTGAAAAAGCAAAAGCCAAAGTAAAAAACAAGAGTAAGCAGCCCAAAAGAAGGGCTGAGTAGAATAGTCAAGTTAAAGCTGGATTACCTCACTTTATATTTGCATTCATTAGAAAAATACAATCCATATCCATGCAGTGCATTGGAATGTCCTTTTGAAGAATAAGTAGCGCTGGTTTGTACTGGAGTGCAATTTTATTTTAGATAACATTTTCATGCAACCCCGAAGAGAATTTTGGGACCAGATAGGGGACCACTGGCCCCCACTTTCTTGAGGGAATCTACAGGTCTCTCGTTAGCGTGCACAACAGCTGAGGTAAACAAGCATCATGGCGGAGTCAAACCTGAAACTTCCTGTCTTTGTTACCGGTTACTACTTATACAGCGAAACAGCCGTCCAAAAGAAAGTCCCTACAACAACGGAGGGAGGCCAAGCATTTGAAGGACCGGGAGAGAGGCACCCGGGAAGCGAGGCTGACGAGACTACTTTAGCAGTGGGGCATGCAATCAAATGAGGAACAATAAAATACCTGCAGGCCCGTCGGAAGGGCTGTGCGACCTGTGCCGTCGCACAGGGCCTCGCACCACACAGGGCCTCGCAATCCTTCCTTTTTTTATTTTTTTATTAAATAAATATACTAGTTCAAGAGTCCCCAAAGGGCGGACTGCGCTCCAAATTCAGACCCCTAATCCCCTTTCTCTGGACCTCTGATTTCTTTTGTTCAAAAGTACATTATTACAAGTGAAGTCAAATTTTCCCCAAAAGCAATTTGTTAACAGGCAGGCGCGAGGGCAGCTATGTACGCAGCGGGTCCTCCGAAAAAAAACTTTACGGAGCTGTCAGATAACTTTAGCAGTGTCTGAGTGAAGAAAGTAACGGGAATGAGCCCAGTGTACGGAGAGATGGATACTCGCGTCTTCCGTGTGAGGAGGAGGAGAGAGGAGTGTGACCAAAGGAGGAAGAGGAGGAGCTGCGAAACAGGTGTGTGAGCGCTGTTATTGTCAATGTTGAGCCCGAATATCCACATCAAAAACATATTATAAAAGCATTAGCAAACACTCTATGTCCAACGTTCATGCTACTGTGAGTGCAGTGGATTTTGGGCATAAAAATGTGGTCAGAGTGTGTGGTGGAGGAGCAGGAGCATGTAGGTTGTGGTCAGAGTGTGTGGTGGAGGAGCAGGAGCATGTAGGTTGTGGTCAGAGTGTGTGGTGGAGGAGATTGAGAAGGAGTGTATGTTGTTGTGGTCAGAGTGTGGAGGAGGAGGAGCAGGAGAAGGAGCGTATGTTGTGAGTGTGGAGGCATGGCAAAAACGTTATTTGATGAGGAAAAAAATAACAAATATTGACTCCGCCTCATAGCCATTTTGGCGCATTTTGCCGTAATCTAACAATTAGAAAAAGAAGAAGACTCCTTTTGGTTCAATCTTTTGAGTTGCTGCCATTTTGCCACAGGACGAAAGAGCCATGTCAGCTAAAAAGACCGCGACCAATATACCAATGCCAAGCGCGGTAACAGTTTGTGTGTGGGTGCGTGCGACGCTGCATTGGAGCGAGGACACACGTCTGCGCGCATGCTGATCTCTTCACGCACAGCGCGAGGCGGTGCTGAATTCATGTCAAATATTATAACATGAAAAACTTTCCTGAGATCTGGGAAAAAGGTGTCAGGGCAGGGCCTCGCGTTTCAAGTTCGCACAGGGCCTCGCACCCCCCTTGCGACAGGCCTGAATACCTGCAACATTTCCACTTGCTTTTGGGCCAAAAGAAGAGACGTATCCACATTAATATGGATCCATGATCCAGCTCCAAAAACAACACGAGCATGCGCATGAGTGTGAGGGGGGTAGTGGGAGCAATAACTTCGTGAGTGCAGGTAGGGGAGCAGAAAGAGCGAGGGTAGCGCTCACATTTGAAACAGCTGCTTCAAAGTCTCTAAGTGAGTTAGTCCAGCTTTAATGATTGATTGATAAATATGAATTGATAAAAAAAGACAATACCTGGTAGTTTCTTGTCTTGATTGGTCTCAATCTCTTCTTCAACTTCTTCTTGGACAGTCTTATGGTCAGATTGCACACTGTCACTACGTACACGCCTGAAAACATTTAAAATGCTCAAACAAAACACAATAATTATATATATATATATATATATATATATATATATATATATATATGCTGAAAAATGTATCTATTGTAAAACAAAATGTATCTATTGTAAAACAAATTACCGAAAGGTCGGGGGAAGGTATTCTGGAGGCAACACAGGAGGGAGCGGGACACCGGACATGGCCATATCAATGAGGTGCATGGCCAAAATGAACTCCTCAGCAGTTAGTTTCCCATCCTGGTCTATGTCTGACAAACTCCTGGAAGGGATTTTTTAAATTACAAATTTAACATACAGCAACATATCAAACAGGACCAAGACTAATTTAAACCTAGGTCAATAATTACAGTAATGTCTCGGTAACAGCAAAGAAAAGCCATTAATACAAGCGAGCAGCCTTCACTAATCCAGAGAGCTGGGTGTTTTGTACACAGTCTATTCCGACCCAGGGCAGGGCCCTAGTGTGGGTCTGTCTGTACAGAGCCGCAGATCCTCTAGATAAGAGCAGTGCATAAATACTCAATGCACTCAAAAAGGTTCAAAGAGCCATATTTGACAAACAAAACAAAAAAAAGTAATGTGCTAATGTCCTTAATGGCCCTTTCTTTCACCGTCTTTGCGGAGGTTTTTGAAGTCTGAAAATAGGTGCTCTGAATTTTTGATGAATGAATCCTTCATGTAATCACCGTGAGCGGTGTTTTGTAAGTAAGTAAGTAAGTAATCTTTATTTATATACCGCCTTTCACAGACCAGAGTCACAAAGCGGTTTACACTGGGCACTTGTCCTCTCACTCCACACAGAGATGGGAGCAGGGCCAGTACAGGAGGCACAAGATATGACGCACTACGTTGACAGAAATGTTGAAATTGAATATTACTGATGCACATTTTTACAGTATTAAAACGTTAAAGTTTTTCCTCCTACAAAAACCACATTCAAACTAGAAATAAAATATAGCCCTCACACTCAATTTTCAGATATTTTTGAAAAGGCTTCAGGAGCCACTCGAGGAGCACTAAAGAGCTTCAGGTTGCCGACATCTGGACTAAGCTGATATGTCACTCTTCTGAATTTGGATCACTTTAATACTTTTTCACTTTTGGTCACTTTAATAAATAATCAATTAATTAAAAACAAATACAAAATACATTCAGTTCCAAAATGTTAACGCACCATATTGTGGCAAGTTGTCCTTGAGGAAGACTGGACTGCATGAGAATTGTACGTGCTTGAGGTCCTGTAAGGAAAATATCCGGTAAAAAAAAAACCCATATAAAACGTATGTTATCAAAGCCCCATCTTTGTTCTTTGAATATTGGGAAAAAACAATTTGGTAAAAATAAGGATCAATTAATTTCAATTATATAAAATTTTATGTATGAAACAACTGTAAACCAAAACAAACAAAAAACTAAAACATTGCTCAAATACAAATACAGTGGCAAACAATTTAAAGGAATAGTTCACCGTTTTTACATACTGACATATGTTCTTACCTTACCTTAGACTAGTTAATACGTACCTGTCTGGTCTTAGTCCGTGCGCTCTGTCATGCAAACGGAGCAAAAACGGGAGCACAACCGCAGCCTCCTCTGTATATTTTGTAGCACCAAAAGGTAGCTCCCGCTAGAAGCTACCAAACTCTTCCAAGTGTTCCCTATTAAATGTATATAGTTACGTGACGTGTTACACTGCAAAGTATAGTAACACAGAAATGTAACAGTCGATTTTCTCAGCGGATAAAACGGGTACTATATTGTGAGGCGTAGTAATCTGAGGGGCGCTACGTCCGCGCACTAACTTCTCTCCGGAGACTTCTCTCTCGCTCACTTCCGTCAATAGAAGCAGCGTGACTTGTAGTACACACAGTAGCAGCGAGAGAGAAGTCTCCGGAGAGAAGTTAGTGCGCAGAGAAGTTAGGAGCGCTACGTCCGCGCACTAACTTCTCTCCGGAGACTTCTCTCTCGCTGCTACTGTGTGTACTACAAGTCACGCTGCTTCTATTGACGGAAGTGAGCGAGAGAGAAGTCTCCGGAGAGAAGTCAGTGCGCGGACGTAGCGCTCCTCAGATTACTACGCCTCACAATATAGTACCCGTTTTATCCGCTGAGAAAATCGACTGTTACATTTCTGTGTTACTATACTTTGCAGTGTAACACGTCACGTAACTATATACATTTAATAGGGAACACTTGGAAGAGTTTGGTAGCTTCTAGCGGGAGCTACCTTTTGGTGCTACAAAATATACAGAGGAGGCTGCGGTTGTGCTCCTGTTTTTGCTCCGTTTGCATGACAGAGCGCACGGACTAAGACCAGACAGGTACGTATTAACTAGTCTAAGGTAAGGTAAGAACATATGTCAGTATGTAAAAACGGTGAACTATTCCTTTAAGATCCAAATATTTGCTAAAATGTCATTACGGTCCAACACAACTTCTACAGATATCCATCTTAGTCATAGAGTAAATTTTAGAATTTTAGTTGGTGTTGTTAAAATAAACTTAAAAAAGTTTAAAAGGCACCATCTTGTCCCATTAACCTCAGATAACAAATTGTGTAGTAAGTTCCTCACAAAATTATCAAGGTTTAAAAGAAAAAGAGATATAAAATAGAACATTTTGAAAAGTAATTGAATTCACTTTATAGTATACAAAATCATGTCTATCCATCCATACCTGTGAGATGGCCGCTCATCATCTTGTCGTGTGAATTAAAAAGTTGTCGATACTTAAGCCTTGACGACTGAGGGACGGCCCAGTCTGGAGGAACGGCATGGACCTGACTGCTGTTGAAAACAGAAGCTGATAAAGACCTACATTTAAAATCGGTACTGCAATGTGAGAAAACCCAGCATATATTACCTAGTAGTGTCAAATGATGGCCCTTTTTGTAATTTGGTACTTGACCGATTGAAGGAAGAAGACTTGTTGACAGAGGGTGCTGGAAGAATAGAAAAACTTTTTTTTTTTTTTTTTTTTTTTTTACATAGCTTGATGCTTCACATGCACATCATGTACTAAAACTTGTGTTCAACATTACAAAAACAGGATTTACAAAATACACATAAAACAAAATATCCTAAGCTTATGTTGAAAGTAAATCATGCTATAAATGTTAATAGATCATAAGTGTCCTTAAACGTCCTGGATCATCACCACTGTCCTTGCATCGGCAAGGAACAACTCTGTTTAGTGATGCAGTCGACCAGCTCAGGTTAAGGTAAACCAGCAGGATCATCCCGTCTGATGGACAGCCTATAATGTAGCCTAAAACATGATGTTAGGGCTGGGCGATATGGCAAAAAAGTATAATCTCGATTTTATTTCCTGCTTTGGACGATGTTGATTTCAAATCGATTTTCATTAAAGTCACTCAAGACAGACTTTGCCCTTAAAATATTTTTTATCTTCCTGCTCAATATTTAAGTTTAAAAACTATTTTTTTATTTGTTTCCCCCAATACATATTATAAAAGTCTTGTACAGACTGTGCTGATATCGCAAGTATAATTGATGTGCTGCTGGAACTCTCACAATATCCCTCATTCGATTTCACGATTTTCACATTTTTCACGAATTCGATTTTTTCAAAAGCCGATTAATTGCCAAAATTTGATTTATTGCCCTGCCCTACATGATGTTTCCACTGGTGCTAAAACTGATATTTGGATATACCTTTTTGTCAACATAAATATTGAGGCATAATAACTTGTGCCGTGTGCTCCTCTTTCCTGCTGTCCGATAACTTGTGATGCAACACTGAAATTTCCCCACTGTGCGACGAACAAAGGATCTCTTAATCTTAATCATAAGCACTTCATTTATAATTAAGAATAAATACATTTTTTGTATCAGAAAATGCCAACTATGATTTGTACATTGACCTTGACAGATAAAATAAAATAAAAGTGTGTATATGTTTTATTTGGTATTGATGAAGAGTAGTGCTGTAAATACACCAGATTGTAGCATTGGGCCAATTTCTATCTGTTGACCTACAGTCACAAATACACCAGAGGAAACCTATGCAGACACAGGGAGAACATGCAAACACCACACAGAAAGACTGTCTGGAGGTGGAATCAAACCCAGGATCTTCTTGCTGGGAAGCACAAGCACTATCATGCTCCTTTAAATAATGTAATTTTCCATGTCATGAAAAAAGAAGCAGGACTGGCTCTATCGTGATACCATCAGATTAAAAGAACAAAATCCCTAATAGTAACAGAATTTTTCAGCTACAAAATGTTAAATCCCTAATAATTAAATTGTGATTCTTACGTGCATGGGGGAAACCAGCGATGGGCTGCATGATGGCTGAGGGAGGGGCACCGTTGGCAATAGGTTGGGTTAACGAAGGTTGAGAAGTTGAGACAAGAGGGGGCGACACTCCCACAGGAAGGGGAGGCAGAGGAAGAGGGGGGACAACAGGTAGAGGAGCAGGTATTGACGCTATGGGGGGCAAACCTGCAGAATAAGACAAGCAATTGGCAATAATCATAGTAGCTGGAATAACAAACAAAAAAGGTTTACCTAAAAAAGCATCAGAAACATGTATGTACAGTATGTAACAAGAACAAAACTACACATAGTTTAGAAACTCTACCGCGCAGTTTAGAGAGAGTGGATCTCCCTATTCAGTAAAATAGATGCACCAACACGGATACTGGTCTGTACATTTATTCTGATGTATTGAAGTCTATTTAGAAAGTTGCTGAACTAAAGTTACTGTTACATAACACTAAAGTAGTGTTTAGGTGACAAGTCACACTAACATCAAACTTTGAAACTGTCCACTCAATACTCACCAAAGGCAGGCGGTGGAGGTAACGACAGAGAGGGTTGTTTCATACTTGGAGGAAGTGTGGGGGGCAGGGGATGACCTTGGAGTTTTAGCTTGATGAGTTTCATAGCAATTGAAAACTCGTGAATATCCATTCGGCCATCACTGTTCATGTCGGCTAGAGCCCTGAAGTGAAAGAAGTTAGGAGACGTATGGGCTTTAAAGAAAATGATATCCCACATTTTACCCTGTCACACTACAAGTATATACATCTACTGTTAACCTCTCCATATAAAAAGGCACAGTTCAGGCTGGAAAGACTTATCACTTACCAGATTTGGGCAAGAACGGGAGGAGGGAGTCCTGACTGGAGAAAAAAATTTCTAGCCTGATCACCTACATGAAGAAAAAAATAGATATAATAAGCCCCAGAAAAAAACATATCAGTATCAAAAACAACAGAAACAAATGCAGCTGGGGGCCATTGTAACCAGCACTGGCACTAACAACATTCAAGTGATGTTAAGTAAAATCATGAGTACCAGGAGTTTGTTTTTTGAAATTGTACCTGTGATAAAACCTCCAGCATTGGGAGAGAGGCTGTGGAACTGCTGATCATGTTTGGCTCTCTCATCCACTGAGATCAGATACACATCTGGACCTGTAACAAGCATGCACAGACACACACAAACACACATAAACTTTTCAACTTAATTGTTGTTCCTGTGCGGGGGCAACAGTGGCTCAGTTGGTAGAGAATTGGCCTTAGAGCCTGAAGGTTGTGGGTTCGAGCCCACCACAAGACTCCCACTGATGACTGCTGTTGTTGTGTCGTTGGGCAAGACACTTAACTCACCACCTGCAGGAGGACCAGTGAGGGGCTGGTGCTATGTGTACTGGGTGCAGATCTGACTGCCGCCCCCCTGACCCAGAAATGGATTAAGGGGAAGATTAAGGGGAAGAAGATGGATGTTGTTCCTGGATGTTGACAGGAACAACATCCATCCATGGATGGATGTTGTTCCTGTCACCAGTACACCATCATAAGTAGTAAAATGTAAAGCAGTGTGTCAAAGTACATAACAACTAATACATGCTTTCTGCTGTGTCTGACCTGTGAACGTAGTGGGGAACTGTGCCATGCTTCACTCAGTCCTGGGCTGTGATAGAACACCTGCGACACAGATGAAAGACACATTTTCTCATTTAATCATTGTCCGAAATATTACCATAGATACATATGAAAGTACTGCCTATTTGTTTGTCTATAAAAACTTTTCATGACACCTAAAGATGCTTCACATGACATTATTTAATCACTCCTTAAACAGGTGGTAAAGTGCTATAAACTGCAGCAATTGCCCTGGGGCACAATCACACAGGCAAGGCTACTAATTTGTGCCATTGGGCCCTCTGGCAAGCACCAACAATTCACGACCACACCAAAATCATACTAAGAAACATGGGTGAAGAGTCTGGCCTAAAGACAAAGACTTTAGTCCTTTAGAGGCACAATACTGTGATGTTCCCAGTGGTCTCCCATCACAGGCCAGGCAATGCCCTACTTACTATTACCCAGCAGAAATATCTTCAACATAAATATTTGTTTTATATACAGAGTTATCAACAGACAGACAAACCCTGGTGAAAACATAACCTCTGTGGAAAAGGTATTTACATTTCTCAGTATCACAATACAACATTCAGGTTAGTTAAAGCAAAAAATATGTAGTTATTGATGTTATAACATTGAACGCTCACACGGCTCACACTGGGGTCTTTGAGAGCAGCCAACTCAAATGTGGATATCTAGTCTTCAGGACAGAAAAGAGAAGTGGAAGTGCTTCTCCTCTCACTCATTTCCTGAATTGAAAAAAAAAACACATCGGGCGAAATGATTTGAGGAATTACAGACGAGTTATGCCTCTTCCTCTACCCAGTGTATACACACATACAAATAATTAACTGAATAGATGAATATATATACAATTATTACAGTGGTATTATCTTAACCATTGCTAAGCTGTGCATACAGCTGAGGATTTTATCTTCACTCTTTTGAATGTACTGTGATTATGATTTTAATGCCCTGTGTGATTGTGCCCATCTTTCTGTCTTGTTTCTACCTTAGAGTTCCCTGCTATACTCTCTCTGCTATACAAATAGACTTGCCTCACCTTGCCTTAAACCACTAGACTGTTTGAAGTCTGTTATTAATCCATGAAAATGAGCGTATGGATTTAAGAAATATCGGTCGCCATATTTCAAAGATAAATATCAACACTGGGTCATCTATAGACGGTCGAAATAATTCAAGTTATTATACAACGCTGTTGAAAGTAAGTTATTAGCCTCCGTGAGTGAAATTCCCGAAAACAAATGAGCTATGTTGTGAGTTGAACAGAGATGCAGTGATTTAACATTAGCATAGTGGCTAACAGGCAGGGATAATCATATCGTCGTTTACATATAAGCTACCACAGTATTAAACGTAATTCAGGAATATTGTGACATTCCATAAAGCTCCCTGGCACTCACATGAGTGAGTAGTAAATGATATTGCGTTGGTTGGATATAGTCCTTCAGCAGTGCAGCTAGCAGGCAGCAGGCAGCAGGCAGCAGGCAGCAGGCAGCAGGCAGCAGGCTAAAGCCGAGGCTAGCGACACCCGGACTGTCAATGGCAGCATCCATGCACTTACCTCATATTTCACTTTTCCTTTACAAGCACCGAACACATGAGCTTGTCTAGATAATTATATGGTTCATTATCTTCCTCCAGAGTTCCCACTGTATTCAAACCCCTAATGAGGTGTTCTTGTGATTCCAAAACTCCCACCGACAGAGGGACATTTGGAAAATGGGGTACAGCTGCTGAAGTATCGCGAGACTTACTGCATATTACTATTAGCGCGTGTACCTCGCGAGAGGATGAACGCATTGAAATAATGTGGCAAATGGACACGATTGATTTCCACTTAATTGGAGGTTCTTTCATGAGTTGACATAACTTGACAATATGGCCGAGTGAAGTACTAATAATTCACAATTTTATTTTTTTATTTAAATGTCTTTTCTCATATGAGCTGGTTGGTCAGTTGTTACATTTCATAAAGACCATCACCAAGTTAAGAATTTGATTATAAAAAATAATTCCAGGATTGGTTACAACTTATGGTTTCTACATTATACAGTAGTAAAAACAAAAACATGTCTGAAAGTCATCGCCCCAAGACCAGTACCTCCAATAACCAGTGAGAGGCAGCAATGTGATTAGCCTATTGTTTATGTCAAGCTTGTAAAGAGCTCAAGAAGAAGATGGCGTGAAAAATAAAATCAAACGAAGGAAGAAGGAAAGATAAACCTACAATTATATGTATTTTAATCCAGTTTTACAAAATGAAAGGTCTGTATTGTCGCACAACTGGGCATGATGGGGATGAACTTCAGTTCGTGATTCAAGAGACGGTATGTAGCCCATTGTTAAAAATATCTAAATCTACTGGTATAATTGCTGACCATGCATGCATACAAGTGTCATGCGCTTGAAGGCGTGACACCCTCCCGCAGCTGGGTCGATGTGGTTCTTATTCATCTCTAAATGCTGCTCTATTGGACCCATAGATTAAATATTACAGTTGTTGGCCCATCACATCTGATTTATGCTAGAAAAACAAGGCATCATGAATAGTCCTCACATTTTGGACTCTTGTTTGCACAACTATTCTCCAAATTGTCTTTATTTTCAGTCATTGAGAATGATGCATCCATGATGCATCCATTCTATCATGAGATGGTACACGCTCTGATAAAATCACATTGTCCATGATTAAAGGGCATGCATGTCCACATTAGTCTAATAAAGATGGGATGTTTTCATGTCTTGTGTTTTCCAGAGTCTTCCAGAGTCCTTGAACACTCATCAGGTCCGTGTTGAGGTCAAGGCTTGTGGACTAAGCAGCGTGGACCTCCAGGTAGCAGGATCAAATGCCTTACAAAAACATTATAAAGTTAATTTGTTCTTAAACTGAGGCTATTTGTGCATTTGTGCTGTACTGTAGTTGTGCAGAGAAATGAAGATGGAGAGAGAGCTGCTGTCAGTTGGCCGTGATATTGTGGGAGTCGTTAAAAAAGGTAACATTTAAGATTCTGTTGAACAATTAGTTTGCAACATATGTGTAACTGGTGTCATTGCAGTTGGATCCAAAGTGTCTCTATTCCAGGTGGAGGAGGAGGTTGTAGGTGGGGCACTTTTTAATTGACCTTTAGTCACACTTTTAATGTTTAAGTTTTTAATTTCCTCTTTTTGGATAATTTTCAGGAATTCTGCCTCTAGATAGTCCTTTCTCAGGTCTATGTGGAGTCATTGACATTGACGAACATTATATAGGTGATTCTGGTTATTCGTTTCATGTTTAAAGTAATTATTTAAATGTATTAATAATATTCAGAGGAGACTTTTTGCTTTCTGTTCACTAGTCCACAAGCCAGAGCAGCTGAGCGGTGTGACTGTGGCTGCATCTCTTCGCGATGCTGTAGCTGCGTACACCGCGCTGCACACCCTGGCTCACATGGCAGCCAGACACAGTGTGCTTGTTGTGGATGGTGCCAGCGTGGGTAACTTTTTATAAACTCAGTGATTGTAGTTTCAAAGGCTGTGACAGATCTTGTCTTTCCAACAGTCGTTTGGCCTCATGTGCATTCAGCTGGCCTGGTACCATGGACTTAAGGTCTTCACCACCTCACATTCGCCTCAAGACCATACCTTCCTTGAACAGCTTCGACCCACTGTAGGTCTGTTCAGTAACATCATTTATACATATGCAAAAAAACACAAACGTTATAGGTTTGGAATCCAGCAGTACCCAAATTTATCTTCCAAAAGGAGCATGAAACCGAATCGCGACCAATGTGAAACAAAGATGCTTGTCAAACATGATAAAGTCACACAAAGTTGTTAGTTCAAGTAATTTATTGTGTGATTCAATCAAAACTCACTTAAAATATCTTGTTTGTCTAAAAATCAATGTTTAGATTAAATGTTTTTAATTTAGTAATAATTAAATCCTCCCCTAACTGGGATGATTTAATCTGGTGTTTTGCAATCCTCACTTTGGGAACCACTGTGTAATCCAAGCATGACGGTTTTCTTACTTTTTACACTTTTTTTGCAGGTGTTCAGGATCCCCTTGTAGGTGAGATCTTTATTATGCACTTAATTTGCATTTCATATCAATTATGAGTATTCAGAACACCAGTGCTTTTCAGTAAGAGTGATTCCAGTCTACAAGGGCCCATCAACTCTACTTCCCGCGATCTTGGAGGAAACAGGAGGTCTGGGTGTGGATATAGTCATAGACTCTGGAGGTAGATAATTAGAGCTTTTGTTCATTTAACTTTAACTCCTATTATTTATGGCATTATTGACTTGTTTGTTTGCAGTGCATATACACAAAGGGGATGAAACTGATTTTGTCCCCGAGAAACATGACCTCATTGATGTGCTAGCTGTTGGAGGTCACTGGGTCACCTCTTGTTCACACCTGCAAGTATGATACTGGAAAATGTATATTAAAAAAGCTAAATATTTGTATGTTGCTAAAGTATAAGGGTTTTATTCCTTGCCACAGTTGGATCCTCCAGATAGCAGTTACCTTCATTTGAAGTCAGCCTCTTTGTCATTTCTAAACCCTGAAGCGTGGACAGCTTCATCAGCTCAACAAGGAAGATATCTTCGTATCCTTTTTATAGTTGATAATATATTCATATTTAGCATTTGCTGTAAACATTTTTTGAAAGATCCTTTATGTTTGACATCAGATATTCTCAAGGACATTGTAGATAAAATGTCTACTGGAGTACTGAGGTACGTCACCTGTGACAGTGTTATTTAGTAAAGTTCATAAAAATATGCTTATTTATATGTTGTTACACACATGTATGTTTGTAAGCTCTCAGTCATACAGGGATTGGTCAAAACAAAGGAAGGTTGCTCACCCATCATCTGTACTTCAGTTAGCAGGTTTTCCCTATGTTTCTTTTTCAAAGGAATGGAAGCTCAGCCGCCAGTTGGAGATTTATAACCCGTGGGTGTGGTTGGACACTTCCTGATCCTAACTCATTACCACATCTTAGACCTTGGTTATGAAGAAAACACACCCGTTTTTTATTATAAATAATGAAGGACATACAATATTTCAACAATAAATGACTTAAACCGGCCAATCCCAACTGGTTACACAAACATTTTTGCACATCGTGCTAACAAACAGGTTAGTCTTCCAGGATGACAAAAGTACCCGTGTCCTGAGGAAGTAAATGCAGGTCAGACTTTCAGACTTCAATAGTAGCTTAAGCTCGGACAAAATACGAAGAGAAAAGTCTAAAAAAAAGCTGGATATTTGAAAGTAATTATTCAGTAAAGAAAATCCATGGTTAAATTCAAATGCACTTGATCCTTGTTTGAAATGTACTCTTTTCAGACCTCGGCCTGAAGAAGCATTCCCTCTGTATGACGCAACTGTTGCCATGGAAACTCTTCAGCAAGACCCAAAGAGAAAGGCTGTGGTTAAACTCTCCTCGGAAGACTAATTTAATGCTTTCATCAGCGACAAGTTGGACGATCCGTGCAAATTAAAAGTTGCAATCATCTCTGGGGCACTTAGTCGATATTCTTCCTTATTTCACTTCATACACTGTAGTACCACTGTAGCCACAACTGCCCTGAGGCAGGCTGACAGAAGTGAGGTCCTGACCACCTCCATTCACACTCCATCTTAAATACTTCAGGGTTTAACATCCTCATCTTCCTCAAATCATGTACAAATACATATTTAAAGAATCTGTTATAACGATACCAGAAGGGCATGAGTTCCAGGTTAAAACATCTTGGTAAAAAGAATCAGAATCATACAATTATTTCAAGACATTTTCCCAAGATGCTCTTCTCCTCTTGCCGTAAAGCCAAGACAATATCAAGTTGTTCATTCAAAGACTCATCACGTAGCTGCAGCAGATGGGAGATCTGGGGACGTTATTACAGCTGTTAGTAAACTTAATTTAGTGTGTGTCTGAGGATTCTTGAGCCTTTACCTTTTCCAGAGCTCTGTCTGTGTCCTGCAGTATTTGGACACACAATGATCGAATAGTTTGGACGCACCACCTCTCCTGCTCCTCGCTGAGACACTGTCCCAGCAGCACAGCCTTCCACAGACCACTACAAAATATATCTACCATTTAAAGAACATTCTCATCCATATGTACTGGTAAAATAAATCAAAAAGGTTAAAGGTTAAGGTTGATAGAAAGCACAATTGCCACATTTCTTTTCATTTGCTCTTTAACTGTGTCCTTACAACTGTGTTTGTGGTAGAGACAGAACTCTAAGTGCAGCCATGAGCCTCCATCCTGGACCCTCACTGGAGACAGTCAGGTTACTGCAGGCGCACAAGCAAGAGTTCAATTAAAGGATCAAATACAAATATATTTAAGGACTTACCAAAGAAATTCATTTTGCTTTAGGAATTTTATCTTTTGGTGCAAACTGTTGTCTTTGTGCAAAACTTTACAGATAAGGTCTAGGTAGAAAAGTAGAATAAAGAATAAAAGAATGTGCAGAAAATTAAACCAAACTCATTGACTTGTGTTCTCTTTTATTTACCTGTGTCCACATAAACAACGCTGTGAGGGTTATTTGCAGCTATGAAACCATACTCCAGCAAGAGCCGCTGGTTATCGTGGCTGCCATAGTTGATGAAGGCCTGTTGATAGCATCCAATGCCGGAAATGCTTTTGATTTCATAACCTCCTGTGGCACTGTTAAAATTGGCCAAAACCTATTGAGAAAAAAAAGTCAACTGTTTTTTTTTTCTTTTAAATTAACTTGTTATTTAATGCCAGTTTATGTTTGAGATACCTGAACGTCAGGGCGATGGTTGAGTAAATCAAGAAAGGGAGCTAAAGCACACACATCCTGTCCAGAGAGGAACTGGCATGGGGCATGAGGCATGAACACGGAGCGAGTGTTGACAGTGCACCAGGCCCACCTAGACCAGGTGAGAGGTGAGGGAAGAGGGAGGAGTTTTGAGATTGACAGAACAAAACAATTGTGTAAGGAATGCATGAATCAGACACGATAAAGACACACCTCAGAGCTTCAAATGTAAACACCTCCTCAACTGGTTCCACCACAAGAGGCTGCAGCCACCTTAAGAGCGAGAAAAACAAATTTGATATCATGCTATATCCATTTTTTAGCTGTGCACACAACTGATTATGTTTTGGAATATTTATTGCTTTCATCTCCCTTAATGATTGATTACGTTTCATAATTTAAAAGCGTTAGCATATATTATAAAACACTTGCCACACACTTCAAGGGGAACAGTGTAATTACAGTGAAATTGGGTTCTCTCAGGTCTACTTGAGTTATTCCCTTAGGACAAAGTAACACCGCACCATGAGCCCAGTAGCTAGATGCTTCTAGGACATAAGAGAAGAGCCTACTTGAAAAAGGGCTGGTTTGAAGCATGTAGTTCCTGCACCAATGTTCTCTGCTCCAAGGCTTGCCTCTGAACCAGACTTGGCAGAAGTTCTATGACATCATCAGCAAAGTAGACGGGGCAAGTGTATGTTGCGGGCAGTACATCAATGTATGGATACCACTCCGAGAAAGGTGATCTGTGTCGCTCCAACACCAGGAACACACAAAGAACCAGAAGTGGGGAGGGGCGGGACCTCCAACTGTGAATAGAAAGACACATTCAGATTTATACATGTATGTAAACGAACATACAACATGATGGAAGATACCTCTTTATCAAAGGCCCTAAATAGCTGTTGAGCACAGTAGTAGTTGTTAGGAGACATGATTGTGGCAAATGTATGAGTAGATGTCCAGGCTGAAATGTATAGAGGAAAGAAATGAATCAATACACAAGTTTGCATTGACTTTGGTGTTCCTAAACTTACACATGTTATAGTAGTAGTATTATCGTTATTTGTAGATTTTTAATTAAAGCAGAAACTCAAAAGATCATAATTCATACATCTCATATTTCTACACTTTTACCGGACCTTTTATTTGACATTGGTCTGGTATTTTCATTCATTTTTTTTTTTTTTCAAACATACATGAGATTAAAAGAAATATTCACAGGAAAAATATATAAGTAAACAAGAAGACCTTTGTTATACTTTTTTGAATCAATCTTGCATATGCACCTTTATTGTTTTGAGAGTCTTCAGTCCTCTGCCTGTATCTGTGAAGAATAAAGTACAAATTAAATGAATAACTATGAGACACTAGACCAATGTAACTCATAGACTGAAATCAGATAGGTAAATGTTTTAAGGGCTACAGCTTTGGATTATTTTAGCAATTTCTCAATTATTACCTTTGAGTAACCGTCTTTTTACTTTTTACTTAATATCAAATGTATGTTGCTTTGTACTTGCATAAATATTGTTGGTATAGGTTAATCCTGTGGCTGTGAATTGTTTGTGATCGGTAGAGTTGGTTCCATAAGTGTAGGTTATGGAACAAGCAACAACAGCATCAAGTGATTGTGGCATAAGGCTACGTTAAGTTGTGGAAATGGAGTGAGACAAATACAATACATGTAGGGCAATGCTTTCAAATAGTTACCTGAAAAGTGTGCTGGTTGCAAAATGGTTGATGCAAAACCTTTTCTGTTGAGGAATCTCATGAGTCGCACATATGAAGCCTGGTGACACACAGACACTGCAAATACAAACAGTGAACCATCTGTCGGTGAAACATACAGAGTTACTTCCAAGTTCCAGTGCATACCTGACTGCAGCTGCGAGTTACGTTTTCGCCTCCTTTTCCGGGCCACTCGCCCGTTTGGCCTCTTTCTCTTCATTACTGTAACACTGAGGAAAGACAACTTCTTTTTGAGGGTATATTCAAGAAGAATGACAGATTAGAAACAAGATACATAGCAGACACTATATTAATCATGTCAGGTTCTTTATCCTAACTAACTCCTTCATTAGTTTAAGATTATTAGATTATTAAAGGGGAACTTTAGTTTGAGTGTTTAAAGTAAATATGATATAATATTGCAATAACCTACAAAGAACACAAATATAGGAATCAGTTGGTTTTAACATGAGAATTATGCATTGGGGCGAACATCATGACAGCAATTCTAGACTTTAATCTAGTCTTTATAGCTGTCACTAATGATCTATCTGACAGCTCTACTCTGGATGTGCATAATAAATGTAATATTTCACATCTGAACATTTTCCAGCTGTAGTAGATGTAATTATATGAAGGTGGCAACATAGTAACAGTAAGAGTGGAAGGACTGGAAGAGGACCTGCTCAAACATACTGTCTACGAGTATAAAATGTGTATTACAGCCTATGGTATAAACTTAATAACTCAAATCACCACGTGGAATTAACACTGTCACTATTTTCCTCACCAGCTTTATCCATTGATCTTGTTTCTCACTGGTGTTATATGGAAGAACGGATTTATGGCCAAGATTTTAAACATAGAATATTACAAAAAATCGTCCCCTTTTTTCTAACAGCTCCACCACCATAACATAATACATCCATGCTCCATGATACACCAGTGTGTTCTTCCTGTTCTGCGCACAAGAGGTGCGCATGACGAGGCTCCAGATCTGGTCTGTACAGTCTATGGTCTGCACATCAGCCACAGTCCTGATCCTCACATCTGATCTCTCTCTCTCTTCGACAGTGTCTACATTAAGTGCAGTTAGAGCTTGGTCATAACAGGTAAACCACATTTTATTTGTTCTACTTTGTAGCACACTTTGCTAGTCTTTCATAACGAAGCACTGCAGTGTCACGGATGTTTTATGTAAGAAAACTGTATGAAGAATCATTCGTACTCAGCATGACTAAGCATTATTGTAATTGAGTGATCACTCCGCAGGAAAAGTATGTATGTTTGGTGAAATAGAACGCTACATGATTGGCTCCATTGATAATTCGCTATTGATTAATGATTGTGTTTTGAAGAACCATGACTAAAGTTGCAGTAGTAACTGGCAGTAATAAGGGCATTGGTCTGGCCATTGTTCGTGCTTTGTGCAAGCAATTTGAGGGCGATGTCTTCATTACGGCCAGAAACACGTAAGTCCTCTACGAATGTTCATGCACATAACTATAAACATGTGGATTAACTTTCCCCTGTATTCCACTTAATGTGCAGGGGCCGAGGAGAAGACGCAGTGAAGACGCTGAACTCTGAAGGACTACAGCCCAAGTTCCAGCAGCTGGACATCAACGACCTGAGCAGCATCACGCAGGCAGCAGCCTTCTTCAAAGCCACATATGGAGGGGTGGACATTCTGGTCAACAATGCAGGCATTGCATTTAAAGGTAAACACTAAAGCAGACCAGTTTTGGAAAGTATTTGTGCAACACAAGTTGTACCAAACAATGTGTAAAGTGAACCTAAACTCTTTTCAGAGAACGAGTAAACCTGCTTTTACGCCAAACCAAAACCAAATCGGCTTCAAGCAAAAAAGTGTTAAAAATATGAAAAAAGAAAATAAAATCAAAGCCGCAAGCGGCGTCGAACAGCCCTCGTCGCACCGCGCAAAGAAGATGGCGCGTTCCTACAGCCTTGATGGGAGCGACACTGTGTATTTTGAATGTCTATGATCAATGATTGTGTGTCTCTTTGATTTTGCCATTGACAAATAATAGGGAGTGTTTGTCGTCGCCACAGCAACAAATTAAAAATCAAGCCATGGTCTAATTGAGTTTTTGAATCAGGATGGCAAAACAGACATATGTTCAAAATGTCAAACATTTTGATCAAAGTAACTATCTTTCTGGCCAGTCTGGGCTTTGCCCACTTGTTGGGAAAGCAATAGGCCCTTACCCCAGTTGGGCCTATTACAATAAGCCAGTCCAGAGAATCTAGTTAAACCTAGTTGTGTGATGTTATGGAGAAGCATTATAGTGGCTATTGGCAAAATGTAGATGTTTTGTGCATACACAAGTATATCAAGTCCTTTTATGTTTGTGGCCATTTCTAGTGGCAGATACCACTCCTTTTGAGGTCCAGGCTGAGGTAACTCTTGAGACCAACTTCTTTGCTACCAGAGACATGCTAACCCACTTCATGCCACTCATGAATCCAGGAGGTATGTTTCCACAATTACTGTGTACATATTGGACTGCAAGGTTATGTCTTTTTAATGTTCAACAGGAAGAGTGGTGAACGTCTCCAGCTTTGTGGGTTCTCGAACATTGAACAAGTGCAGTACAGACCTGCAGGCCCGATTCCGCAGTGAGGACATCACAGAGGATGAGCTGGTGGGGTTGATGAAGAGATTTGTGGAGAAAGTGAAGGCTGGCCAGCACAAGGAGGATGGATGGCCTGAGACGGCCTATGGAGTGTCCAAGACCGGACTGACGGTACAGGCTCACTGTCAAGCCATTCTGAAACTAACCAAAGAACTTGTTTATGATGCAGTATGTCTTTCTAGACACTATCCATGATTTTGGCACGTCGACTGTCAAAGGAGAGACCACATGACAACGTAAGAAAGACATTTTTCATAGACCACATCATATTTATAGCTTATAACTTAAAAAGAAGCTGCCCCACTCACCCTTTTGCCATGCAGTGATAAAAAAAAAAAACACCAGTGTTGGGAAATTTTAAATGCTAGTTATAGGTATGCCCATATTAGAAATATTATTACTGTATTTTAAATGTTTCTAATGAATTTGGAATAATAGGAGTGAGTCCTAAATGGAATGTACTTCAGCTAGGTAGTTTTTCAGAAAATAATATTACAGCCACTAGTTGCTTTAGTATGTATGCAGGCCCATAAGACAGAGAAGTGACTTGTTCATGATCTGTCCCACCCGTTTAGATCCTGCTGAACGCCTGCTGTCCGGGGTGGGTGCGCACAGACATGGCAGGTGACAAGGCTCCAAAGTCTCCAGACGAGGGCGCCATCACTCCAGTCTACCTGGCACTGCTTCCCCCTGGAGCCTCTCAACCCCATGGGTGCTTTGTGTCTGATAAGGAGGTCCAACCCTGGTGATTTCTTTCCAATCTGTACCTTTCAACGCTATAGTCATACTGTAAATTAATCTGACTGAAAAAAATGCCCTATTTTCTACTTATACGACTTCTCTTGCCTGGAAATATTTTGAATACTCACACAAATAACATTGTTCAAATTTTGTATTAGGTCTCAACATCTTTTTGTCATTGACTTCAATCTGCTTTTGAATTTGAATAAAATGCCTTTTGACTAAGTTTTCAGACTCGCCAACCAGTGGCAACCTACGACTGAGCTGTCAGTGTCGTTTTGCTGGCAGAGGGGAATTCAAACAAGGGAACACTGAAATTAAAACACTCCAGTAGTGAAGAACGCTGCCAAAATAAGTCCCATCTCCTTGTTGCTTGTGAAAAAAGCTGCTGTCCAAATACAGCTGTGTGTACAAAGAGTTCTTCACTCAATGCAGTCTGACACAGCCTTTTATTTGAGTCAGTTCAATTGTACAGGAGCCACAGAAACTAAAACGAGCAGTCCTCATTGAATCAGCTCCACCAGATCCACACCGGATACATGCAACCTTGCACACTTACATTTAGGTCAATATGTTTGCACCCTCCAGAATTTGACCGTTTCAAATTGTAAAAAGAAAAGTCAAGACTCATCTGTAATGGGACTCTCAGCCAATTTGTTCAAGTGAAAAAACTACCATGACTTAGTTGAGACAGATCTTGTAATTCGGTGGGGTGCAAAAACCAAACGGCACTGGACTGAAACGGTTTCTAGTTGTACATATATCTGGCATGAGTCATTTGTTTGGCAAATGGTCTTAAAAAAAAAAAAAACAAACAAAACAAAACGCTGAGAACAGACATTTCACATCAAATCAAATTTCTATCTTACCCACAAAAAGTTCATGTTACAGCTAGCAAGAAAAACACCACTGTTATACAAATGTGCACTCGTAACAAAATGTAGGAATATTAATGTTAAAGTATCTATAAATGAGATGCCCATGTTTTCAGGTAAATTGCAGCAATAAGAATGTGTCATTACCAACACAGATATCACCTGTTATCTGCAAAAAAATCTGTCTTTGTGGCATTCAAATCTGTCAACATGATAGTGCTGATGACCACAATTATATATATATAATTATAAATATACCACATTTATATTGTTCGATTGTGCTACTGCCATTGTTGCTGTGGTCCCAGGCAACAGCTAAAGGTCATCTTATGGAATTAGTCTTTCTAATGCCACTTTCACATGTATGTCGGGCAGATCGAATGGAAGGTTTCTCTGAGGTCAGTGCTCGTTCACCTGCTTCTAATTGAATGCGGAGCGCAAAGTCAGCAGTTTTTATTTTTCAAAGATAACGTTCAGAAGTCGCTTACAGTAGTTCTCGCAAAATAAATGTTCCCTTTTTCCCAGTCAGCGATCACAATACTCGTAATTCCCACTTATTGTTCCAAAATTACAAATACTCAGACTTAGTGTGATGTTCATGTGCAGCACCTGCTCAGGAAGTCATATTCGATTTAGCCCGACACCACATCAAAGCGCCACTGTCCAAGAAGAGGGCTGAGGGCATTTTAGTGTCGTTATTAGCTGCATTCTTTAGCTCATAAAATCCAACCTCTGACCGTTGTGAACACAAACCCGTGGGAAGTTTGGGAGGTCACAATCATTGCACTTAAGCTTCTTGAATAATAAAATAATAGATCTTCGACAATGAATATATTAAATGAAAATGGTTAGTGTTGCTAGTCACAAGGGAGTAGGAGTGATCATATTTTCAGTCATGGCGTATTCTACATCTATGCGTTGGCGCTGATGCTCTGCTTGTAGACGGCGTGGTAGGCATTCCGCAGAAGAACGTAGGGGAAGCAGGACTCCAGCAGGTCCATGGTGAGGAAAGGAGACTCCTGCACGATCTGGAAAGATAACACTTTCAGTGGAACATCTTATTTCATTAAAATGTCAGTTTGTGTCCAGATGATCTTACCATGTCCAGTAGCAGGTACACAGACTCTCTGTTCCGAGTCGTCATTTTGTCGGTCTCTTGGCCAATCTTCAATAGACTTGAGGATGCCAGCTGAACAGACATGTGTTTGTTAGTACTCATGTCATATGTAGAGTTCAAATATTAGAAATGGGTTCTGAGACTTCCAAAATCGTATGCATTTGCTACTTCAAAGACAAAGGCAGAAAACACAATGTATTCCCTAAGCATATGAAAATTTTGTCCAGCAGATTAAAAAGTTTGAACACCACTGATGTAGCCGGATGTAAGACTGAATCAATTTGTGAAAGCGTTGCATGGATTGTCACAGACAACTAGTTTCTTAAAAGTGGTTTTACCGCGAGGAACTCCTTGAGGCGGTCCTCAATGCTTCCCTTGTGGATGGTGAACAGTGCAGCAGCAATCTGGTTAATAGCTTTTGCCAAACAATGGATGTTGTTGCAGTGTCCTGTTGGGAAAAACACTTTTTTTTTGTGTGTTCATGAAATGAGGTAAATTTGAGCATGTTCAATCTTACCCTCAATAGCAGGGCTGTACTGAGACATCACGTTGCTTGCCAAAGTGGGGAGGGACACAGCCACAAACACCATGAGCAAACAGGCAATCTTATACTCCTCCTCTGGACTGATGTTCTCTGAAAAAAAATGTTTTTCCCCTTTACTGGATTGGAATCTAGACAACAAAAGCATTGGTATCAAAATGATCTTTACCGCTCTTCTGTGATGACAGAGCCACCACCAAGGCAGGGTCAATTTCACAGGGCAAACCAGCTGCAGAAGACAGCTCGTACACATTCATGGCCACCTGCATTTTCACACAATTGAATAGTTTTTGTTACTTTACATTTCAAATATTAATTTTTCTGGTTACATTGCTATGTTAGTATGAGAATTCTATGAAAGAATTATTGTATGGGACAAACAAAACATGAAGGTGCAGTTTTACCTTCATGTCAGTTTCTCTTGGAATGTGGTCTTTAAAGTCCTCCACTGAACTGACCAGGAAAGGAATGTGACAGGATAAGACCTGAAAATGAGGTTATAGTTTGTAACGGGTTGTAGTTTGACAAAAATTATGCATTTGAATCCATTCTAGGAAAACTGCGTGTGCCTTACATCTCTGAGAGCTTCCTGGGCCAAAGACCGGAACGACAAAATTACCCCGATAATGGTCATTCTTTTCAAGACGCTATCCACAGCTGTAAATGGATGGGCCAATTAGATAATACAGAACATTTACAATAATATAGGAACAAAACAGTTTCAAACAGGACAAGTGTGTGTCGAGGCAACAGAACCCAAAAACGACTTCAGCATGAGACTGAGACAATCTTTTGTCCCTGATGCCATTATACTGCACAACTGAGGAGAAGGAGGGGTGCAGCCTATTTTGCTTTTGCAGTTTTAATCATCTGTTTTTGTTCACTGTATGTGTGACCAATTCTGAGCATGCAAACAAATCTTTCTACAATACAGAATTGGGTTATGTTGACACCAGTCATCAACGATTGATGACTGGTGTCCACTGACATACTCTTATGAAGAGGATATATGTAGATGGGCTTGATTACAGTTTTTATTTTCCACTGATCATGGCCAACTGCACTCCAGTTTTGCCCAAGGCCGTGTTTGTTTGCGGAGTCGACACGAGAGCACCTGTTAAGTTAATAGGAAACCAGAGAAGACTTCTGTGGAGTGCGGACGCTCCAAGTCCAACTTGCAGTGCTCCAAGGTTAGTCCTCCGGGACACCTGTGGGTAACTAAGACCTCCCTCTCAGACTAAAGTTTCATGAATGTAAAATAAAATTGTTGAATTCATAGAAATAGGTGTGCCACTAGTTTGATCAAGCTATTTCAGAACACACACACACCTCATGACCCACATGTCTGTAAAATCAGTGAAGGTACTCACAGGTAAGTTTCTTGAAGAGAGCAGCCATATGTTCAGGTTTATCAAAGCTGGTCCTCATCTGGGTCAATACTTCCATGTTCTCTACCACCAATTTCTACACAGATTCATTAAGTCAATGTTATATACTGGAGGTGTTCCTTTTTGATCATACAAAGTTTAATTTCAATTGATGCAGGTACACTTGTCTACTCATCTGCATGTAAAGTATATACATAACTTCAGCACAGAATATTAAACATTGCAAATTAATGTAAAACTATATGTATGACAATATAGTCACCTTCAGCTCAGCAACCTGCGAGGAGATGTGCCACATGAGACTTTCACTGAGGAACTTCATACCGTATGGTCCAAGGAGCTCGGAGAGCGAACGCATCTCTGCAATCACACATGTGGAAGTGATGAGGCCGTGCAGTGAGGTGATATTTCAAATAGAAGCCTCCGTTCTTACCAGAGATATCTGAGTACTCCTCAGCGTTGAAAGTGAGTTCATTTTCAGTGGGCAGGTTCACAAAGGCCTTCATAGCAGGAAAGTAGGCAATGTGCCCATTGCTGACCTGGCGCAGCAAAGTCTCCAAGTACCTACAAATCCGAGGTTGTACATCATACATCCACTGATAAACATCTAACTCTTTAAAAAAAACTCCGTACCAGTTTGTGTATAAGCTGGTAATGGTGGGCTCTCCATGGCTGTCCAAGTGCTGAGTCTGCTGCAACAGTACGTTGTTGAAGACTCTGGTGATGTCGATGGTCACGTAGTTTTCAATGGACTGGAGCACGGTCATATATGCACGCACACTGGTCAGCAGCTCACTTGGCTTGGCTATTTCCTGGGTGGCTTGGTTGTACATAGTCATTCCCACTATAGACCTGAACATAACAAAAAGCATGATATCTTCAAAATTCTCCCACCACGTAATGATTGGTTGATGGACATAAAAACACTCATTATTATTATAGAAAGATAAACACAATATGTAATAAATTAATACTTAATTTATCGTATGAAAAAGATTTACTTAGTGAAGCGAATCTCCAAGTGGGAGGTCAGGTATTCTCTGGGGGTGAAGGTATGCTCCCACACCACCAGGTTTGGCACATAGTTGATGGAGAAACAGAGCTCAGACAGCGCAGTGTGGAGTTTGTCCAAACTGCAGAAACAGACATTATTTAGGTTTTTTAAGTCTCAAAAAGGCATATACATTCAGAGTCAGAGTTGATTACTTTGTGACCAGCAGACGGTTCTTCCTCATACTCTCCACTCCAGGCTTCTCTCTTTCGGGCTCGCCTTTTTTCCCCGTGGCCTTCTTACTCTTTTTATTGACTGCTTGGCTGATTGTTTTTGCACAGTGCTTCGGGAGAAGCTAAGAGTGACAACACACAATAGGCAAAAGTTTGGTACCAAACCCCATTTGTCATTGTATAGTGTTTGATTTTACAGTTCTTAACCATTATGTATAATTAAAAGGCCATGTGCAAAGTTCCCCCTCCTTATTTTTCTATGACACACACAACATGCTCTTTTCGTACTTGAGTGGGTACACTCTTCTCTGCACACAGCATCTGTATAGTGTGAGCAGAGAAACCAGAAACCACATAGAGAACGCTCCAGTCTTTTTTCAATAAAGGTATCTGAACAATTTCTATGGCTAAACCATGGGCTTCATAGGAGCTGGGCATTAGAATTGTCCATCCATATACAGCCTAATAGGGAGGAGTTCTGGATCGTTTTGATCTCACATTTTACAAAACATCTATAGAGAAATCCTCTACTTTATAAGCCACACAAGTCACTTTAAATGGTCCAAAAAGCAGTGGCACGCAGCATCAATGTTTTTGCTTGTAATTGACGTGCAAGTTTACCTAAGCCCTCAGATAGACATGACTTGTACATCTCGTGTTTCGTTAACTCTACAAATCAGTAAAATAAACAAGAACAGAAAATAACTTTCTGTGAGAAATAAAAAGGTAAAATGATGGAGGCCCTTGTACCTGGTCGCTGAGCGTACACTGTTCAGTGCAGATATCAGTGATCAAATTACGAGCTTGTTTCGCCATCTCATCCAGAAACATGTTACACAAAGAGAGACTTCTGTCGCCAATGTGGTGGCGCTGTGTGAACAAGAATAAAAACTCTGAAGAAGAAATGCTCATTTATATGCACAATGACAGACAAAAACAGACTCACCTCCTCAGGACAAAGCTCATGGGTACAAGACATAAAGTGTGTGCAGAGTAGAGGGAAGCAGATGGAGTGGCGGCTTTGAGAAGGCAGCTCTAAACACTGCTGGAACATCTTCTCAAAAGCACGACTGTAGAAACTAAACCACAACACGCACATGTTACACAGAACTCACACGTTACAATTTAATATATCATTATTCAGTAGCTTGATCTGCATTTTAAAGATGGGCGTTAGCAATCTATAGTAAATTGTCAATCTAAGTTAGTTGAATATGTTCAAACAGTATATATACAGTGGGGAGAACAAGTATTTGATACACTGCTGATTTTTCAGATTTTCCCACTTGCAAAGCATGTAGAAGTCTGTAATTTCTATCATAGGTACTCTTCAACTGGGAGTGATGGAATATAAAACAAAAATCCAGAAAATCACAATAGATGATTTTTGAATAATTAATTTCCATTTTATTGCATGAAATAAGTATTTGATACATCAGAAAAACAGAAATTAATATTTGGTGCTGAAACCTTTGTTTGCAATTACAGAGATCAGACGTTTCCTGTAGTTCTTGACCAGGTTTGCACACACTGCAGTAGGGATTTTGGCCCACTCCTCCAAACAGATCTCCTCTAGAGTCTTCAGGTTTCGAGGCTGTCGCTGGGCCACACGGACTTTAAGCTCCCTCCAAAGATTTTCAATTGGATTCAGGTCTGGAGACTGGCTAGGCCACTCCAGGACCTTGAGATGTTTCTTACGGAGCCACTCCTTGGTTGCCCTGGCTGTGTGTTTTGGGTCGTTGTCATGCTGGAAGACCCAGCCACGTCCCATCTTCAGTGCTCTTACTGAGGGGAGGAGGTTGTTGGCCAAGATCTCACGATACATGGCCCCATCCATCCTTCCCTCAACACGGTGCAGTCGCCCTGTCCCCTTTGCAGAAAAGCATCCCCAAAGAATGATGTTTCCACCGCCATGCTTCACGGTTGGGATGGTGTTCTTGGGGTTGTACTCATCATTCTTCTTCCTCCAAACACGACGAGTGGAGTTTAAACCAAAAAGTTCTATTTTTGTCTCATCAGACCACATGACCTTCTCCCATTCCTCCTCTGGATCATTCCAGATGGTCATTTGCAAATATCAGACGGGCCTGGACATGCTTTGGCTTGAGCAAGGGCACCTTGCGTGCACTGCAGGATTTTAATCCTTGACGGCGTAGTGCGTTACTGATGGTTTTCTTTGAGACTGTGGTCCCAGCTCTATTCAGGTCATTGACCAGGTCCTGCCGTGTAGTTCTGGGCTCATTTCTCACCTTTCTCATGATCATTGATGCCCCACGAGGTGAGATCTTGCATGGCGCCCCAGACCGAGGGAGATTGACCGTTGTCTTAAATGTCTTCCATTTTCTAATAATTGCACCAACAGTTGTTGCCTTCTCACCAAGCTGCTTGCCTATTGTCCTGTAGCCCATTCCAGAATTGTGCAGGTCTACAATTTTATCTCTGACCTCCTTACACAGCTCTCTGGTCTTGGCCATAGTGGATTTTGGAGTCTGACTTATTGAGAGTGTGAACAGGTGTCTTTTATACAGATAACAAGATCAAACAGGTGCCATTAATACAGGTAATGAGTGGAGAACAGGGGGGCTTCTTAAAGAAGAAGTTACAGGTCTGTGAGAGCCAAACGTCTTACTGGTTGGTAGATGATCAAATACTTATTTCATGCAATAAAATACAAATTAATTATTTACAAATCCTCTACTGTGATTTTCTGGATTTTTGTTTTATATTCCTTCACTCACAGTTGAAGAGTACCTATGATATAAATTACAGACTTCTACATGCTTTGCAAGTGGATAAACCTGAAAAATCAGCAGTGTATCAAATACTTGTTCTCCCCACTGTATATATATATAAGTGATAATTTTCACAGCTCCACCATATTAACAACCTGCTCCAAATCAATTGACATTTTCTATTTTCTCTTCTTTCTAACTGAGAATATCTTTTAAAAGTCCTAATGTCTTACCAGAATATAGATAGGTCTGAAGTCTCCACCAGCATCTCCACAAGCGAATCCACCATTTTGGTGTGGAATATAATGGTGTTCATCATTTTTCCCAGCTCTTTGTGGTCAGCAATACCAAGGCTAGCTTTAGAGACACTTGTGTATGCCTGAAGAGGACAGCAATCCAATACTTTAACTTCAAATAGTAAAAGAAACTTTGAATCTTACAGAAGGAGCACAAAAACAAAACAAGAATCACTGTTAAAGTAATACGTTACCTGTAGTCTAAACCAGTCTAGTCTCATGCCTCTGAAGTCAAACACTTCTCCATCCTCCACTGCAAAACAAAAGACCTAGATCAATGATCAGTTCTGTGTCACATTATTGAATGTCAAAGACATGCTGGGGACCACCTTGTTTGACACTGAGAGAAGTCATTGTGTTCACAAATGATGACATGATTATAGACTCATCCTCAGGACACACAGACAGGTTCTGCAGAGTTCCCAAAGTTCTGGTTAGTGCATTATTCTTCAAGATTCAAATCACAGTCAAAAGAACAGTACCTGCACCAGTTCATTGAGCACCACAGCATCAAAACCGGACAGGTACTGCACATAGTACCGCTGCATAACAGGACCATATTTTCGAACATGTGCTCGAAGTTCCTCCATGTAGAAAATCAACTCCGCAATGTGCCTACCCATCACAATGGGAAAAAAAATAGCACATGTGGAAAAGAAATTGGGCTATTTTTCCGATGCTTATATGTGATGTGCCTACTTATCTATGAAGTCATCGGTGCTTTTCTTCTGGATATTGTCTGCATGTCGAAGTAGCCATATGATCTCATCACGAGCAAAAGACAAGGCCATGAATACAAAAAGGGCCTGAAAGGAAAGGATCAACAAAAGCAATGAATGAAAAGGTAATAGGCACAGCATGTTCACAGAAGCAATTGAAATATACACTATGTCCATATCAGTGGGAATTCTCTTTGTCAGTGGGAGAAGACAACCTGAGGAGTGGGTCAAGGATCTACAAGAAACTACTTTATTAAAAAGGTGCAGTAAAGGATTCAGGTTAGCTTAGCAGTAGCACCCGAGTAGCACCAAGTCAAAACCACTCACCCTTCCCCCTGCCCGCCACCAAACCCAACTCCCAGCACACATGAACGTAGTTTCTGTAATAATGCAGTCTGTGATAAAGCCTCCCAGCTTGATAAGTGAAAGCATTACACTAAATTAGGGCTCAAGTCTGTGAGCGATGTGCCTGCCATACTTGATAAGCTAGCCCTAACAAACTAGCAATTAGCAAAACTCGACTGATTACAGAGCCCCAACTGCGTCCCGAGCTCCCATTGGTTTCTTTCTGTCGGACTGCTCCAAAAATATTTATGATTTTCTTTTTGAGGCTACAGGCTTCTCGTCATGTCCATTCCTATTTGAAAACACAACTTCACTACTTTTCGAGTTTATGGACATTTCCCCTCAGCATCTTTAAATGTACCTTAGGCCCAAGGAGTCCCGGTTGATCAGCAAGGACAGTTGCCAGCTCCTTCAAGGCAGACCTGAGGAACTTGCGCCTCTCTCTATGCATGGTGCCACTGTCAAGAGAATTTTTTATGTGTCAATGAAAGAATGAGAAAATACAGACTGTGTACACAACAATTTATATATTAATAATAAAAGTCAAACTTACGCATGGGACAGAGCCTGTTCTTTACACTCTCTGATGTCATTGATTCGTTTGTTGTAGCTTAAATAAGAAAGTTAATGACATTAATATGGCAGATTGGTATGTGACGGATTAAGAATCCATGTTATGGCCATGTAAACAGTAACTAGCATGCTCTACTCAGAAAATGTATATTCATCCGAGGTAATGTAACTGGTGATTACCCTCGGATGTTGACAAACAGGTCCTCTGCAGCCTTGTGGATGTGGAAGACCTCATCTCTAAACAGACACAGACATGTGGAGCTCTGCAGAGCTAGCTTCCAGAGAGAGAGTGCAGCCGCATCGCTGTTTAGCACGGTGTGGCACAGGATAAACCCAACTGCAAAAGCACATGAAGCCATGAGAGCACAAAAGTCACAATGATCAAGGTTGCTCCCATCACCATTAAAATCCCACCACACATTTGTTTAAAGTAGATTTATAAGATTAAGTTCTAGTGGCCCCTCCACTGGCTCTCCTTAGACCAGGATAGACCCATTGGGCCTCATTCTCGAATAACTTAGTAAGAAACTTCTTACATTTCTTCTCAAGTCGTTCTGAAGTAGATTTCTAAGAAGACCCTACGTGGGGTCCGGTCATACCCTGTATGACCGGAGCCAGAGCTGTGTTCGCATTGCCGGCAGTAAGTCAGACCTGTTCCCGGTGCATGTTGGCCTCCGCCAGGGCTGCCCTTTGTCACCGGTTCTGTTCACTGTATTCATGGACAGAATTTCTAGGCGCAGCCAGGGGCCGGAGGGGGTCCGGTTCGGGGACCACAGGATTTCATCTCTGCTGTTTGCGGACGATGTTGTCCTGTTGGCTCCAACAAACCAGGATCTACAACATGCACTGGAACGGTTTGCAGCCGAGTGTGAAGCGGCTGGGATGAGAATCAACACCTCCAAATCTGAGGCCATGGTGCTCAACCGGAAAAAGGTGCCTTGCCCTCTTCAGGTGGGTGGGGAGGTCCTTCCTCAAGTGGAGGAGTTCAAGTATCTCGGGGTCTTCTTCACGAGTGAGGGGAGGATGGAGCGTGAGATTGACAGGCGGATCGGTGCAGCGTGCGCAGTGATGCGGTCGCTGTATCGGACCGTTGTGGTGAAGAGGGAGCTGAGCCGAAAGGCAAAGCTCTCGATTTACCGGTCAATCTTCGTTCCCTCCCTCACCTATGGTCATGAGCTTTGGGTAGTGATCGAAAGAACAAGATCGCGGATACAAGCGGTCGAAATGAGCTTCCTCCGCAGAGTGGCTGGGCGCTCCCTTAGAGATAGGGTGAGGAGCTCGGTCACACGGGAGGAGCTCGGAGTAGAGCCGCTGCTACTCCACTGTTCCGGATGCCTCCTGGACGCCTCCCTGGAGAGGTGTTCCGGGCACGTCCCACTGGGAGGAGGCCCCGGGGAAGACCTAGGACACGCTGGAGGGACTATGTCTCTCAGCTGGCCTGGGAACGCCTTGGGGTCCCCCCGGACGAGCTGGAGGAGGTGTGTGTGGATAGGGAAGTCTGGGCGTCTCTGCTTAGACTGCTGCCCCCGCGACCCGGCAACGGATGAAGCGGAGGAAAACGGACGGACGGACGGACCCTACGTGGGATTCATCAACGCGCTCGTAAGGCACTGAATTGTTCGCAGCTGTTCTCTTAGATTGATGAATGCCAACTCCTCGTAAGTACAGAGCGCGTGCCCGGTGCTTCATTAGCATAGGTAACCGCCCATTAATGCCCATAAAAAGGGACTGCAGGGCCGTGTGCAGACGCCAGAGGAAACAGCAACTGGCCTAAAGCAAAGAGTTACACGGAGAAAAAGTGTCACCCTTTTTTCTTCTTTTGCCAAACTGAGAATAAAGTTATAAAATGTTGACTTAAAAGTCGAAATATTATGAGAATAAAGTTGAACTAGCAAAATTATGACATTAATCTAAAAATATGATGAGATTAATCTCAAAATGTTATGAGCTTAATTTAAAAATATATTATGTATTCATTTGAAAATGAATCTCAAAATGTTTTGGACCCTGGGAGGAGATCCAGCACGGAGCAGCGCTGGCACCAATGCAGACCCGAGGAGAGACTGGAGTGACCAGCACACAGAAACCAGCGCGGACCTATAGGAGAGATCGCATAGACCTGACTGGAGCCAGCGCGGACCGAGGAGAGACCATAGACTGAAGAGACCTGACTGGAAAGACAGGTGGGCAGAGACCAGCGCGGACCGAAGAGAGACCGCATGGACCAGACTGGAGAGACCAGCGCGGACCCGTATGGATCCAGGAGCGTGCAGCACGGACCCGTATGGAGAGACCAGTGCAGACCCGTATAGATCCATGGGAGAGACCAGTGCAGACCCGTATAGATCCATGGGAGAGACCAGCGCAGACCCGTACAGATCCATGGGAGAGACCAGCGCAGAGACTCAGAGCGGACCCCGCAACCTCCTGCAGCAGCAGTATATATTCCATTGTTCTGTGGCCCGTGGATAAAGAAATGCCCCCTATAAATAGGATGGGGTCACTAATACACGGCAAGATTTCCAATGTATTTGATAAAGCGTTGGCACATTTCATTTAAAAATTAATTAAAAAATAGGCTAAATTACCATTAACAATTAAATAAATAAATACATACATCAATATGACGGACATGTCACTGTAATGTTGTGTTTTATTGAACTTCACAACACCAGCGTGCGAACATGTCGGCACTGAATGTGCGTACGAGTGCTCCTGAGCATTCGTAGGATTTGTACGTATTCAAGAGAAATTCTGGTTACATACATTTCATGAATGCCACAATCTTCGTAAAATCTTCGTAAGTAGGATTTACGCACACATTTGTTCTTAAGTACGGTTCGTGAATGAGGCCCAATGAGATTTCAGTATCTCTTTCAGGAGAGTCGTGGCCCATTTGCAATTTGTATGAAATGTTCCTTGAATGAGAGCTTCTGAAGTACTTACAAACAATCCACTTCTCCATTGCATCCAATGACAGATATTCACAAGGCATCTGAAAGAAGAAACATGCAACAGTTAAAGAAGTGAGCTGCTTGAACGACAGATATTTTAAATCACTTTTTCCTAGACATGTTTTTTGTTACAACTGTATTGTGACTAGATGCCTCTCGCTGTGAAACAACATGTTGCTGCTGCTGCTGACTGACCGTGTCTGACTGGGCAGGGTTCAGCATGGTAGACGGGGCAGAGATGAGCGACAGCAGCTGAGCGTTCCTCCACTGATCGGCTGAAAGGTTCCGTCGTGGATATACCATCTGCAGGCTGATCAGGGCATCTGACAGAGACTGGGGTAAAGGAGACAGAAACTCAATGCTGACACTACTATGATGCACCAAATCAACTAATTCCATCTTATTTTATACAACCAACCTTCCCATGAGGAACGAATTCTTCCATCATTTTTTTCAAAGGGTTTTCATAGTCCACAATCAGCTGGCCCAAGCGTGGGTATTCTCGGTCACTATGGACGACAGCATAGTTAAAACCACCACAATAGTCTTAGCCACTTAAAAATGCTGTTTAAGATTCATTATTTCAAAATAGACACATTTTCTTTTTCTGGATTAGTACAGTTATACAGCAGGCAGTATGTGTCTGGCAGGGTGAGCTGGCTTACCTGGCTCCGTGGGTCATCTCGTGGGCATAGTTATAAAGTCCAATGATGGCTTTCCTCTCCTCAATCCGAGAGAGAATGATCATCAGTGTAGTGTAGGTCACAACTAGATCCAGGTAGTTTTTTGTGAGGTCAAAATTCACAGTCTATTCAGGGAGAAAGGTAAGTATTGAGTTCAGCATTGACTTTAAATATCTATTCAAGGTAATGCAATCCAGAGAAAAGGATAAATGTTCAGGAGTTCAAACTTATTCCAAAAGATCTACATTCAGATACATTCAGAAATGTTAGTGTGCACTACGATGCATTATCTTGGGTTTGAATATACTTACAATATCAAAGAAGACTTGGCAGGCATCAATGGTGTTGAGAAGCTCGCAGACATGGTCCTGGAGACAATTACCGCGTAAGGTGAGAACCATATGTTTCCTTTCCCAATATCTCCACTAAACTATTTCTTTTATTATTATTTTTGTCAAATACAAATCACGATCACAGATTATTGCAGCATTGATTAAGTAATAGATTTGCATTCTTACTTTGAACTCCATAACATCCACAAAGGTGAAATAGTAGAGAGCCAGGTTCTTCAGAATCTCAGATTTCTCTTTCTGGAGCTGAGCCAACTGTTGCTGTTGAAAAGTCACACAAATGAATGAATACTCAAGTTTATGATGCAGATTTACTTCAACTCGAGAAGAAGCTATGATGGTCATTCTAATAAAGACAGTGAGCGGAGAAAAAAAGCTTATTACATTTGTTTGTATAAACAAAGAGTGAGTCTAGTCTGGCCTGAAATATACCCACCGTGCCTAAAATGACTGTGCGCCACAAATCGAATGGCCCGATGCTCAGATCACACACGCTCCAGAAAGGGTATAACTTAATTCACTAGTTTGAATTCATCTCTCAGTGGCATGCAATGCATTAAGCTAACCAACACGAATGTCTTAGCCTTTTAATCCCAACCATAACAAATGCAATTAACAATTCATTAACACTACACAATCAAATGTGTAGATCTGGAGAAAGGGAGAAAAGACGAGTTGGCTCATAGCTTGGGAACAACACCTCAAACATTACATAAGTTTAGTGAACATAATGATTCATACAATTTTATGCAAGAGTTTTCCTAAGCATACAGTCAACGAGAAACAGAAATAAAACACCCAGAGAAAGCAGAGCAAAGCAAAAGCCACAGGATGGAGCTTAAAAGAATATACTTTAGGTACAAACTCAAATACAAACTTACCAAAAAGCACATGTCCGGTATGCGTCATGTTAGCGTCATGCAAAACACAAACGGACAAAAACAAAGCAGATAATAATGTAAGACAGTCTGCACACTTCAGGTCAGAGCCAGCCAGTGCGTCACACAGACCAGAACACACAAACAGTCCAACACAAATACACAATGTCATAGTCACACTTCAGTCCAATTCATGTCAGGATAATGCTACTACAAGGTGTAAACAACTGATTAGGGCCATGGGATTTGGAGTGTCGCTCTAAAAATCAATTAGTTAACCATCAATGGGTCTTGCAACCTAATATGTGCTACTGAACAATACTAAACAATGGCACAAGTGATATGTGCCAATATTACGCAATACTAAAACAGCCACACCATTTAATATAACAATAAATCCAAAATGCAATTACGAAGAATCAATTATCTGTCTACTTAAATAAACCTTTAACATTGATCAGTACTGTTTTAATCAAAGTAGATACTCATACTTTAAAATGAGCCTATTTCCAGAAATATCCAGCAATGTCCTTAATTATAAGTAGCATATTAACCTTACCACCAATCCCCGGTTTATTTGCTGAATGAAATCCACTTTTGAAAATAATAAAAACAAAAAGAAAACAAAAACAGGGAAGTGGCGACAACAGAGTGACACATGATCAGCTCTGACGGCAGCGGGCTGAGCGCACATTTAGCAAACTTCAATATGTGCCTAGATTTTCCTATTTGGCTGGGTAATGTAGACAGATGGATGCTTTTTCATGAACATTTATTACTAATTGTTCTATGTTTTTATGTCATTGTTTAAAGTGGTTATTTTATTAGTAATACAGTATAATTATAGGGTAAGCTTGCAGAGCTTTCATCACTTTATTTAATGCACATATTTTTGCTATGCTAACACCGTGGCAGAGGTCCATTATTCAGGACATGTTCAGTATTCAATGTCCATGATGTCCAAAATAAATTTCCCGCAATACATCTTGACCCTAACCCAATGCATATTATATTTAAATAATTATCCTCTTAATAACACACGGTTGTTTGATCTGGATTAATGTAACCCATCTGGGGAGAAAAACTTTTGGTACTATATAGAATGGGACAATTTTTTTTTTAGATATAGCCGCTTCACTGGCATTGTTCAGTAAATGTAAGAATGCCAGTTCTAGTTTTGACCCCATTCAACCTAGCCTGGTTGTACCACACCTTAGTACAAATTAAATTTCATACTAAAGTCTGGATTTGCTCCATTGAGCTCCGTGAACAGGTGGGAGGGGTTAACTCCTTTTGCTGATTGAAACGATTGGATCTGAGTTTAACGTGACGTATGTAGTGCGTCCGAGTGTGTTGTTAGCATTTAGCATTTAGCCATCTCCTTTGCTGCTAACGGAGTCCGTGGGGAGTAGCGCCACAATCTTGACCAGCGATTACATTTGCTAAACATTCCTCTTGCTCCTGCTTCAATTTCTTGATAGAACCAGACCGGATTACTTTACTATTACATTCTTCGCCATTGTCAAACTACAACCTGTTGTAATATCACAGCATACAACTTGCATACTTACATTGTTGTTCCTTGTTTCCACAGCTGGAAACTTTCTTACGATGAATTTAACTGCAGACTCCAGGTTTTTATCCACAAGGTAAGAAGGTTTGGCCTTGGGGTCCCCACATGCCTGTAACATACACAGAGGCGACAGGTATTCAGTTTACGGTATTCCAGCAAGGTTTGTTGGAATGTGAATGCCTTCACTGCCAAGGAACAACAGTGAACATACAAACAGTATCAAAACAACGAATTATTTTTGTTCCTTGTACTGAGAGATCTAGCTAATGGATTCATACATTATATTATGGCATGCTGACATTAAAATTAGCTTTCCATTGATGTTATAACTAGACTTCCATGTATTGAGTCACAATACATACTGTACATTTCTGGAGGTGGTTTGTCACCTGCATGATTGCATGGTAAGAGAACATAGAACATGGAGATGGGCCATATAGTGTATACAACAATTAAAAGAACAGTGAACAGGCGGACCTCCTCAAGGACAATAAGTTATAATTTGATTTGTTTGATTTGTTGAGAAACAGTACGATTTCACCATCATTGACTCAATATCCACTCCCTTGCTTATCCTGGGCTGCACTACATTACACACATCAATGCAATCATGCAGGATTGATGAGCATTCAAAGAGGAGACAAACATGGACAAAAACATATTTCAGTGTACAATGAGGGAGGTGAGTTTGATTAAAAAAATAAAAATAAAATAGAATATTGTGCGTTGTGGTGGTCATGTGGAATTTATGGGAATAAACGGTAAAGTACAGAATTCACTCAACTTCACAGGACTTCAAGGAGTTAAAAAACCTGAATTTCTGCAATTTAGTAGATTATCCATTAGGGCAGAATTGATTGACTTACTCAAATTAATTGTCTAGTTTCTTTTTCTAAAGTTTTTTATAATTATAAAATTATTTGAAATGCACATGAGCGCACAGAACTAATTGTGACCGTCGTGAGACAGGTTAGTTTTACCCTACTGATGATGTGTTGTTGCAATAGTAATACTAATGGTTTCTGGGAGATGCCCACAATGCTCTGAATCCAACAATAATATCCCTTTCATCATCCTTCCTTGTTCCAGCTTCTTTAGAATGCCGTAAGAAGATTACATTCAATTTCATCAACAAGACCCCAAAAAGTTATTCAAACAAACATTGAGCTACCTCGTCTCAGAAAAATCCAGTGTGTAAAGACGAGTTATGTGTTGAAGTCTCTTTAGATAACGGAAAATAAAAATTAAACTAAAAAAGTTATAGTTGCTCTGATCCATCCACCACCAATCGTGGGGAAAAAAAATCATGTGATCGTAACAATGAAGAGGAGTGAAATTTTTGACATAAGTAAAAGACAAAAACAGGGAAGCCAAATGTCCACCCTTTTGGCTTCCCTTATGTAAAGTAAACTTTTATCTGGCGTTAATTGCTGAAAAACTATTAGTTGGCAATTAACCTTCAAGCTACCCGGTTATATATGTGTGCAATAATAATAATAATAATAATATATATATACACACACACACACATACATACTTAATTTTAATTAGATATAACGGATTGGCCGATCCTTCCAAAAGGTTAAACCTTTTGGAAGGATCGGCCAATCCGTGTGGCAAGTAAATCCAAACTTGTGCAGGGTCACTCATGACCCCAGACAGATCTATGAGATTTTTGACTTTTTAGCTTCAGACGGTAATGTAATTTGCCAACTCTAAGCATTGTATTTTACCGTTTTACAGGGAAGCATGGCCAACAGACCTAGAAAAGCAAGATTTACAGCTGCACAAGTGATGAGACTCTGGACTGCCAGAGTAAGGATGTTCCATCAATGTGTTTTTGGCTGCTTTTTTGTAACATATAGATAATTCCATACATTATTACATTGATTCAGATTCAGATTCATTTATTTGCCATTTGCAGTAATTGATTGATAATGGACAAATATATTAGAGTGAAATAAAACACAAAGAACACCGGTCAAATTAGTTGCCGAAATAGCCTTGGTTGCTTTAAGGCTAATCATACAGCCCTTGCTGTCATGCAGTTCTAGTTACATATGATGTTCATTCACGGTCTGGCAAATGTCTAACTGCATGAAAATGGTTGTCATGACTGAATGTGACTTGGGCTGATGATGAGGAAGGGGTTTCATGCTTAAAGGCCATTTCTGACTCTGGCACAGTCTTCAAACATCCTCAAACTGATCGCAGAATAATTGTTTAAAATACCTATAACAAAACAGTTGGATGACTTGTTGAAACAGAATTAAAGATTAACAGTGAGCCTAAAGAATCATAGTACGGTACTGCAACAAGGCATCTTGGCGGCAATCAACAATTAGCAGTATGCTTTTTCATATTTCATTCAGATTAGTATTCTTAACAAATGAGTGTAACAGGGAATTTACACAGTAGGCGTAAACAGCGCGTACGCGTTTACTGCGCGCTCTCTGCGCGTAATATTTTTTTGGAGTATCTACACTGACCGGGCGCGCAGGTCCGCGCCTTCTGATGCTCTCCCTGTGTAGTCTATGGAGCAGTGCAGAGGACAGTACGGGCCAGAGGACTGATGTAGAGCAACACAAATCACATGCATGTGTTTGTCTTCATGGTCTCTGTGCGCTGGTTTGGCCAGACGCGAGACTTTATGAAAGAAAAAAAACGATGTCCAGAATCACTGTAAAACCTGCTGCTCCTCCTGCTGATGTTTAGACACAAGTGCAGTGTGTGTGCAAATAAGTTACGCGCGTCTGCTGCGCGTATAACGCGTACGCACTGTAGCGCGTGATGTGTAAATTAGCAGTAAGAGGCTGATATGGAATGTACACAGCCCTATGTAATGGGCTGTGTGTGGTTAGGGCTGTGTTACATTTGATGACACAGGACAAGTCAGACCAAAACAAATCCCTGCTCACCAAACATTGATTTTGCTCCCAAGACAACCTCGACCTAGTTTTGAATTGGTCAATTCGAAACAACCTTATGAAGGACTTTGACAAATATTAGTGATTAAATATTGGGAAAACAAAAAAATGACAATTGTGTTATTATTTAGTAATAGTAATTAAGTAGTATTGTAAGTAAGAGGGTTTGTTTCTAACCATTTGTACTTTGCCCATCTATTGGAGACCACCAACCAAGAGCATTGGGAAAGCACAGAACGAGGGGACACAGAGAAATGCTGCCTCCGTCTCTTTGGTAAAGTCTGGACTCTGGAGCAGAGAACTATTACACAAGCAAAAGCGAGCTGCATGCGTTGTATTCACGGTCACAATCTGTGCAGGTTTGAAATCAAATAATCTGAAGTCAATACTCAACCATGTGCCTAACAGGAAGTAAGCATGGAAGCGAGGCAACCAGTATGTACCATCAGCCCCTCCGACCGCCACCAACCATTCACACACACACCAGACTCATTGTAGACAATGTGGGTCAAGTGTCTTGCTTAAGGCCACAACGACAGCACTGTACAGCTGCAAACGCCCCACTGTGGCACGTGTTGTTCCCAGAGGTTTCCCATCACAGTACTAACCAAGCCCTCTCCAACACAACTTCAGACGTACAGGATCTGGTTTCTGCATGCAATTATGGCCACAAGTTAAAATTCTAACCTGCGGTCAGACTCACAGTTCTGGATGGATTTTAAAGCTCTACTCAATCTATTTTTTTCAAACAGGAGAGACTAATATATGCCAGTATAACAACCAAACCCCCGGACATGTTTGTACCATTTTAACTGCCAACTTTCAAAAAAAACTTGGACAAGATCCATAGTGTATTCTCTGTGCAGAGTGGGCGCTGGGCTTCTGGACCGGTGACATTATTAACTCATTGCCTGCCAGCCTATTTCAGAACAGGTACTCCCATATTGCCAGCAGTTTCTGATGTTTTTTTACTGATTTTTCAAGACCCACAGAATATTGTGTATTATGACTATCTGAAATCCGAAACCAGATTCCAGACAAATTGATTGTCTACTTTTATCAGCAAAAAGAATTTTGTTTCTAGCTTGTTTCGTTCCCCTGTAATCCCCAGTCGAGTAGAGGGAAGTTTAACTGAAATCACCAAAAAGAGAAAAAAAGAGGCACAACAAGTGCATCCTGTTTTCAAAACATACAGAGGCAGCGCTGGTGCCACCTGCTGGCTTGATAAAATATGTTCTAAAGCTAATCCCCATACATATGAGATAGAATAGACATTTGGGAACATGAAAATAGCGGAAACCGCAATTGACGTGTTAAAACATCAATGGCAGTAAATGAGTAAATGACTTTCCACTCACATTATAATGATGTAATGTGATATAAAGAACATTTATGTTGTTGAGGAGAAAGGGTTTGAAGTTAGTCTGAACATCCACCTTGCGCACAGACCAAGTCTGGTGCGATATGAAACAATATCGAGGCCAGGAGCCTACTGTTTGTTTGCCTGCTGCAAAATATAATGCAATTATGTGACAATCAAACCTTGTGTGGATTTATTTGGAGATGCACACAAGCCCGGGTTCTAAAACTCATTCAATTACCAAGATTTTAGTCTAGACCAAACCACTGAAAGAAACGCCAAAACGTTACATCTGTTTGACTTTCTATGTCCGTCTGGACACGATCCATATTGAAGACTGAGTCAATGTGCACCTGCTGTTAATCCATAAAGGAACATGCATAGTCTATTTGTTGCAACAAAAACAGCCACTTAAACACTTACAAGGAGAAAAAATGAACATGTAAATTATATAAATGTATAACATTTAGTATCAGATTTAAAATATACATTTTAGAAAGTATCAATAATGAAAATATATCACATTAAAAGGATAAAATGTGATTCATGTAATAAATTATAGCTAATTTTCAATTTAATTTTATATTTTAATATCACAGTGGTATTGAAATTAGAATAGAATATTGAATAAGTTCATTAATACCAACACTTACAAATTATATACAACAATTGACAACATCAAAAAACATTGCAGATTTTAGTAGAATAGAATCATGATAAAATCCTAAGACTGAGGTTAGGTCGACTGAATTTTCTTGTAACGTATATGACCAATGATATCCTACATTTCACTGAAAGAAATATATATGGTTGCACGGTTCCGTTTTGAATTTGGCTCAAATGTCTCAGAGGAATGGTGGACTGATATTGAGTTGTATTTTAAATGTAATTAGATTCATTATTCATATGTCATTCTTCATTGCCCAAGACAATTAATGAATGTAAAAAATATAATAATTCAAATCATCACATAAACCTCACATTTTGGATCTATCTCCCCAGAAAAGAGATATGATAACCAGCCTTAACTAACAACTACTTGGGTTTTCCCTCTTGTTCAGTTTGAACGATAACGCAAAATGGGACAATCACATAAAAATATAAAAATAAACTAATAACTACATCTCAGCTTTAAAAGGTCAATGGACTACTCTCACCACACGCATGCACAAACCAATGGAACTTTTCAAGACACTTTAGAGTTTTGTCCTGCACATTTGACTATACAGCTCCAGTGTGGGCAAATAAGGAAGCCTCACAGCAGCCACTTGACTTCAGTGCTGTGAGCCGTTGTGGTTTGGGTGGGACTGATGGTGGAGAATGACAGAATGGGTGGAGAATGCTGTCCTGAGTCCTGTCTGTCTGCTCTCCATTCTGGGTAATAATATTTGTAATAAAAGTATAAATCACCTTTATGTAATAAGGTAATGAGAAAGGTTTGAGCAAAACTAAGGGACTTTTGAACCCTTAACTCCAAAACTCCACCCATTTTTCACAAGCACACCCTTCATGGATTAGAAGAACACAACATTTAAGGTGATGCATTAGAAGAACACTGCATTAAGGTTGATCGATCAAATTGAATTGGATTTTTTTATATATAAATATTCAAGGTTGTGCATTGAATGTGACAGGCGTGAGTAGGTGAGCAAGGTGCATGTGGGCGCTTGCGTTGACTACATTGTCCTGGTTAATTCATAAAAAAATGAAAACATGTTTTGTGTAAAACTGAATTTGCAAAGCCACAATGACTTCTCAGTTCATTATAGTTGAATGGGTATGACTGTCTGTGCACAGATTACAAAGCACTGATTGCATTTGAATGGAGTCAGACTGAGACAGGAGAGAGGCTTGAGAGAGGACCAGGTCAGTGGAAAACCAGGAGGAAGGGAGGAGGATGGAGGGTTTGTCAGTGGAAGGTGAGAAACTTGCAAACCTTCCAAACTTGTCCTTGCTGGATAGAAGAAGGGGGAAGCATTGGAACGGAGAGAAGAAGAGAAAGAAATCAAAACCAAAGAGCCATCTTAATACAGCTGCTGTCATGTACATCACATCCCACCCAAAGCTCAGTCTCACAGGCACTTTGGTAAAGAATGAAAAAGAAATATAAAAACGGAACATGCTTATTAATCTAATTACTCAGTACATGGAGCACATAGAAAATGTCCATGTGAAGTGATAAATAGACGGTTAGGATCAAGAGGACCGCATTCAATCACAGGTTATTGCATTCAGAGTAAACCAGACCCCTCAGGGTAAAATGGAACTGGCATTATTTAAGACTAACAATTACCATTAGATGTGAAAAGAGACAGAGCTTTTATTTCATGATTGAATATCAAACTATACGCTGGTACTCGCACGAAAGACATCTAATATGATTATTTTAACTGTGGTGTTGTTAACATTGTATTGTTTTCATTAATATATGTAAAAATGAAACAAAAGCAATGTCAAGAAAATGTTAAAAACTGGTAGAGAAGCACAACTGAAAGTTAACAAGAGTTAACAAAAATGAATAACATACAGTAAACAGTGATGTCCAAATTAGAACAGGTCTTGAAGTCGCACTCATAAAGCCAAACAGCGATGGAGTGAATCAAATCATTTTGACCGTGCTTGTAAGCCAATAACAAGCACTCAATAGAGAACATTTTCACAGAAATATTATTCATATACTAAAGGGGAGGGTTGAGTCATTCAAACGTATTCCAACACATGTATTATAGTGTAGTCACTGTGAATAACGAACAAAATAAATAAAGGTTGGCCTCATTTCTTAATTTAGTCAACGTTATAAAAGCAGAGCCATCATAGTCTATTTTGCTGCTTAAACGGGAATCCTGAAATGTTATTGATAACATTTTTTGGTTCTATGGGAATTCTCTGTGAGGCTGATTTTCCACAGTTCGACAGAGAAAGTGGAGCAGAGGCGACGCCCGGTGCTAGCTCAGGTTAGCTTAGCGAGAGCCGCCATTAAGCTCCGCTCGATGAAGACTAGCCTCTGTCCGCGGCCTAGAAACTGCACTCTGGCCCCTGTCCGACAATGTCTATATTAGGCGTTCATATTTAATAGCATCTCATTTTAATAATTCGTAGTATACACTGAAGCACGTTAGTGAGATGTAAAGCTTTAAAATCCGAGGAAATTAGTTACCACAAACCGAAACCTCATACGGTTTGCTTAAACATTTATTAATATAGTACTTCCATAATCAAATGCACAGCCAATGTGTTTTTATGATATACTAGAGTGCTTATGATAGTTATGTACAGCTACATTACTAGGGCAATGCAGAAACTGGTGAGTGCTTACACACCTTCTTGATATTATAGACACGGGTCAACATCCCGATGCCTCTGTCGTTGAGGATGGTGAGTTTCTCGGCCAGTTTTTGTTGGCTGGGCTGGATCACACCCCGAGACATCTTCTCTCACTTCAGTCAGCCACAGGGACCAGAAAGAAAGAAAGAGGCTTCCCTCTGTTTGGTGCGTGCTGTATCCAGCGGAGGCCCGCTCCTGCGGCTCCAAAGACTCCGGAGAAACAGTGCTGATAGTGGGCTTGCGTTAGTGGAGGAAGCCCATGGCCTGCCTGTCAGGACACAGCCCCGTGTCCAGCTGGTTTGTGGGTTTGTAGATCAGGGCAAGAGACTGAAGAGGCGAATGGGGGAGGGCTATCCTGAGCCTACTGCAGCCGGGAACGCTTCAAAGACCTACGGAATAACCATGGATATTTCACAATATCGGGAATAACGCCTCCCATCCAACACGACGGTATAAAACACAACAAATGCTTATCTCAACGACTCAACTCCCGAGCATTGAGATTTGGCTTTTTTATGTCCGGAATACAATTATTTATGATCAATATATAGAACCAAGTTAAACATCTGTGTGGAAAATCGAGTTACAATATTTGTAGTCCCATTGAGTCAACTAAATTTACCATGATTATGTTTGTATATAGAAATGAATGTCATATTTTTATTTTGGAGTGGCCATTGGCGTATATTCTGATGTATACGGTTGTCATCTTTATGTTTAAAGCTATGCACCTTATTCGAGTATTATAATCCTAAAACGTCTGACCAATGCAAGTTTCTGTATTGACTATTTCACGTGAACACATGAACGTATCACTCAGTGGACGCGTTGACGTTTAGAGGCGCGGTAGTGGGCGGGCCCTGTTTCAGACAGTATGTTATTTACTAATACAGGCTACAGCTCTGAAGAAGCTTTCTTTATACGTTTGGCATTTACTCTAGTTTTAAATACTTCTCTATATATCGTCTTGTAGCGAGGGCGCACGTCCTCATGCATTCTTTGGCTCAAGAGATCCAGGGTTTCTCCAAATCTCGGCTAAAGAAGCAGAGCACTTGTGTGACCACTGCCACTGGACAGAGGCTCCGAGAGAGCAGAGATGAGGCTGGAGAGGAGCACGTGGAGCCGCTGGACCAGGGCTGTGGCATTGTGCTGGACCACAGCCTGGATCTTCAGGTTGGAGTCGTAAGACCCTTTCTACTGCTTGGTAAAACAATTTTACAATTTATACCAAAATGTAACAGAGTCTGCATGGTGGAGAGAATCATTATTCTGAATACTGTTACTGAGATTTAGGTGAGCCGTGCACCCGGCAAGAGAAAGAGGACAATAAATGTAAACATAGACTATTGTCATATTTAATAATACATCGAAATTCAAATTGCCATCAGAGAAAATAGTATTTTGTTTGAACTTACCGTGGGATCAGACATAGAATAAATATTGTTGGTATTTATTAATAACAAAATGCTTATTCTGTTATGACATATTTTGTGACATTGTCTGACATTGTCAGACATTGTCTTTTAATGTATATCAATAAAGATTACCTAATTACTTACTACTTTCACGTAGAGATAAATAAGGATATTGAGAAAAAGAGGGAAAGCTTTCTCTGTAAGTGGAATACTGGATGTAGAATAAGCAAACCTAGTTACTAATAAATGTCTTGATTATTATCTCCTCCTCATGAATGATGGTCAGGCTAAAGGCTACCTTTTTCACCTATAGCAGTATAGAGTCAATATTTAAAGAGACTGACTAACATGTTATTATTCCACCAAATGACACTCTGGTTCTTTGGGGTGTGGATGTGGATTGTGCCCAATTTTAGTAGACTGAAATAAAAGGAACTAACTGTCTCTCTTCTTCCCTTTATTCTATACATTTCAGCATCACAGGATGCAGCACACGACATGGAGACCCTTACCACCCATCAGGTGTTTTTTTTTAATTATTTTTGGTACAACGTTTTTGCAAAGACTGACTGTTGCAAAAACTATTTATTAGAAAGTGCATGGCAAAATTGTCTGAACGTGTAATTTTTTTTTTTTTTTACTCAAAGTTTTGTTATGGAGCTGCTTTTCATCAGCAGGGACAAGAAAGAGTTGATGTAAAGGTGAATGGAACAAAATACAGGACATTTTTGGACAAAAAGCTTGGGAGAAATTATTATTATTATTCGAGAGTAACAAATATTCCTTGGTTACAAATAAATATTTTTTACTTTTGACTACCATACAACTTGTATTCAAAGTCGTGCTGGTGTCTGTTTCAGGTCACCCATGTTTTAAATGTGGCCTATGGGGTGTCTAATGCGTTTCCCAAAAAGCTGGTGTACAAGACTCTGCCCATCCTGGACATCCCTGAAACAAACATCACTGCTTATCTGGAGGAATGCAGCAGCTTCATTGATCAAGCCAGAGACCAGGTTAATGCTGAGAACAATTGAATACATTAAACATATGTTCCATTTGAAACACATTTCCTTTTCAATGTTTTAGAATGGAATAGTGCTGGTTCACTGCAACGCTGGAGTATCACGCTCTGTATCTGTTGTGATCGGCTACTTGATGGCACGCGAAGGACTTCCCTTCAGTGAAGCCCACTGCCAGGTCCTGGCCGCCAGGCCTTCAGCTCGACCCAACACTGGCTTCTACCACCAGCTGCTTCACTACGTGCCTTAAAACTAGGCTTGAAGCTAAACAGACTCATTCTTGACCATAAGATTATATATTATTATTAAGGCTTTGTAAGCGACGTTAAGGAGTTTTATTTTAGTTTGCTTTTTCCAATGAGAGCATTGGTTAGCATCTTAATCTCAATCTCCTTGATTAGATTGATGTCTATAAATCATGTTTATTTGGATTAGGGTTAAAAACAAATAAAACATGTTCCTTTGCTAAAACATTTTACTTTGTATAAAAGCTACAATTTACACTTACATTTTTATAATTTCATATTTATTATGTTCTGTAACACACTTTATTATTATCTTTCATAATTCATTTATAGGTTGAATACTTTTGAAAAGCACTGTAGACTGTATTAGTATTTACTGCAAATTAGTACGGCTTAAGTTTAGTACTCTACAATGTTATTAATGCATCAGTGTTGTCCACGAGGTGGCGCCACTCTCTCGACTGTGTGGCTCTGGTAGAGTCCAAACGGAGGAGAGAGAGTTGCCCACAGAGGTCTTTGCGCGCATCGCAGCGGTGGACAACAGAGTGAGAGAAGAGCGGAGAAGAACCAGACAGAGTCCCGGGAGGCAGTGCAGGGAGAGCCTAAAGACAAGGAGCCGCGCTGCGGATTGTTTTAAAAATCTTCTAGACGAATGGGCTCCAAACACGGCTTATTATATATAATGTTCATTGTGTAGAGTTGGCGACCTAATACTTCTGCATCACTTCGTGGTCTGTCCTCTCACTCGGAGCACTTTCTGTGCACTTAGCGCTGCATCTATGGCATGTTACTACGTAGTGATCAGCTCCACGCACCTGCGGGACGGGAAACTCCGGAGCATCAAAGGGCTGTTCCGGGGGCCCATAGGAGCGAGGGCTCGGAGCATGGTAAGCGTCTTTTCACACATATGAAACTCGTTTGGGCACCGTGTAAAGTAGTAAAGGCAATTTCCGTCAGTATACATTACTGTGAATAAACCTGCTTGTAATATCAGTCTATGGTCAGATCTGAGATTTAAAATTGGACTTGCCAAATTATACTTTGGTCTATAACAACACTATGAGGTCAGGGGTGTTTAAGTCATGTTGGTCAGAGGGCCATTGTTTATTTTATCTTAACAATTTACGAGACAGTAACAGCTGTAACAATCATGCTCTCTCATGATTCCAAGAGGAAGAAATCCCATGTAAAGGATACAGCAAAAACAACAAAAACTATTTTTTTTTTTAAACATAACGTCTAATATACATAACAAAACACATACAAAATTACAATGTGAACAATGCACACATGTTCAGTAAAGTTAGTTCAAATTGTACAATAAAAACAGGTTAATAGAAGAATACAAGCACACAGACACAATAATAATTCATTAGATTAATGGATATAATTTGGTTGATTGGCTGTCGACCTAAATGTTCTCGCCTGATCAGTGTGTTCGAAGTGTTATGCTTAAAGACACAACGTCAGTTTATACGTTTTTGTTTGTATTCTTTAACCAACATATAAATAAAATACAAACAGACACAGGTCCAAGACAGTCTTTAGGTGAGCTACCTCCAAAGATTAACAGTGCTCTTCTGAGCGTTGTGGATGCATGCTGTGGACAGGCACAAACAGACAACATCAGTAAAATCAATTAGATAACCCCTTTCTTGAGGATCAGTCCTTGAGCATCATAACAAGAGGAAAACATGATAGTTTGTATGGCATAAGTAAAGTATCACAAGCTCACACTTTTCAAGCCTGTGCTTCATGTTAAAAGAAGATTTTAACAAATCAACAATAATATTCACATCTCTTTTATACTGTACAACAAATAAAGATTACTTACTTGCATATGTACTTATTCACGTCATGTATGTACATACTTACTCACCCACTGCACTATGACACGAGACATGCTTGTCTCGTGTCTAACAGACTTGTTGCCTCATCCAAAAACTTCCATACCACACCAACTGAGGTATCAAACCAAGTCAGAAGTGACAGGCCTCCCACTGCTGTTACATTAGCCCTTACTGACACATTTAGTGATGTACAGTGTAAAGAATGTCCAGCCAGCGGTGGAAGTGGGTTCATACAATTGAAGGACCAAGTGCCAAAGCTGATTTTAGCTGACCATGGTCAGTAAAAACTGAGGCTTGTTGATGACAAACAGTCATCAACAAGCCTCAAGAAACTTTTTGATTGTGGATATTTTTTTATTTATATGCGTATTTGAAATCAGAGCAACGCGGTTTAGAGGGAGATACACTCTGCAGTGAATGTGCTCATTTTCGGCAGCACTCTTCTCTAAGGCAGCTGGCCCTTTAAGGAGAACAACACCCTGCAAGATTAATTTCACTTCTGAAAATGCTTAATGAGTGTGGAATGTTAAGGAATATATTTATGAAGCCAACTACTCAATTGCCATGGAAACTGAGGTAGCGCAGTGGAGAAGAGTGGGTGGCAATGCGACTTGGATGAACCCTGGGATGTGGTGGGAGGCGTGCGCGGAGCCACCGGAGAGAATGACAGGCGAAGCACAGACAGATGCTCGCTCCAAGACTGTGACACGGAGAACTTTGAAGGTGACAAACTTTCACTAACCACATTCTTCCAATTTTGCCACGTTGATAATGTATGCTTCATTAAGTGTAGCCTATTTATAACATCAGATGCCTTAGATGTGTTGACGCTGTCACGGCTTAACCCATAGGACGCAAACTTTGATCTTTGGGCGGCACGGAGGCTGAGTGGATATCACTCTCACTTCGGAGCAAAAATGTCCTGGGTTTGAATCCCGGTCGGAACAGGGTCTTTCTGAGTGGAGTTTGTGTGTTCTCCCTGTGTCTACGTAGGTTTCCTCTGGCTGCTCCAGTTTCCCCTACTACGATAGGTCTGGCATGCGCCTCCTGTACTGGCGACCTCACTCCCTTCTCTTTGTGTGGAGTGAGAGACAAATGCCCACAACAATTGTAAAGTGCTTTGTGACTTACTTATCAATGCATGCAGTCGGATCAGGTCAGAATAATCCATTTACATTGTTCTAACTTAAAATATTTTCTAAGTTTCTTATCTAATAATATTAAATAAAATAATAAATTAAAAGAAACTTAGGAACAGTGGAGGGGTGCCATTATGATCTGGGGTGCTTTTCCCCTCAATGGAACAATGGAGTTTCAGATTGTGGCCACACAATAGAATTCGAATTCAATACAGATTTTGACATAAATGTTTATTTATCCCCTTTAGGGAACTTTGTCCTCTGCATTTGACCCATCCTGGAAAGACAAAAGGGCTTTTGTGAGTAGCAGTGGTCACTGTAGTACAGCGCCATATGTTGGTGCTCGGCTTAGTCAGGACCTGGATGATTTTACCTTTTGTACATTTTTTTAGTGGAAGGGGAAACTAAAGCACCCGGAGGGAACCTACACAGACACGGGGAGGACATGCAAACTCCACCCAAAAAGCCCTGTAAGGGTTTAGTCTTAAGGTATATTTGAATAATACTTATCATATAATTATTGCAGATGTCAATGCAATCAGTACCGGTGTTTCAGTCCCTATGAGAAGTTTTCTTAGATGATCCAAGCTAGAGTTAGGGTCTCTCATGGCAAGCATGTCCAAGGTGACGAGTCAGACAAACCCACCATGGCTGAGTTCATTCTTCACAGCATAAAGGTCATGGATCCGATATTGCACCGCCCAGGCCTTTCTATGTAGAGTTAGCTACGTAAGGATTGTCAGGGTTCTCCGGTTTCCCCCACCACCCAATAACATGCACCAAAATGAAATCCTCCATTCCAAGCATCAAAATGACTAATCCTACTGACAGAGATTACTCATACTGACAGAGACTACTCATACTGACAGAGACTACTCCTACTGACAGAGATTACTCCTTCTGACAGAGACTACTCATACTGCCAGAGACTACTCATACTGCCAGAGATTACTCCTACTGACAGAGACTACTACTGACAGAGACTACTCATACTGACAGAGACTACTCATACTGACAGAGACTACTCATACTGACAGAGACGAGAGACTACTCCTACTGACAGAGACTACTCATTCTGACAGAGACTACTCATACTGACAGAGACTACTTCTACTGACAGAGACTACTCCTACTGACAGAGACTACTCCTACTGACAGAGACTACTCCTACTGACAGAGACTACTCCTACTGACAGAGACTACTCCTACTGACAGAGACTACTTCTACTGACAGAGACTACTCATACTGACAGAGACTACTCCTACTGACAGAGACTACTCATACTGACAGAGACTACTCCTACTGACAGAGACTACTCCTACTGACAGAGACTACTCCTACTGACAGAGACTACTCCTACTGACAGAGACTACTCCTACTGACAGAGACTACTCATACTGACAGAGACTACTCCTACTGACAGAGACTACTCCTACTGACAGAGACTACTCCTACTGACAGAGACTACTTCTACTGACAGAGACTACTCATACTGACAGAGACTACTCCTACTGACAGAGACTACTCCTACTGACAGAGACTACTCATACTGACAGAGACTACTCCTACTGACAGAGACTACTCTCTACTGACAGAGACTACTCATACTGACAGAGACTACTCCTACTGACAGAGACTACTTCTACTGACAGAGACTACTCATACTGACAGAGACTACTTCTACTGACAGAGACTACTCCTACTGACAGAGACTACTCCTACTGACAGAGACTACTCCTACTGACAGAGACTACTTCTACTGACAGAGACTACTCCTACTGACAGAGACTACTCCTACTGACAGAGACTACTCATACTGACAGAGACTACTCCTACTGACAGAGACTACTTATACTGACAGAGACTACTCCTACTGACAGAGACTACTCCTACTGACAGAGACTACTCATACTGACAGAGACTACTCCTACTGACAGAGACTACTCCTACTGACAGAGACTACTCATACTGACAGAGACTACTCATACTGACAGAGACTACTCATACTGACAGAGACTACTCCTACTGACAGAGACTACTCATACTGACAGAGATTACTCCTACTGACAGAGACTAGTCCTACTGACAGAGATTACTCCTACTGACAGAGACTACTCCTACTGACAGAGACTACTCCTACTGACAGAGACTACTCATACTGACAGAGACTACTCATACTGACAGAGACTACTCCTACTGACAGAGACTACTCATACTGAGAGAGACTACTCCTACTGACAGAGACTACTCCTACTGACAGAGACTATTCCTACTGACAGAGACTACTCATACTGACAGAGACTACTCATACTGACAGAGACTACTCCTTCTGACAGACTTTCTGGACAATATGTCAAATGCAGGGGGCAATTTTCCAGAAGGGGAAAATAAAGTATACAGCGCCATAACCATAACCTTAACCCTTAACCCCTAGTTGACAGGAGGGCATCAGCCACAGTCAGGTCTGTGGTTGGGGCTTTTGGATGAGTGCTTTGTCTGTCTTCAGAAGCCCGAGAAATACAATGAAATTCCTTTGTTTGTGGTAGTAACAAATCATATGTGAAAAATGTCATGAATATATTTTCAAGGCACTGTACGTATCGACTTAGCTCGTCCTTGTTTTATTCTCACGAGAAGTGGTCCACTGCCTGGTACTGAGCGTGTCCGATAAGACATCATCACAAGCGGAAGGAAAAAATATGCTTTTTATTTTGAGTTTTGACCAAAAATGACTTACTATATGTAATCTATAATAGAGTGAAAGAAAATTGGTGAAGGACAATTTTCTTTATGTGTTTAAAATGTACACTTACAATATACATTTTAAAATGTTCCCAGTATTGTGACATTTGTGGTGGCAGAATGCTCCTGGATCAGTCTGGGGCTGTAGCACTCAGCTTTTACTCCAATGACACTCAGATAGCATTGATCCAATTCCCCTCTGTGCATCAATAACACTGATCCATCCAGATATGCTTACACAACATCAATAGCAGCACTTTGAGGAGGCGGTTGGGCAAATAAAGTGTATGTTCATGCCAAAAATCAGTATATCAAAATTCAAACATATCTGTTGTCTTATGTTTTTGTATGACACCAAGATATTTTGGGTTTTAAAGGGTTCATACTCTGCTAGTAAGACTTTTGGACAACTTGTGAGCATCTCCCATGATGTCTTATAAAGCTTGTTTTACTGTGAAACCACTGAAATAAATACTTTGCGACTTGGGCATTAATAACATCAAGAATAAACGTTCAGCAGAGGATACACTTGACGCAGTTGCATGAAATGAGCTATACAAATAAACTTATCATCATTATTATTCTAAATTTAAAAAGTCACTTCTATTTCTAAGTACATTATTATGGGTGTTGTAGAGGTAAATGAGTGTTTAAAATGTCAGAATGTGTCCTGTGAAGGTCAGAGCAGAGCCCTTCTCGGATTACTAATTACATTATGTTTGCATTGAACCTAAGATCGGGACAACCAAAATATAGAATGTATTACTACCAGAAGTTACATAGAAAAGTGTGTAGCATATTTGTATTTCAATTTTACTTCAGTTACTTTATAGTTTATTACTGATGTTTTGGAAGGTAGAAAGCTATTTAACATAGCTTAATTAGCTATTTAAGTTGCCTTTAAATAAATTGCTTTTTATTTTATTTGTTTTTTTAAATTAGTTGGAAATGGTTGTAATTATCAGTTACAATACCGTGTTCTGTGTGTGTGCTTTAGGTGGAGAAAGGCTCCAGCCTGTACTGTGAACTCTGTGACAAACAGTACGAGAGGCAGCAGCAGTTTGACAATCACACCAGCTCCTATGACCACCACCACCGTCAGGTGAGGCACACTGCAGACACTGCCTTCTCTAGAGAGTGTCACAACAAGATTGAGAAGATGAATATTCTTCAGTAATGACTTAAACTGTGGTTGTCTGCAATCAAGACTTGAACCCATTTAAGAATCTGTCTGCTCAGAAAGACATGATGTTATCACAGACAAATGGCCTGTTTGGTTTCCATTAGGCTCTCTGGGTTTCAGATCGAGGGAGCAGTGTGTTAAGATAAGGTGCTCCATGGGCACAATGGACATTTTCATTGGAGACGTTTGGCAAAGATAACATGTGATACGGGGCAGTTGCACATTGTACAAATTATTACTAGAAAACTCTGCTCCGTGCAGACATCGATCTTTGTTGGGATGATTTTCCCCTGGAGTGTTGGTGGATATATCCTCTTAGCTTTGAGCTGTGATTAGAGGGCCACTAAAGTGCCTAGCACTGGAGTGTGTCGTAGTCTCAGAGCGCTGTGTTGGTGTGGGCACTGATGCGCTGGATTAGAGAAGGAATTCACTCAAACTGCTCTTTTTAGACGTTACTGCTGGTATTATGGTTGCCACATACCCTCACTGCTAATAGCAGATGTCAGCAGCTGTAGTTTAGACATTCCAATGAGGGCAACAATATAGGGGGAGAAATAGAATTTCAAGATGAAATTCCAATAATCTGTCACTGTATTTCATCAATTATTTTACCTAAATTATGCCAATTTAAATGAAATTAGCTAAATAACATCAAACTTAAAATGATGTGGTGTATTGAATACACAAAACTTTCTCAAGAAGGAGTGGTAAAAGAGTGAAAGTGAGAACGTTGTTTATCTGAAATTTCGAGAGATAAAAATGTGTTGTGGAGGTGACGATTTGCTTTTAATCATGAAATTCAACAATTTATTCTGTTAAATGTTGTCTTTATTTGGTTAGCTCCCTGCATAAACAGTTCAATAACTCTCAGTAAACCTTTAGTTGAGATGAAGAGTGAAAGATTAAACAAAATGACAAGCGAATGTAAATTGTGTATTATGTTTTAGCGTCTGAAGGAACTAAAGCAACGAGAGTTTTATCGAATGTTGAGCAGCAGGAGGCAGAGAAAAGGCCAAGAGCAGGGGCCTCAGAGCATGCAGCAGGAAAAGGGCTCTGCACAGCGGTGAGGACCCCACCATCAACTACTGTTTACAATAATAACATCTTTGTGACCCACTGACTACACACATTCATATAATAAACCCTCTTATATCACACCTGCACCACAATGATCATCATGTTTAGTATTCATTATTCATATGTTCACAGCACTACAGTGGCCCTGGATAAATCATTGAATGAAACCGATGTCTTCGCCAGCTGCAGTAAAGGCAAGATATGTTGTTATCTTTATTTGTACATAAAACACTATATGTATGTTATTATTCATATAAAACATTTACAAACATTTAGTAATATATTTTGTGTTTTTCTTATAGACCCTGTAGTACCCCAGGTCTGGAGCAGCTCACATTGGCTTTCCAGTAGTCCAGCTGAGCGTGACCTGAGCATTACAGACATTACAACCATAAAACTGGAAACCTCACACACTCAAACTGATGTTCTGGATCAAACCATTCAACCTGGTCATGTTAACAAACCCCCTGAACCTCACCCTCACGTGAACCAGGCTGCTCCCTTATTGGCCACTAATATCACCTCTGATGGCTGTGGTTTGTCTGGGACAAACACACACAATGTTCACAGCGACACCCGGGTGAGCTTCTCCCTTCCAAAGAGAAACTGTATGCTTCGCCACCAATCAGCTGCTGTCTTCCTACAGACCACGACTCCCAAGGAGACGCAGCCTCCTCAAAATCTAGTTAACTTGAATTTAGCCTCTTCGGTAAAATGTAAAGTTCCCACAGATCCTGTCATTGGTGCAAACCTGGCCCTAAAGACAACACAAAAAGAGTTGAAGGACTTTCAAGAAAATGCAACACAAAACACATCTTTACAGCGACCAAAAGAGCCATTCTGTGAGGTCCTGAGCCGTGACGGTACCACTGTCCTCCTATGGCCTTCGGAGATGGTCAGCTACACCCGCACTGCCCCGTCCATCTCTTTCAGTGTCAACCCTCTGTTGCACAACTTCAGAGCTAAAAACACAATCAAAGACGTGCCCATGAACAGGGGAGAAGAGCTAGGGAGGAAAGAACCATGTGTGATCAAACAGGCCAAGCAGGAGCAGAGGCAAGCGGATACACAGGGAGGGGGGTTACTGAGCAGACTTGAAAGTAAACTGGAACATGGAGGCGGACAGGCAGCAACGGCTGGAGAAGTGGTTGCCCATGGTATCTCTAGCAATTGTGATGAAAATATTTTAAAATGTCTTGTTCATTCTGAGTTTAAACAACGAGCAAAAAGGAGGAGACGCAAAATCAGGAAACGGGCCAAGAGGCCTGCAAGGGTAAGAAAAAGGAGACAAAAAATACAATTCAAATCCAAGACAATGACCAATGGCAGCTCTCAAGAAAAGGGACTAGAGAGACAGAACATTGCAAACCCCAAACATGTGATAAAAGATCCGGAAGCTTCCAATGACCACAAAAAAACAGTGCGATTAAGTCATCTTCCTGTCAGTCACTTTAATCGGTGTGAGCAGCTGTGTGCACAGGTGAACAACCAGGCCAGCCACCATCTATCTCTGCAATCAGCCTCCGAATGGAGCCCAGGGTTCAGAAAACTACCCAGCAGGGGAGCAGCATGTAATGCAGCGATTAGCCTTGCCCCAGGCTCTGATATAGAGAAGCCACGCTGTCTTGCAATTACACCCATCCCTGTTCAGAGCAGCACAGTTGTGTGGGAGACTCATGCAGAGACACAGTCGGGGAAGAACAGCGTGATTCTAGAGAAAGTAGCAACAGGGCATGAATTGTTGGGAAAAAGGACTTTTGATGAATTGCTTAACCTAGACCCACTGTGCGATCAGGCTCAAACGGTCCTTGTCAAACAACCCACGGCAGACCACACCTCTCACTCACTGCAGCTCCCACAAATAGATGTTCATTGTGTCACCAATACTGACGTCCTCACAAACGGCAGCACAACTGGCGTGTTACCCATGACCAAAGCCCCACCAATGAAGATACGGAAATCAGACAAATATATTGGAAACTGTTTCGATTTAATGTACTTGTGCTCTGACCTCAACATCCAGAACGTTTGTAGTCCACAGGAGATTCAAAAGACTACAAAACCTTTGATACAGATCGAAGAATTAAAGAACGTCAGTAATTTTGTCTCTCAACAAAGCGAACCAACAGGCACCGCCGTAAACAGCTGCTGCCACAGCACAATAGGTAGCATGCAAAATGACAGAACTATAGAGAACTCTACAAGTTCTCCACATAACAAATGCCAGAACACTGCTTCTAAAAAGAAAATTGTTACACAGGTCAAGCCAAATGACAGATATATTCCAAATGTAACAACTGAAAATAAGGTTCAGGGTGAACCAACACAACATCGTCAGGCCACTGTATCCTCAACTTTAACAGACATGATCACTGGGGATGTCCACAACTGTCGGTATGATTGCACACATCACTCGACAAACTGTAATTGCTCAGACAAAGGCAACGGTGTTGTAGTTTTGATTAGAACTCATCCTGATCAAAGAGGGAAGGACGATCAGAAGAATCAAGGGAGAACAAAACCAACAAGTGAGGCAGCGTGGCTTGGTTTTCCCCGGCCTCCACCACTCTTCCTCCAGCCGCACTTTCAGCCTCTGTCCTTCCCCATCTCACCCCTCACGCCCATCCCCACCCACTTCTCTGCTCACCCTGCTCCATTTGCCCCCTTGCTTCCCACAGCCTTCAATGCCTTGGCCCCTGTACCACTTCTTCAAAGACCACCATACCCACTGCCAACCTTCTCTATGCAAACTGGAGGTTCGGCGATGTACAGCCTGCCACCGCCACCCTTTGTACCAATGCAGTTTATGTCTTCAAAGGCAACTACATTTTCCATTTACTGGGCTAACTGACTAGTCACTCAACAGTATGCTTAATATCAAATATGCACAACTCCTAATTAATAAAGGTGTTTCTATATGAAGCTATGTGTACTGTACGCTTACTGGTACTCTTACTTATATACATATCCAGGGGTCTCCTGGAAGAGAAAATGGCAGTGAGCTACTTCTTTAAGCGGTCGAAAGAAATTGAGTCGATATAATGATGAGCTGGTAGTCTGACAAGCCAGACCCACTTATTTTCTACAAGAATGAAGGAACTGTGTAATAGACAGAGGGGAGTGAGCTAACCTTATAATGGGAAGTTAGGTGTATCTGTTATCTGTAAGTATTATCTATGCCCAAAGTTAGTATGCAACTAGATCTGTATTCGCTTGCAAGGTAACATTTGAAATATTTTGCTAATTATTTGTCATTTCAAAAATCCTTTTGGGAGCTACTTGGAACGGATGAGCAAATATAGGTTGGAAACCTCTGATCTTTAATCTATTTTGTTCAAAACCATTATGAATATACTTTATGTTGCAATAGGCAGCCAGTCAGGTCCGATTTACTAGCTCCCTTTTAGCTGTTAAATTGAATATATAATAAATACCATGAAAACTTGTGCTATATGTTTTTCAACTTTTACCTTTTCAAAATATGATTAAGAAACAGAAATCAAGGAATCCTAACTGAAAGATGTTCCAACGGCAATGAAGAAACATTGGAGTAAAATAAAAGCAGCTTTTTGCATTAGTCCCAACAATTATTTCTGATTACCAGAAATATTTTATCTTTTACACTGAAATGTACTTGTTCCAAGTTATTGGTTAAATACATAAAATGTGTGTAAAGTGTGTATCATTCGGTGAGATTATTTCTATTGAAGCAATGGCAGATTCCTCAATACTTAACATCAACTCTGAATAATATATTTATGTATTTGCATTCACAGTGCAACCACAATGACAGTAGTGCTTTATACTAATTGAAAATATCGAACCTGTTAAATTGGAATGTTCTTTTTGTGGCTCTTGAGTGTTGCATTAACAGAGGGAAGTGGTGATCTCGTCTTATTCTCTGTCAGGATGCTGGGCCAACCACAGCCCACTGGGGAGCAGCTCAAAGCCAAAGGGGTGGGAGGAGGCTTTGGGTACAGTGCAGTTGTGGATGATGATGATGAGAGCTGGTCGTGCTGCTATACAGAAATCCAGGCCTTTTGTCGCCATCTCCAAAACACCTATTGTTCAGTGACACGTTAATGGAACAAAATAGAGAAAAGCAGACGGTGGTCCATAATTCTTCAAAACCTATACATTTCTACTAAATTGCAGTTCTGATATGATCAGCCAAACTACTTAAAACATGCACAGTGCAACAACGTCCAGAGCTTCACAACCACAGAAACAGGTCACTTATCCCAATCAAGGTCTCATTCAATCTTTGAACAACATGCAAATGAACCTTTGAGCAGGTGCTATACATGCTTTAGAGGCACAGTTCTCCCAGTTTGCACACACACAGTCAACTAAATAAATAGCTTTATACTCTGCAACAGCCTAAGTGGGTCAGACATCAAAGTAGCCACTCGAAGAGCTGTCCATGCACACACACACACACACACACTTTAAATTGCTCCTCAACCGTCTCCACACTTGTGCGCTCACAATTTGTGGCGCGCACCCCTTTCTGGCTCTATTGCACACAACTCCAGTAAATTGCAGCGAGCAGGCAGATGACCAAATAGCAGCAATCAGAAAGTCTGAGAGCCAATACAACAAATGCTGCTGGACCAAGTGTGAGACAAGCTCCATCTGTATATGTCACGGCTATTCAACTTCATTTTTAAAGTGGGGGCCATGCTCTTTGGGCTCTATAGCTGCACATTGCAACTTTGAAAACATTAACATTTTATTCATTCGTTAGTTCATGACCTTTTTTAACATCTGCTACATTTTGTGAAAGATTACACAGTATGTAAATACTTATCCAAATCAGCACTGACTCGACCTTACCAACTGGGCAAGTCTAACCATGGCACAAATATATAGATAACAATATCTGATCATTTGAGAGACTAAATTACTGCTCTAGCCACACCTGTCCTGGGGCAGACTGATGGAAGCATGCAACCAATTTTTGCCAGAAGTCTCCCATCACAGCACTAACCAGGCCCTTCCCTGCTTAGCTTTGGAGGTCTGATAGAATCTGGAAGTGATGCAAGTTAGACCTAAAATTATCTTCTAATCAAATGCATTATTTCAGATTTTTCTCTGGTTTCTGTTTAATATGAAAAGTTGATACACCGCACTCTAGACAAGAAACATGACAGAACACACATCACAACGATAGTTTTACTGTAATATCCACAACATTATGCTATAGAGATTAAATGCAAAAACAATTAGACCACATGTCTCTTATTCACCTAAACTAGCAGTAAAATAATGTAACTATGACCATATACTGGTCAAGTATGTGGTGTAATACTTGAGAATCGAGGATTATTCAAACAAATCACACAGTTGTATCAATAATGGTAAGAAATGGTCAATAGACTTTCTGTGATTGAAACTTGTCGGTTTGGGGTTTGTATTCTTTCCTCCCAAGAAAGTGACGTGAAAAAACTTGAAGATCATGTAAGGATAATCCTCCCTAGACAGGGAGGATTCATTTATTCATGTATTTATCTATTTATTTTCCTTTAGATATTCAGATATCTAAATATGTTATTTATTTTAACAGCATCAGTATTAGAATTCACTTGTGTGTGTTACCTTTAAAATGAGGCATCACAACACAACATCAGACACAAGATGTCCACACAATAAGCATTTCCATTTGGGTATCAAAATTTGAGAAGGAACAAGCGAAATTCGGTGATCCTTAAAGAGTTAAGAAGGAAAATGTGTTATTTGAGCATAGAGAGAGTGTTACAGTATGAAAAGGCTTGTGCTTCCCGCCTGGATCCCAGCAAAGATGCAGCCATCCACAGAAACAGTGGCAATAACTCACATACATGCCCATTCAGGGCCTAATGACTTTTATAATGAATGACTCGAGATGGAGGGTTAAATCATGGTTACCATGGTGATGGCTCAATCGATCACTAAGTATTGACTGACCATTGGCGAGCTTGTAGGGGAATGTATATAAGCTGCTTCCATAGATCCAATTCTGAAACTCAATCCTATAACCTTTATTTTACCCCCAAATTTCTTTTAACAGCCTGCAGTCACTTGGGACGCTACAATAAAAATGCACTGGAGAACATTTAAATGCAAAAAGTAACATAAAAAACACAATAGACTTTTAAGGAATGCATAGAGCTGCACAGGGTTAAGTGAAAAAGGAACCCAAAATGCAGGACTGTAAAAATTAAGTGTTATTTAATCAAACAAATCCAACGTAACTAAATTCTGAAAGAACTGAAAACAACATAAACATGGTAGAGACAATGGATGGACAACAAGTGGGGAAAAGCACAGGGTATAAATACAGACAGTGAAACTCAAACTCAAACTACAAATGTATAGCAGAATAAAAGTGGGTCAATAATCAAAAGGCCACACCATGACATAGGATGGTAATGTTTCAAAGGTATTGATATAGACACACATAAACTCTTGGTGGACCCTATTCCAGAAAGAATACTTGACCTTTTGTTAAACAGGCCCCAAAATACATAAAATACAAAGACATTCTATATCATCTTAAATATAGCTCATAAGTATTTCAGACTGATTGAAAGAAATGTTTATTTTTGAATGTAATCGTGCTGATAAGTTCTGACTATTTCAACAGAAAGAAACACTGTCCGAAACAACTAAACTGTTTATGAGCTATTAAAAAACACAACGATTCCTTTCAATCCAGTCAAAAAATATAGTAGAGTACAGTAGAGTCTCTACAGTACAGCTACAGCATGTAGTGAAGTAAGACGGAAAAGTACTGACTGAAAAATGACTAAAATAAAAGCACCGATCTAAGAAAATGACTTATGTCCACACCCTTCATAAGAGGACAGTGTGCTATTCTTATGTCCGTTCAGAAGGCCATTATGTTCAACTCTTCTATGGTTTGCAGCTCAGCGAGTCGTGGGGAGGCAGATGTAGCTGTGCCTCTGGGGACAACTCCAACAGATGGACCTATGTTATATTTGCTCTAAATATTCATCTGTCTCTCAAGGATGACTCGCAGAGCTCTGCAGCCAGACCCCAAGCAGATTTTAAGTAAGCCTACCCAATACAGCTTACAGTCATCCATTGGGGTTTAGAAGAGATCGTAAATTATTTGTGCTACTTGAGATACTTGGAGTTAATTTGCTTCATTGGGTTTTCTCCTCCAGGACGCTGAACACCGACCCGGGAGCAGACCAGAGACCAGATGCTCTCTCTATTGGCATATGAGGGTAAAGGCTGCACACAAGCTGCCTCCTTCATCCTGTTGAGCACAAAAGGCTTTTGTTTTTGTATAAAAACCAGGAATGTAATGTGTCAACTGGACGTGAAGTCAAAATATACTCTAATAAGATCAGCACTATCAGAATGCCCAACGCTCAACAGTGTGTATGTCTCTATTCTCAGGGTGAAGAGGGCCAGCTGGACTCTCTACTCTCTGGGGCAGCTGCCCGCTGGGCCCCTTTGCTGACTCTGCTTCAATAATATTTCCTGACATGTTGAGCACACCATATGCTGCTTTGTCATCTTCTTCTCTCAGAACCTCGTATAACATTCAGTACAAGAAGTATTCTCTGACATCCATTTGGCATTGTTCAATTTGTTTTATTGTTTGATTTTCCAATCTGCTTATAGAAAATCAACAATTCTGTGACGCCCCTAGAGACAACTGCCGTTGCAAATTTGGGGACTAAAAACATTATGATTTTATTTGAAGCACATTCTCGCTGGGAGATAAGAGAATCTTCTCTACTCTAAGCCTAAAAATAAGAATCATCAAAACCAGACTCTCTCAAATGTTTCAGTCATGGGCCCCTGATAATAAAGTTATAGAAGTTATATCATTTTTATGAATATTTAATGCATTGTCTTTAAACTAACTGTGTTGTCAAAGTTCACTGTGAATGCATGTACTTGCTAACCGGTGTCTTTAATGTTTGCAGTGTTAATGGATGTCCATTTGTCACAAGTTTGGGTTGTGAAGTGATTTTTGGGTTGTCAGCGTGAGATAAGACTGGAAACCTTTTTAGGCTAAAATGTTTGAACTGTGTCAACAAACTAATGGTTTAGGCCATATGGAATCTTTGGAGTGACAATAATGTGACCGTAATGTAGGTGTGTTTTTTTCTTAATAAATAGACCTGTAAACCAAAGGAGTTCAGTGCACGCACGGTCACAGCACCCAAGATCAGCGATGTGCCGTGACCATGCATGCGCTCCTTGCGTTGCATGTAAAAAAAATGAATCCTTGTCTGTTGTGTATGTCTTTGTCCAGGTACTGTACGGTAATCTTTAACAGCCCCCTTAAAAACAAGTCAGATCATATACCTCGTGAGACTCACTGGTTAACCCCATCCACTTGACCCTCTCTCTCCAAGAGCATTTTTGTGAAGTAAAACCCCATTTAAAGATAATTCATATAGATATAGTCTCATTCTCTTTAAATGGGATGATGTATTTATCAATAGATAGCTTGTTTTTTACTTGGATAGTTTTGTGATTTTCTCCTGATTTACAGTGTGAGTTTCACATTGCGGAAGCTGCTTAATTATTTGATAAAATATGTTGATATGGCCCATATCATAAATGAATACGTTTAACCTTATGTACCTTAACGTATGATTTTAATGTCACATAAAGGGAACATTTTTTCACTCTAGATACGTTTTGGTTTATTAGTGCCATTGCCATGATCATAAGTGTTAGCACCATCCCATGAGCTCCCTGTGAATTGTGAGATTGGTTTAGGAAAGAAACAGTGATACTGGTAAAACTTTAGGCAGCAAATAGTTCATTTTAGAGGTTAATACATAATATTTTGATGGACATCGATGAGAAAAGGGAAACATGAATGTTTACCACAGTGTTTTATCTGTTACCCCTCATCTTTTGCTTAATGTCAGAAAACAAGGTTCAAAAAAGGTATCTTTAATAGAAGGGGGGAGGTAAGCCTCCATGATGTCAATAACTATAGTGTGCATATTTTTAATCCCTTGTGACTTTGCTGTTTCACTGAAGGCTAGAAAAACTCTGGTACCTGCACGGCTGCCTTACAGCCTGATCCAATACATCCAGCTGTCAGCCTAAATGACACAGTCTCACCATAAACTTGATGCTTTAATTGTGATTCTGATTCCTTACTGTAGAATCAGCTCCCCATCCATGGTAAGGAAGCAGACACAGTCTCTACATTCAAGGCCAGGCTTAAAACAGTCCAATTTAATTTAGTATTTGGTTAGGTAGGTAAGACTCAGGTTAGGGAAAGACAACCTTAAGTCCAAGAAACACATAGTCAATGTGCATTTAGAGTCACATACAGGGAGAATTATGGTAACTTAAGCACTACAACCCATTGTCCCATTGGCTCCTGGTTGTTCTGCCCGGCGCAACTCGTGGGCTACACATCCTCCCCACCTGGGAGCTGCATCAGTCCTCCATCGCGTCTGTCCTCGTTCTGTAGCCTAAGTCCTGGATCTATACCTCGCCTGTCCGTGCAGATCCCTCTCTCAATATGGAGCTCTGCAAGGTTTCTCTCCTTTTCCCACAGGGTTTTTAGAGTTTTTCCTTTCCTTGTGAGGTCGGACATAAAGAGGTGGTGATGATCCAGGACACTCAACACTCACATTTATGGACATTTATGGACATTGGTCATGTGTTTGAACTGTCTGATTCTCTGATCTGTGTTGGCAAATTCAACAATTGTGTAAAGTCCTCAGAGATAACTACTGTTGTGATTTAGGGCTAGACAAGAATAAACTGAATTGACTAGAATTGGGCACTCTGCTTCCTCATGCTCTCTGCAGAGGAATGTTTTGAGTTCCCCTGTTCATTATAATATGTGTTAACGATTCACTATACATTATTATTGTTAGTGTGTATTTAATCTCCACCACTACAGCTACAGCACTGTTCCTTCTATAATACTACTGTTAAAGTATTAAAAATTACTATCATAGATTAGAAAAAAAATATTTCAATATCAAAGAGGTATTGTGGATAAAATCAAAAGAAATGAAAATATTTTAGAATATTTTAAAAACTTGATAATTCTTTGAGAAAAGTGATCGTCTGGTATCACATTTAATTGGGTTATGAAAGTAATCAGTTTGTTTCTACTCTGTGTATAAAAAAATAATTAAATGTGGACATCTGTTCAATCCACAGATAAACATAGCCCCTATAGAAAAATTGTAACATATTTGTTATATATCTTCTGATCATTAAAACAAAATTTTGGCCTTCTGTCACATACTTCTGTTTAGTATGAACAAGCCCTCATCATAAAGAGACAGATGCCCAGCTCAGTCAATTAAGAGAATAACATTTTCCTTTTCAAGTTGGACTTGAACACTCAATTCTAACAGACAAATGGGAGCTGTAATTATATTCGCTGATTATCAGTTCATGCAGACTGTTGACTTTGTAACTTGTGACCTGTGGAGTTTATGGTGTGCGACTTTGAGAGCATCTGCTGGCTGGGTAGAAGGCCGGGGCACAGATGTGACCTTGCTGTCAGCACTTGTGCCACAAACAACTAGAGACACACCTAAAGACAGTGCACCTGTCAGGACCACCATCTGTGCCATAGGGGTCTACGCTGATAGAATGGAGTATAATGGGGCACGAGGAAGGTTTTCTGTCTACTCCTCTAAGGGATACGTAAAACCAGCTTCACGGTGCTGATGACCATGAAGACCGTGATCATGATGACTAAAATGATCATGATGACAGTTTTTTTAGGCTTACTTTTGAGTAAACTTCTTTGACAACGTCTGTTTTGTGGCACCATACAGGACAAAGTGATCCCAGTTAAAGTTAAGGTATACTTTATTTTCCCCTTAGAAAATGTTGTCTCCTGCATTTGACCCATCTGCAATGCCACTTGAGTCTTGTCAGAAGTCGTGGTTGTCACAGTGCATTGCAGTTTCAACTTCAGATGTTGATGCGCGGCTTGGTCAGAACTAACAAAGGGGGTATTTTTACTATTGTACGTTCCTTTAGTGATAGGGTAAATTGGAACAACTGAAGGAAACCCACATAGACACGGGGAGCACGTACAAAATTAACCAGGATTTGAACCTTCTTGCTCAGAAACGGGTTGTACATGTGACTTGTGTATGTGTATATATATGTGAGGGTTAAAGGACAGGTACATTTATTATCATGGGCATTGGTTATCCCATTCCCCATGGACCAACCCTATGTGTTTGTTATGATGGACCTTCTTGTGTCTGAAACAGCTTGATTCTCTGATCTGTAAATTTTAGGAATCAACAACTTTGTGAAGTCTTCTGAGACCATTTCTGTTGTGATTAAGGACTATACAAAAATGAATTGCATTGAATTGAAGTCTATGTGTCACCAAATAAATTATATAAAATAAAATGTTGTAATATTGTTGATTATTAATAATGAATTAATATTGTGAAAAAATAAAAACAATTCACTGTGATATTTTTTGTCAACTTTAAACTGTGCTGGTGTACATGAATGAAAAGGTTAGGGGCATGAATGCAACATGATAAATATATCTGGATCTGTGTCGTGGATGTGTTGACTGAAGGGAGGCTGCAGGAGCTGGAAGCACTTATCTTATGCTGATATATTGGTCTAAAGTGTACATGCTGCTGTGAGCCACTTTTTCCTTCAATAGACTACATCGTTATAGGCTCAGAAGAATATAAATAACATAATATTTGAATATGGTTTTGTATTGCACATTATAATTGGGTGAACAGTGACTGTGAATGTTGAATATAAGAGAGTCGTATAATCATAATTCGTGCAGCATGCAGTAATGTGTCACAATTAACATTCACATTTTCAATCTTAATGAACAGACTGAAGAGTTCTCATATTTGTAAAAACCTTCCAAAAACTACAGTTTGTTTGCATGACATTGTTGTGGAAATTCTGCACGTAACGAGAGTAAAATAATGTAAACAACTCAGAGCTGTAATTCCAAACAAAGTGTGAGTTTATTCATTAGTAAATGTGCACAATTACAATGAATAACAGAACCGATACCAATACCACCGGGCAGCCGTCCGAAATCGACTGCCCCGATGAGGAAATGACTGTAAATTAAATAGACCAGAGTAAACAAACACATATCTACTCTAGATATTACATAGATGAAGTCAACATTGATATGTGTTGCTCAAGGCTTCTCTTTACGCGTCCTATCGCTGATACAACTCTGATATGTCTTTGACCTGGGTCATAGAACAATATGTTCAGTTCAAAATCAGATTGTTACATATATCAGAGAGAGTTGTGTCAGCGTTAGGACGCAGCACGTCTCCATCTATCACTGACCTGCTGCCAACAGAGCATTATGGCCTGTATCTGAATCCAGAGTTGACTATTAGTTAATAACTTACACTCATAACTTGGTGTTAAATCAGATTGCTTTACTAAAATATTTCTATAACAACATGCTTAAATTATAGTTTCATCTTGGCGCAAGAATCAATATCTGATTATTCTTTTTCATTATATTTTTGACAGCCTGAGAAGTTATAGTGACTTGTGTTTGGACCGTTATTATAATAGATCCATGGTTTGGACCATAGACTGTAATTGGACATGAATTGGAAAGGGTATACTGCCATCTAGGGTTAAAAATACAGGACTGTGTTCGCCTGCCTATGATCAGACCAATGTCACATGTGTTGAGCAGTTCGGAATAATGGTTTGGATAAACGGTAAATTCACTCAACACATGCTTCTATTTCTCCAATACAATGTCTGTGTGCATTTACTAGAGAAAATATTACACAACTTCGCAATCGTGAATCGTGGCGTTGTGCATTGACTACATTACCCATCGTGCAAACTGCTCAGCGTGATGACGTCACAATACATCAACAACTCACATGTGGCCTGCGCGCCGCCGTTGCGGTGTAGCCACTGGGGCAGCGAGCGCATTTACAAGCGCGGACATTGGTTTTTGGATATATCTATATACGTGTAGGTGTCCATACACTGTCAAACCTGAGCCAACATGCCTCCAAAGAAACCCGTCCCAGCTGCGGGAAGTAAAAAGACTCAGGAAAAGAAAAAGGAAAAGATAATAGAGGTAAAGTAACACGAGGTAGCAAGACGTCTCCTAGCATCACCGCTAACGTTAGCTGCCTGATCAGCGAAGCTAATGTGATGCTAATGAACTCTGCTTGTCGGCTTTTATTATTCCCTTTCATCGTGAAAATATTGTATTTATCGTATTTAGACAAAAAAAGTCCGTGACATTTATGATTGCTAGTGGCCCTTTTGGAGGCTGTCAGATGACCAGTGGCATCAGAGACTGAAGCACCGTGGCCTGCTCCAAATATGTCGAGTTTTCGTGTTGTACTGGACTTTTACCAGAACGTGATTGTCCGCAGAAAAAAGAAACTGCCACAGTGAATATACAATGATCGATATCCACACACTTGTGTTATTACTTACACTGGTATTCACTAGTATGAAAAGTTAATGACCCTAGGTTTCGCATTTGACTGTGCCTTTAAAGCGTTGGCCCAGATTAGGTCACAGTGCAATCTGCATTTTGTTTTAACAATGAAAGTTTGAATTCTTTTCATCTTTCTAAATTACACTCATTGAGAATAATCTGATGTGGTTAACTATGTGCCAACTTGAACAGTTCAGCCCTCAGTACTTCTTCTTTCTTGATCCCTTATTACCATCCACTAGCACTCTTGCTTCTCGGCAAGAAGGTTCAGGGTTCGAATCCTGGTTTGAACAGGGGTTTTTATGAGTGGAGGTAGTATGTTCTCCCCTTGTCTGTGTAGGTCTGGCGACCCCAGTCCCATTTCTGTGTGGAGTGACAGACAGATACCCACAATTGTAAAGCGTTTTGTGACACTGTACTGTAAAAGGTGCCATATAAATGAAGATTACTTGTTTACTAAAAGGGGAAAAAAATACTTGAGCAGTACAAAAATATATATTAAAGGACTGCATCCTCGTTTAAGAATACGTTTTTGTTTTTGTTTATTAAACAGGACAAGACATTTGGCTTAAAAAACAAAAAGGGGGCCAAACAGCAAAAGTTCATAAAGAATGTGACGCAGCAGGTGAAGCATGGCCAGCAGAGCACACGACAGGTCAGTAAAGTTCTTCAGATCCTTCTTGTTCTAAATTTCTCCTCATATTGAAACCAATCTTTACAGGTAGATGCCGGGACCAAAAAGGGTGACAAAAAGAAGGAATTAGATGAACTCAATGAGCTCTTCAAACCTGTTGTTGCAGCTCAGAAAGTCAGCAAAGGTCGGTTACCATTTGAATATGTATATGTGTGAAAGATTTGTTTTTATTTAATCACTGAATTTTATTACTGTGCAACTTTCAGGTGTCGACCCAAAGTCTGTACTGTGTGCATTCTTCAAGCAAGGCCAGTGTACAAAGGGAGACAAGTGCAAGTTCAGCCATGACTTGTCCATGGAGAGAAAATGCGAGAAGAGGAACATGTATGTTGACGAAAGAGATGAAGATTTGGAGAAAGGTCAGGATTCACAAACATTATGGAGAAAATCATGTCGTAAACTCCTTCTGGGCATAGTATTATAAAATAATGGTTACTTTCATCAACTAAAAAGAGACTAGTAAGGGATCATTAACTGAAGAAAAGGTCTGTTCTGATGGAGACATGAAAAGGACTCTGAGGATGTGAATATTTGCATCAATGTTTTGAAAATTTTAACCATCCTGCAAAAAATGCATTGTATATTCTGGAATGCATTTGAAAGGCTTTTCTTACTGTACAGACACTATGGACAACTGGGATGAAAAGAAGTTGGAGGAGGTGGTAAATAAAAAACATAGCGAAGCGGACAAGGCCAAAACAGCCAAAACACAAATTGTAAGTGACCACTTTTATTGTCAATATATTTCTGTGGGGTTTTAAAAAATATTAAAATATAAATATAAAAATATTTTTTCCCCAGGTGTGCAAGTTTTTTCTGGATGCCATAGAGAGTAATAAGTATGGCTGGTTTTGGGTGTGTCCAAAAGGAGGAGACACCTGTATGTATCGCCATGCACTGCCACCTGGTTTTGTCCTGAAGAAGGACAAGAAGAAGGAAGAGAAGGAGGAAGAGATCTCGTTGGAGGAGCTCATAGAGAAAGAGGTCGGAAGATGTCCAACCACGCATTAATGTCCTTATCTAAACCATAATGTTACATTTGTAAAGGCTTCCATGTTTGTTTATCCAAGCTTTTCTAAGATCAAGATTGTTTGTCCCCACAGCGTTCAGCCCTCGGGCCAAATGTCACTCGAATTACGCTGGAAACTTTTCTGGCTTGGAAAAAGAGAAAACGACAGGAGAAGGTAGAAAACTCTGTTTTTCTATCATTTGAGTATCTGTTTAAAAATATGTGTGGTGTTGCATAGGTGGACCGGGCCAGGGAGGAGATGGAGAAGAAAAAAGCAGATTTCAAGGCTGGAAAATCTCTAGTGGTGAGTGTGGAATTAATTTAGTTTCGACTGAGAACCTGGAGCAGTGACAAAAGTGGTGTGCTGCAGGTGAGCGGGCGAGAAGTGTTCGAGTTCCGTCCAGAGCTGGTGGATGACGACGATGATGAAGCAGATGACACCAAATATGCAGAAGAGGATGACGACGATGTGGAAGAGGAGGAAGCACAGGTAAATTGTCTTTGTGGCGGTTTAAAGGCCAATCCAGACAAGGCCAATTCATTATGTCCCCAACATAGTGCAAGTGCAGTGAGAGCATGCAAGCGCAAAGGCGTGGCTGCACTCACCTCCATAGTGAGTGCAGCGCCAGGCTTCTATCAAACGTGTGAATCTCGCCGCGGCAGAGTAGACTTGCGGTTGCAGTTTATGATAAGTCTTTGGAGACTTGTAGAGGACAGGTTTTGCTAACCTAACTGGTTAGCAAAATCCTTGTTAGCATCAATCGCTGTTTGAGACCGTCCACACGTAGCCGGGTATCTGCTAAACCGTAGATATTTGTCTTTGTTTGCACCTGTCATCCACATGACAACGCATCATAAACGAATATATAAAAAACTCGGCGCAAAGTTAAGCTCTTTGAACCCGGAGTTTTGCGTTTTCGCACGTCACAATGTGCCAAAACAACAAACTAAACGTGCAACCTCTGATCACTGAAGAAGCATGGATCTTATTGCCTTAAAAAGTGTTGGCTGCTGCGAGCGGTTCGCAACAACCAAAACAGGAACTAAACCAGGATTAAACCAGGGCTGAGGACGGGGGTCAGTGCTTGTAAACATATGTCTTCACCATGAGCTTCTACTATGACTAAAAGTTCCGCTACAGAAGTACCGGTGTTCTGTCGAGTTGGTCTGCCCGTCGAGATGATCTGGCTCAGCTGTTAACCCTCTATGCACATGGGTCATTTTGGGGAACTTTCCTCGCCTGGTTTTCTTTGTGTATAATTGTTCATAAAACAGTCATCTTTTGATGCAGAGTCAAGCAGTATACTTTTTTTTTCAGTACAACCTGGCGTTTTAGAATATTCATATTGTAAAGCTGTCATATGAATTATATAAAAATTATGGAATCATAAAGACAAAGAAAAAAATCAAACGGAAAATCAATTTAACAAAAATGTTTTGAAAAAACACAATGAAATGCTATAAACAACTTTTTACACTGCATAGAAATGTTATTTATGGACTATTATACTTTTTACAAAATTCCACTATAAAAGCAAAAAACTCTGTACTCCTGATGCCCTTCCTGAAGCAGTTTGTCTATAATGCTGGGGTTGCTTCTGTATTACAGCTGTAAAAACTGAGCATCTAAGAAACTGAGCCAAAAAAAAAAAAAACAATTATTTATATAATACATATATTTATATACATCATATACACATAATGTCATTTTACTGTATTTATTATCGTCTTTATCAATAATGCGCACTCTTCAGCCGGTTATTGCAATCGCAGCTGTAGTTTCAACTGTGGGACAACAAGTACAGACAGAGGAGTGAGAGATCTCACTCTCTGACGATCTTTGGCAGTCCCCGTGTGTTTGTATCTCACAGCTGTTTGTACCTCACGGGTCACGCTTTGGACACGGACTTTCAGACAAACGTAGTTTATCCTCCGTGCATCGCACAGACAAATCAAAACTAGTTTCGGAAAACCCTGAATACGTACTTCACAGAGGAAAAAAAGTAAGTTGCTACGTTTTACCGTTTGCGAGTAAATTGATCATTTGTAAAACATGCCCGCGTGCATCGGCGCCGATGCACGCGGGCATATAGGGTTAATGATGTAATGCAAACCTGCGCGTCTCACGGCAGCCGAAACAATCCAAGATGGAATTGCTTTAAAAGTTAAATACAAACGAATTAAGACACAAATGTCACTTTGAATGCAATTTGAGGCGAGATGTTGATGGTTCCGCGTTGTGATATGTGTGTTTTAAGAGTAAGAGTTTCGTGTAAAGTTTGTTTTAAGCAGTCCACTGCTCCTGTGAAACTACACTGCTGCTGTGTGATCGCAGTCCCTGAGTTGACTGCTGCATACGTCAGGCCCATGACGCGTCCTGTGACTGGTCTGTCGGGTTGATAATGGAAATAATACATAACATTTTCTACATGTATTCAATACGATTAACAATAGTGTGTTCAAACAAAATATTTAATTAGATCGAGTTTTTTCCCCATTCTGGCGGGTTTCTGCGCATGCGCAAGTCAGATTTGGGCACACTAGCAGTGTAGTGTCACAGGAGCAGTGGACTGCTTAAAACAAACTTTACACGAAACTCTTAATCTAAAAACTCTAAAAAAAAGTGACATTCGTGTCTTAATTCGTTCGTATTTAACTTTTAAAGCAATTCGCGGACTACATGTCCGCCATCTTGGATTGCTTTGACTACCGTGAGACGCGCAGCGCAGGTTTGCATTACATCATTAACAGCTGAGCCAGATCATCTCGACGGGCAGACCAACTCGACAGAACACCGGCGTCGGCATCAAACAGGACGTCAGAGGACGCACATGTTTGGAATGTAATGAATGTGATTGAAAACGCAGATGTTCGGTTATGTGTGGATGCAAATTATTTTATAAACTGAGGGGGGGGAAATATTTGGTTTTTAAAATACCCGGCTCCGTGTGGACATGGCCTCAGTTTGAGAAACCCTCCTACTCTCCTCTGCGCTCTCCTCCCACGGAGCCATCTAGCTTTATTTGCAATCTGATACGGATGCAAACATTAGCGCAACTTCTTGTAAGCTGTACAACTATCACTGATGAAATGGTACAAAAGCAACGCACTTCTAACAAATATATAACTACCACTAGTTTTGCGTCCAAATGTAGTCCAGGGCAGCCCCGCATGTCTCTCCAGTGAGGATACGATGTAAGCTATGTGTATTCACCTGGGCTTTATTTCCTCATTTTTTTGCTTTAGTGCCCTCTTCTCCTTCTCACATTTGCATTTGGGTGTTGCTGTGTCTGCAGTTACAGTGGCTATACAGTGGAGGTATAGCCACTTTCTGCTGTGTTTACCTGCGCTGCAGACGCTAGAGGAGGCGTGGCCTGTTTGTAACAGCGCTGCCCCTCGTTCTGTGAGTGGAAAACTAGCGTCATGCAAAGGAAATTCAAACACAAGCTGAATCAATGAGCTCAAGTTTTCAATTAAATTACGGATTTTAATACATCTTGTATGTAGTAATAGGAAATTTTATGAACTCATTAGAAATTGGTTATAGTTCCTTTAAGCATCCAACATTAGTAACAAGTCATGTTATTGGACCTCTACCTAATACTGTCTTTTGTGCTCATGCCACAGGATGATGCTACAGTGCAGGACATAGATCTATCTCGTTTTGTTCCACAAGAGGTTGACAACACCGGTATTACTGTTGCTGCCATGGACCGCTTCACCTCCAGAAGAATAGAACAGACGTCAGAAACTGGTAAGCATATCAACTTTCATCAAGCAAGTGCAGAACTTGCAACTTACTTTGATACTTGCAGATGAGCACCTGAATGGCGCATGCGGAGGTGAGACCAACGGCCTCTCGGAAGAAGGTGAAGAGGACGAGGTTCCTGTGGATGAGAACCTGTTCACTGGAGAGGACCTGGACGAACTGGATGAGGAGCTTAACACCCTGGACCTGGAGGACTGAGTGTGGGACTTACAAACTGCTGCATGGAGCGATCAGACACTATAATTTTATCAGACTAAATAAAGTATCATTACTGGAAGATGAGTGGCCGCCTGCCCCTCTGTTCTGTAATGCCAACAGCTCTTGAATGTCTTTGGAATACACATCTGATCAATCAGAAGTCCAAGAGAACAGTTTCATAAATCAGTTGTGAAAGGTGAAGACTGGGAATACCTCCTGGGCACATGAGATTTGTGCCTGTATGAAGATCCTAGTGGCCACTCATGACAAGCGTTTGGAAATAAATAAATCTGTTTAGACTTCCTTAAATCATTGTATGACAGACCACCAGGAGTGTGCACTTGCAGTTCAGTGTCAAGCACAATCAGATGGCATACATTACATTTAATGACTGGAAAAGCTAGTCAAAATCTATGGTAGGCCTATGAAAATTGAATCTATGCTAACCACATAGCTGGTGTTCAAAACATGTATCTTTCATCTGCTATCCCTTACCACCCACACCTAAACATTTGTGCTAAGGTAGCACATTGAGAACAAACATCTAGCCAATGTATGGTCCATGCTGAGACCCAAAGAATACTGGACATTAAGATCCTAAAGGTGAAGTGTACATTTCACACAGAATGGTATTAGGACTAATGTGGCATTGTCTGAATCAAAACATGAATAGGTTCATTTCGATACTTTAATGCATTGGTTTTATATAGCGCTTTTATAGCGGTAGGGATATACTACTGTAGCCACAGCTGCCCTGGGGCACACTGGCAACCACCACCACTTTCCAATATACTTCAGATTTTTCATTCAAAAATAAAGACATTACAACAAATCGTTATTCCACTTTATTTTTTTACATTAAAACAAAATGTAGGGTTTTACAATTCACTTATATTTATAAAAAAAAAGACTCAGAGCCATACGGTGAAAAACGTGTGGTCACAGTGAGGTCAGGCAGGTGTCATGGTCGGGTCAGGTCGAGGATAGGTCCGGTCGGTCAGGTCACGTGTCATGATCAGTCGCCTAGGAAACAAGAAGCTGCATAGTTAACACCAATGCACAAGTCATTACACTTCAGGGTCCCCACGCAGGTCTTTTCTAGGTAAAACTAGTCCACCAGCAGTACACAGTAACAGATCTGAGATGACCCAAGTGATAATTTGACTCCAAAAAAGGAGCATAATTTTTAGACCATATTATATTCTATTTTTTTCTGGGGCTTGTGGGAACCCTGATTGATTACTGACAGTATAAAATAATCTGCTCTGACCAAACAGGCTGGACTGGAAGCACTTACCGTTACCGCTCTAATAAGTGCGGGGGCGCTTGTGGGATTCCTCTCGTGGTGGATCAGCAAGCATAACCTTCAGCTTTACACCATTCACAAAACGCCCATGAAGTGCTGCCATGGCGTCATCTGCACACTGATCAGCAAACATTCAGTTAACACAAAGAAACATCTCGACAAGAATATTACATCTAGAGTGGATGCTTACCTGCTTATCTGCATACTTCATGTAGCCAACTTTCCTCCCAGGAACAAGGTGAACTTCAATCAGAGAACCAAAACGGCTGCAGAGAAACCACATGTTTAAATTCCAACACTTAGATTGAAAATTCATGGCTGTATTAAGTGCCACCTTAAAACTTACCTGAACACATCTTCCAGAACGTCCAGAGGCAGGACTGAGGGAGAAAACACCACAAAGAGACGCTCTTTGGACTGGCTGTCTCGAGGAGCCAGTTTCTGAGGAGCAGGCAGATTGACATCAGTCTGAACGCGAGAGGCCACAGGGCCCATAGACGAGTATCCCTGCTGAGAGGCGGAAGAAAGGGTTACCCTCATGTGTATGACACAAGCATGTTAAATGTTATGTAAAGGCTATGTCCCCATGTGTGTAAAGGAACAAAAGTATGCCTACACTTACGTATGTGGAGGCACTGTCATTTCATGACTACTAAAAGTGGCCTTAATATGAACATAGGATATTGCTTGTTTGCACACATAAACTCAGAATTTACTCTATGCGGATGTATGCTTTATGAAACTGTCTGAATAGTTCTAATCACATTTAATGTTTAGTTTTTCCAGTCAAAATCCATAAGTAGGACAATGACATTTGAAGCTACACAAATTATTCTCCTTGGAGTGGCGATCTCAGGGAGTTTCTGAGGAGCGGGCGGATTGACATCAGCCTAAACGCATTACAGATATTGCTCGCTTTGTTTGCACATATCAATCCAGTTTTACTCTATGCTGATGTTACAGGAAATAGAACACTTTATCACAGGACAAGTAAGCCTTCAGCGGACATTGTAGGAGCTCTTTCAGAATGTACCCATGCACTCTACTGCCCTACAAATGGCTTTAAAGTTTGTATGTCAGCCCCTCATGTGATGATCAGAGATAAGATACACAACTGATTGCCATGAGACTCACCGGGGACTTCATGTGACCACTGGAGGTGCCGCTCCACACAGTAGACATCATCTGGGACGCTACATACTGAGCTGCTATGCGATTCACTGAGCTGTATTGAGAACATAACATATTCCATTACCCTCTAGCATGTATATGACATTGATATAACAGAGCATAAAAACAAAAAGGATACTATTCTGATAATGATACAATAGGTTAATATTATTAAAATTGTGACACCATCTTTGTGCTAAAATGCAGGACAGTTGTATTTTTTGGAACAGATACTAAAACAGATTCAAGATTCTCCTCTGCGGATTAACTATGTAACCACAGATACATCTGTAATGTTAAACCAAAGATGTGTTGATGTTAAATCAAAGATGCTAACACTTTCTATAAAAACATTATACACAATTCCTAAACAGTTTAACACAATAATATAATGAACATGATTTCAAACTGCATAGGTGCAGTACCTGGTGCGGTCCTCTCCATCTTCAACATAAGCCACCACCAGTCTATTTCCAGGAGGATACTCAAATCCATTGAGTTTTTCTTTCGCATAGACCGCTGAGCCCAGGTTATTGTAGCGGATCAGTGCTTGCCCTGGAAAGTTGATAGATGGTGAAATTTGTCCAGGAGCAATCCCCTTACAAAGCAAGTTTCAAAAGTAGCACCTAGACAATGTTTTCAGCATGGACATTTTAACTTGAAACTTTCAACTAACATTTGAATCTGCTACCATCTCAGACTGAAGCCTAGTTTATACTCGCGCGGCGCGGAGCTTACGGAGGTGACGTGACGTCACTTGCGCAACGCGTTGGTCACCGCAAGGCCCTTACGTCGCCTGCCGCGCAGCATCAAAATTTTCTAACTACGTAAGGGGTGCCGCAAGGAATCTCCGCTGTGATTGGTCCGTGTGTGTGTATTGGAAGGAAGCATGAAGCGGCTGCAGCAGGGACATGGACGAGGCACTATGGAGCAGAGAGCTTTGTGCTTCGAAGGAAAAGCAGTTTGGGCTCAGAGCCTGATATACAGGAGACTGGACTATCTAACATATATATAACTTATAACCTGTGCAGTTGTTTGTGTTGCACTGTTCCTGTCTTTGTTTGAATCGTAGCTGCGTTTGTTGCTTTCCTCCTGCACTCGTAAATCGTTCATGTTTGTCTCAGATATTTACCACTATTATTGTTTTGCTGTTTGTGCTGAAAACGATTTAATAATAACTATGTTTCCAACAAGAACTGTGTCTTTATTCACAGCATCACAGTTGAAATGACTTATAAAATAATGAATCCATAAATCTATCACATAAATTTGCAGTAGAAACACGTGTAATGAGCTCAAACAGCTTTGTTTGCTATTGTTGTTCTGAAGAGGACAAAGTAGCAGCGTAAATGGGACCGCTCCTGTGTGATCTCCCTCATGTGGTTTGTTGTGGGATTACAACATTCTCCTCAAAACTCCGTAAGGGGAACGCGCCAGTATAACATCAATTGTGCTTACGTAGGTCCACCGCAACCGCTAACGTAAGCCACGCCGCGCAAGTATACACTAGGCTTAAAAGGCTGCGAGTCCAGGAAATGTGTCCATGTGACCACTGTTCTTTTATTCAAAACAAGTCCTGGCTACAAATAAAAAACAAATGTATATTTTTCCCCTTACCATAGTCCCTCTGCAGCTCGCAGTACTCCAGTCCTGGGATCAGGTCGAAAAGGCTGAAGAACTGTTCCTGGGAAAGCGCAGCTCTTGTGCTGACCATCACAGTGCGTGTGTAGTCTCCAGAGCGATAGTCCAAATACTGGTATCCAGTAGTATCCCCTGCAAACAAAAGTCATCAGTTGACCTCCCCCAACATAAACAACAGGCAAACTTTTGTCATGGCCCACCTACAAGCTAACGCAGCTTCCCTAGAATTCCCTTGTACAAAGCATAAACTGGGTGCGTTCACAGTTGTGTCAATTAAAGTATCTGGACTTTAAAAGGTTATGACTCAAAAAATATAATTTCTATCATAAATTAGAAAAAAGATTTCAAACAGACATATCAAAGAAAGAGTGTGGATAAAATCACAAGATCAGCCTCTGATTTAATTCTACGCCAGTTACATGTCCTCAGTCTGAAAAAGTGGCAGATTAACTCCCACAAGATTTACATGGCTAACACAACTTGATTTAAATAAAAATCATTTAAAAAAGATCAATAAAAATTGTGATGAAACGTGAAAAATTTAACGGACAAGATGGTTTCAGTCATTTTTTTTCTAAAAATTTAACTAGAGAAAAAAGATGGTCTGGTATCACATTTAATTGGCTTACTATACAACTATATGAAAGTAATCACTTTATTTCTTCGTTGTAAAAAAACAAAAACTCACTAATCAAATGTGGACATGTGAAAATATTTAACAAACTTCCACATATTTCAATCCGTCAAAAGCATCACGTCCGTTATACAAATAAACAGGGCTGCCATTGGAAACTTGACTAATGTATAACACAGTTGTCTTTAAGAAACTACTTATGGACAGAAGAGGTATTTGGATTAATCAATTAATGGATACACATTACTTCTGATTATTAAAATCAAATTTTGGGAATTTTGTCACACTTTTGTACACTACAGTGTGAACAAGCCCACTTTACAAATCTCAGGAATTAGTTAAGTGTATGACAAATTTTTTATTAATAAAAAAGATAATTTAAAGCAAAAAATATTGGCCATAAAGGTGCATCCCTGTTATTAAGAGTATAGTAACAATGTGATAAAAAGACCAAATCATGATGTAGGTGCAGAACACAGTTTAACACTGACCTGCTGTGGGAAAGTTGTACTGGTTCATGGTATCTCCACTATTGCCATAAGGAGCAGACGCATTACTATAATCCTCTCCACCTCTATCCTTTGTTCGAGGTTCTGCCACAACAGCCTTGTAAGCTGCAATATAAGAAAAAGCATAAACACACTGCTAAGGGTATAGCAACACTAACAAAGCATCGTGCCTTACTTCTGTCACAGTTTTCTATGGCGAGGGCTGCCTGAGATGGTTTATAGTATCTCACATAGCCCAGCCCTTTACTCTCTCCTGTGGTTTTGTTCTTGATTACAATTGCATACTCGATGTCTCCATACTCCTGCATAATTAAAAGGTTGAAAGCATGACAAAAGAATTGCAACTCAATGTTTAACACAGGACACGTCACATCCGTTTCCATAACAACGGATTTAAAAAACAGTCCAACTGTTAAAATAACCGTTACCTTAAACGTCTGGACCAAGTCCTCCTCAGAGAAGGTCTTTGGGATCATGACAAAGATTCGTGTCAGGTCTTCGTCCTCCACATCTCTGTGTTTGCTTGAATTCCGTGATTGGGCAATAAACACCTGTTCCAAAATAATATCAACTTCAATATTTCGAACTTAAAGCTTTACCGATGGAGTACGTTAGGTCTAACGCTAACCTAAATAAAATCAGATTGACACAACCATTGATTGTTTTTTTTTAACTTAAAATTCAACAGTGAAACATATGGTTTACAAAACAGCACTCCCGATCACCAGCCACATGTCCTCTTATGCTCTGAACAATGGCGAGGCCTCTGTAGGCCTGTGCCCTGGTTACCGTCAACGACTCAAACACTTCAATAATTACATCTCATAATGAGACGAACACGATGATCCGATGCATCAACAAAGACATATCGTTCAGTTTTCTACCTTAATAGGTTTGGTTCCTTCGCCCAGAAGTCTTCCATTCATTGTCTCCATGGCGAGGCAGGCCTGGGACGACTTTGCGAACTTCACATAGGCGACACCCTTGGACTCCTTCGTGTTCTTGTCCTTGACCAGCCAGACCCCCTGGATGTCCCCGTACACACTGAAGCTGTCCCGGATCTGGTCTTCGGTCACGGTGCGGCTGCTCACGATGAACAGACGGCTGTTTGGGGGATCGTCGAGATTTTCCAGTCGTGCAGAGTCGTCCATGTTGCGTTTCTTCTTCCACCACAATGCTCTGCGCTATTCTGCTTTGCGCATGCGTCGCAAATTACCTCTACGTCATCAGAAGTACGGAGCGCCGAAACAGTCAAAACTAACAATAATACAGGGTTCTGATAATAATATATACAGTCTATGGTTTTGATGATCCGATTCTAATGTATATTTAAAAAAAACAAAGTGGATTTCACTTGACCACATTTGGAATACAGTATAATAAAGGCATAACAATAACGGTACAAACACAAGGATTGTATTTATTGTATTGGGTTGGCGGGACATTCCTTATGATGTGACTGACCCACAGACGGGTGTTCATTGCTCATGATAGACGTACTTATTATTATAGATCCATGACTTAAAACCATGCAACTATGGTGCTACCCTAAAAATTCCCTAAATAATGTATTTTCAAGCTGAATTTTAATGACTTGCCCATAGACTGTGTTAACTTGACCAGCCCTGGATCATTAGGACCCTAATTTAGGGTATTGTTTCTTTTACTTTTAATCATCTGTGGCGGGTCATTTTGACCCAAGGGTAGGGGAGATTGCTCTTATTATTATTATTGTTATTATTATTATTATTACTATTATAATTTTATTATTGAAAACAGAAATCCAACGGGGTTACAGTAAACTAAATAAACGAGCAACAAAAATGAAAGGAACACAACCATAGAAAGCCAAAACCAAGGTGCCACAATGGTCAGAGGTAGACTCACAAGGTTTTCTTGGCTAAAGGGCTTTCTTTTAGTCACAGTTCAAAGAGTCTCTTAAAGTTGACACCAAAACACCAAACACAGGCTTTGAATTACTCGATTTGCATTTGTGTTTCCAAAATTACAGCCGTTATTATTAATGATAAATTCCTTGTCTTTGTCCTCCAGTATAATACCAAATTATACTCATGAGGATGAAAGTCAACCGCCTTTTAGCCAATACTCACTATTTCTAGAGTAGACAATTGAATAGTATAGTATAGGGATCATTTAAATGTGATAAATAGAACAGGAACAATGTAGAACCGTGCAAACATGTGCAAACCAACAGAAGCGGGGAATGGCAAGAGGGGCCAGTGTATGTGAATGTGTTTCGATCACTATTCGGTATCACCCATAGACTGTTGTATCACCAATGGCTATGGAGCCAAAGGAACACTGTCACGTGACAGCATGACGTGAAAAGCCGGTGCCGTTAAACGAAGTGACCTTTTCGTCCGCTGTTTCATAGGAACCGTGCAGAAGTTCCCGAGCATCTCAAGTACCACCTCAAGAACCCTCTCCAGAACCTCACCAGAACCTCTCCAAAGCCTTCAGCAGAGACAGGACAGGTGAGCGCATCTTTGCTCTGCCATCAGCGGGATAGAGACGAGTTATGAAACTGTGAGTGCATTGTTTGGCATCTTGTATTGAGTAAGTGCACATTAGTCCTTTGTTCAGTGGACAGTCACCGACATCTGAGGGTCCGGACCAGCCTTGGGGTAGATCTGTACCCGTGACATCGATTATCCGGGAAAACATAGCGGCTTAAGCAGAACGACCTTCCCTTTATTCTAGCATCCTTCTCAGGGTGGATCACCAAATCCTCCCCGACTCCCCCTCAGCCACCCTGTGTGACTTGGCGTCTCGATACTCTCAAACTAACATTTACATTTACTTCTTAAAGTAACGTAAACGTGCCCGCCTACGAAAAATATGAATAATAATCAAAGTGCCGGGTGTCCTTGAATACATATGTAAGAGGAAAACGCCGGTTAACGCATCAGTCCGCCATGTTGGTGTTCTGTAACGTTATTGTCGAACTCGGATCACAGTTACAGTCTATGGTTACAACACAAACACATCTCAGCCTACGAAATCACGAAATGATAGGGTTGTGTGTAAGGGGGAGTTGCGATACGTTCTTCAAAATGTCGTAAGCCGAGGGTCATGTCAAGAAAGAATACCTGGCTATCTCATTATTTTATTTTGTTTTTTATTTTTTTCCGTACTTTTAGCTGGACAGATGCACCACGTTAAGCTTAGACCAATAGACGCCAGTCCCGCGGTATAGATCCATGGGGTTGCGTGAGGTGCGTCTGTCTCGGTCCTGTTTGTTGTTCCTTGTATCACACAGACTGTCACACGTTGCAGACCTGCTCCTGCTACTGCTTCTGCTACTGCTGCATTGAGGCGATATACCTCAGGCGACCTTCAAATATGGCGCTTGTCATTCGAGAAGTTATGAGAATAAAGTCTAAGAATAAACCAATAACTACTTACCCTATGCCAAGTTTAGCAGACTGTAAACTCTGGGTTGTGGAAGTAACAACGCTTACATGTTTTTTGTTTCTTGACAGGGAACAATGGGTGACGTTGCCAAAGGAAAGAAGGCCTTTGTACAAAAGTGTGCTCAGTGTCACTCTGTAGAAGAAGGAGGCAAGCACAAAGTCGGCCCCAACCTGTGGGGGCTGTTCGGCCGCAAGACTGGCCAGGCAGAGGGGTACTCCTACACAGATGCCAACAAGAGCAAAGGTTCGGCCCGCTAACTCTCATTCTTTTACAGTAACGGTTTGGGTTTGTTCCCCCTGGGGCGAATAGTCATCAGAAACCTGAAGGGTCTATATGTATTTGAAGCCGTAACAAGGACCACTCAACTTGGTGGAATGAGCAAGGAAATAACAAGTTGCCCATATTGAATACCAAAGTGCAAATGATGTAAATTGATACTGCGGTACATTATGGAGAATATCTTACAGAATGTATTTGGCAGTCACGTGTGCTGAGGTTCATGAATGGTGAGGCACGTACCTTTTTTAAGCCCGATTTCAAAAAGAACAACGACAAAGATAGTGGATACACTACTATTTTTGCATACATTAGATGTATTGTCGACAGTTGCACCTCAAAAATGAGTCCGCTATATGCATTAAGCAGTACATAATGATGCGTAATGAGATACAGTCTATGGTAATGAGCCATAGGACAAAATCAAACACCGCCCTCTTGTGTCAAGACTTGGTACTAGCAGAGGCTCGACTCAGACCTCCGTTTTACAACGTGCCTAAAATATCTGCGTTTATATATTACTCAAACAAACAGCATTTTAACCACACAAAATTGTGTGAATCTGAAACACGGAATGACAGCAGGACCTGATGGGGGCGTGGTCTACTAACTGTTTCTTTTGTACATTCAGGTATCATCTGGAACGACGACACCCTGATGGAATACTTGGAGAACCCCAAGAAATATATTCCTGGAACCAAAATGATTTTTGCTGGTATCAAGAAGAAGGGCGAGCGACAGGATGTTGTTGCATACCTGAAGTCAGCAACCTCATAATGACTATATAATTATATTTAATATTTAATATTTTGTTGTTTGTTTATTTTCAACGGTTAGTTTTTGTATCTGCTGGTTGCACGGAACAGTACAAGGTCATGCACTAATCTGTCAGTTTGTATGTCTGCTCATCACTTGAAGGGAACAAATGCTTTCCAGGAAAATATGCTATTTAATGCAGTTTTAAAGATGCCCTAAGAAAATGTGTGCAACCTGGTGTGGCGTGCTTTGGTCCTTTTATCCATATATTTTAGTCTTTGTGTGTGCTCCTCATGGTTGACCTGTATCAGTAATTATTTAACTTTGCACATGAAAATAGTCCAGAATTTACCATTGATTAAAATATATTCTAAACCATGACTTTTTCATAATGGATTTTGTGTTTTATGTAAAAAGGAGGTAGCAGAAAGGTATCAAAATCATTTTATTTCTTCAGTGCCATTTAACATAATAAGTCTGCTTCAAGCCAATCCCATCACTAAAGTATGTGACACAATAGTAGTTCCACTACACCACTCATGTCACAAGAAAAGCCATTATCATGTGTAAACTTTCAACAGAACAAAAGTGTTCTGTTTTTTTTTTTCATATGCTATCCCTTGGGAGCCAGTGGTTTGTCAGCCATTATAACCTTACCTTTTATAAGGACAGTCTGAACATGGCAGTTACAGAAACCACACAATAATATTACAATTGTCACAACAAAGGTTTGGATTTGAATTTTATGACCTTTCAATGTGTAAGAAGTCAAAATACATACTGTGGATGTCTCACATATACTCTCTCCCTAATGTAGATTCTATATGTATATAGAAAATCTATATAAAGTTAATTTATAAATATATATTTAATATAAATGTGTTATATAATGTAATACCAAAGTAAAGAAAAAAACACTGTATAGTCGGCTTTAGAAACCTGATTAGATCAAGCTTTTGACAAGCTGGTGGGGAAGAATTCTCAAATACATAAAGTAACATCAGGTTGTGGTGTTAGAAGTCTATGGGACTAAACAGAGAGGTCATCAGCCCTGCTCCGGCTGCTGGTTCCACTGGTTCTGCTGAAGCGTCTCTTGTCTTTCTGACTCAGAGCTACGTTGGGGAACAGCGGCTGCCTTTCATGATTACTCGGTGGGAGGTTGTAGCAGTTTAGTTCAGTCCTCTGGCAGTTTGGATCTTCAATGGGATGAGTGGCTGTTTTGTTCCATCCAGGACTGTAGCAGGAGAGGTGAATAAAATCCTCTTCTCCTGCAGTAGCCATGTTACTTTTCTCTGTGGCCAGGTTGTCAGAGTTCTGCTGGTTTGCCAAGCGGTGTTGAGGGAAGGGCATGGGTAAAAAGTGTGTGGAGCCAATAATGCACTGGCTGAAGTCAGGGGGTGGGGTTGAAGGTGGTGGCGGTGACAGCGAAAGCTGTCTGGCCAAAGACAGCTCTGTAGATTTGGTCTTATTCCTGGCGCTGAACAGTTGCCTGTAATCACAGGAGCAGGTGACATGCTGTGAGTCCTGGTTCTACCATTTGTGAATATCTGATTGAAATGCAAAATAATTTACAGCATAATAATGCCTTGCAATAATTCTTCACTCATTCACTCCTTACTCCTGGTGACACACACGAAGGAGCCTCTGTGCCACTCCTTCAGCCTCCATCATCACTTACTCACCACATTCGTACTGATGCATGTTTTTTTGTGATGAAGACACCAGAGCGCCCAGAGTGAACCTACCCACACACAAGGTGAAACTTGCAAACTCTTCACAGAAAGGTGTCGAATCCTCAATCTTCTTGCTGTGAGGCATGAGGGCCACTCACTCAGCCGTTTGAATATGTAACTGATAACATCAAAACTAATGTCTTTGTTTTAGAACCATATTTTACATGGACTAGTTATATCGTCCCCGAGCGCAGGTGAAGCAGATGAAGCAGTGTGGCTGTGTGTGTTTGTCAGTGTAGAAACGTAAGATGAGCATTTGAAAGTCCTGAAGCCTACCTGCAGCAGTGTTTCCAGGCAAGGTGCTGCAGCTCAAGTACACTGAGGGCCAGTGACACGGCAGACACCACCAGCATGAAGACAATGAAGACGTTCTTCTCTGTGGGTCTGGACACGTAACAGTTGACTGGATGTGGACATGGCCAGGCCTGAAAGAGACAAGTGCTCAGAGAGGTTTGGCTCCACAGTATGGCTTAGTCTGCTCTCTGCTCTTACCTTACACACATAAAGAGGGTTTAGAAAGATACCATAAAGGAAGTATTGGAGGCACAAAAATACAACCTGAGAAAACAAACAACAACATGAGAAAGAGAACACATGCAGCGGTGGCAACAGCACTTAGGTACTAGTATGAATATTTATATAATGAATGTACAAAAGAGCTAAGAAATGTTTTCTTATCCAAGTAATAATAAAATGTATGCAAAAGCTTGTACTTTTCTTTGTATTTCTTTGGTAACAAATGTATATTTGAGACCTGGGGCTTAGTCCTTTGATGGCTTGCTCTGTTTTCTGTAGTTCTTTTGGGACATTCAAAGACGGTACAAAACATGATGGTATTATTTGTAGACAGTGATGTTAAACTACTATTATATTCTTGCTCTTGGGCAAAATAACAGAAGCAAAACACACACACAGACTCATGCTAGGCAATGTAGGTGAAGTGTGTTGCTCAAGGACACAACTACAGTTTGGCACATCACAGTTGCAGCCATCCCACTGTGGGCCAGCATCAGGCTTCCACATACAGGTTGCGTCACATGTAAGTAGCGTCCTTTTTGTCTTCCAAGCGAGATGATGATGTTTGTTTTGTATATAAAAGGAAAGCTTCATGACCAACTATCAAAACATTCAGGCATAACAACAACATAAAGATTACCCCAGGCCAAAAGCAGGCTGCCACCACCAGGACAGCAGAGGAGTTTACTTTGAAGTGCTTGAGTTTACTTCAATACCTCCACGATGCTGCGGATGAGGATGCTCAGGACGTAGGTCTGCAGCAGAGCCCCGCGCAGACGCACCCGGCCCTCTCTCTTGTCCTTGGAGCTGTCCTTCTCAGACTTGCCCTCCTGTATGCCCCCGCTGTCCTGCCCCCCCCCAGGGTCATCCTCAGACCCCTGATCCTGCTCCTGCCTGCTGCGCCTCTTTTCCTCCCTGCGGACCGTGTGCATGGCATGGCCCATGTAGATGAGACTGGGTGTGGACACAAAAACAATCTGCAAAACCTGAGAAAACAAATGTCACAGTATTTCCCAGACACAGGGGTAACTGCGGAGCCCTAACCCTAACCCTTTACCCAGTATCGGATGTGTGCGATGGGGAAGGCCCTGTCGTAGCACACGTTCTCACAGCCTGGTTGTTCAGTGTCACAGTTAAAGTCCTCCTGCTCATCGCCCCAAGAGGATTCTGCTGCTGTACCCAGGACAAGGATTCGAAAGATGAACAGAATGGTCAGCCATACCTGAAATCACACACGTTATTATATACCATACAGGCAGAGTTTTTTTTAGAAAGCTATACAGAAGGAGAGATTTATGTAATATTTATTAATTCCATTTATACATTTCAAACATATACTGTACATATACAAGCAAAAATTGATGGCATTCACAGATGAAAGGGGTTGGAAAAAGAAGATATTCTAATATATTTATTATCTAAATTCATTATCACGGTGTAGTTTCATAATGTGAATAAACAGCCTCATACACATTCATCTGCATACATAAACTTCAAATACACACTAGACAAGGCTGCAGATGGAAAGTATGTCGCTAAATCAAATATACAATGAACTAAACTATGCACTAAGCAGCTTTTCTGATGGAATACATGTTACTTATCGCCATGGAGATGTTTGTATGTTCCACACTACTGTATTAAAGTATTTAATTAATGAAGTTTTTACTTTTTACTGCTCAGAGACATTTCGACCAGAGTAATATTGTGTTTGTTTGCTTTTATTGATTGGGTAGAAAGCTTGAGCCACAATGCTGAGGTGGCAACAACCCCATGTTTTAACTGCTAAACCACTGAGAAGCTGAAAGACAATCACATGATCAGTGAAGAATGAGACGATCAGATGGATCGATCACATTATACTAAACTTGCAGAAGAAAAGGTCTAAAGGTCTAAAGTCTAGAAAGTATTTTATTTATGATGAAATCAAATTATTTGCTTCACAGTTAATGTGTTCAGGCTGATCCAAACCAAAGAGAACCACGATTAGTCTCAATAATCCTGATCAAATTATTCAAACTGTTTTATGAAGTTTCCCACATTTCTTGTGTTACAGAGTTTACAATAACAAATGAAAAACTGCTAAATTCCTGTGAGTGGGCTGCTGTTCCTCTGGGACTATTCCAGCTATTATAAGACACATTTACTAGCTTTTTTGTTCCCTGTTCACTGTAGCTTATGCATGTAGTTTATATTTGGTCGTGTTACTCCATGTTTCATTGTGTTAATAAAGACAATGCAAAATAATCTGATGAAGTTAAACTCTTCTGGACTAAAGCACTTGACTCAAGGGAACACATGGAGCATTGTTCGAGCTCCTTGCTGCAGCTTGCTGTGCACAAACATAGATGTGGGGGGGGGGGGCCTTGTCCCCCCCTGCCAATGCAAGCGTAAAATGTAATATCTTAAATCGTCTATTTTTTAGGTCTTATCAGATTGTCTCCCAACTCCACAACTAAAAGGAAAGTAAGGATTTCTGGACTTCATAACTTATATCTTTAATTTGAGTGATTATAGGTAAGAACAATTGTTCAATATGTATCATACAACATCTCCCAAAAACAGTCCCAAAATAGATTGGGTGTGAAATCTGATTGGTTTCTTTGCATTGTTAGTACTTAATTTGTTTCATTCAGATATCGGCAGAAGTAATCTTTAGTCACCGCAGTACAACGAGCCAAGCTCCAACAGGTTTCACTATTTCACCCGTTATTTAATGCAAAATGCAACATTGTAAGTGACATTTGGTCAAATAAAAGGTAACAAACATATTTCAGCATGTTTTCCATTTAATACATGTTAAAACTTTATTCAGAATATTCTGTGGTTCTGTGGCTGAAAAAAGTTTTATTTAAAGAAGAGATGTCTCAAACTGTACCTTTCCCACAGAGGTGGAATGTTCTTGCACTTCCTCAAGAAAATTCCCCAACAGGCTCCAGTCCGCCATCACAAACTGACTGCAACTCTTGTCTTCAGAAGGACTTCAGCAAGACTTCACTTGGACCAAACCAGGACTTCCGAAGATCTTTACAGGGATCAAACCTGGATGTCACTGAGCTCTTGGGCCCTTACCAGACCATGGACATGCCCTGTCGAACACAGAGCGGCAGAGTTAGCACAATACTGACACGGTGGTGTATTAGGTCCCCGACGGCTGCACTGACCTGCACTCAGGGTTTTTCTCTGACTCCCTCTCACAAGAGCCTCGCAGAACAGATCTGAGATGTTGGTCAGTCACAGTGAGGCGGAATCGTGCACCTGCAGGATCAATTATACCTTATATATTGGTTTTACTGCTCAATGTTTCATTTTGCAAAAAATAAAGAAAACGCATGACGAAAAGATCAACTATAAGCCTGTGTTGAGCACTGGCCCACATTACGTTTGCACAAATGAACTGGACTCAAACATGGAACAGTATGAAATATTTGAATGAAATACATCTAGATGACATGAGCCATATCATTGTAAAGATTCACCCACCGACACGGAACTATGTACAAGGAATCTGGGTTCAGACCATCATGAGTGAGTTTGATCCTGATGAAGTGTTATTGCAATAGAAATCTGCATTAATGATGTCTGCTTGGTATTTTATGGTACTTGTCAGCAGTGAACATCATCTGAATAGTTCATTTGCAAAAGCAAATAAAGTATCACACTGTTTTTAGCAACTCATTTCAAATTTACTGTCAATAGCAAAGCACTTTGAAGATTTTATTGGAATATTTACAGTCTGTGATTGTAACTAGAGAAATTCAACTTTTCACCATTTTTAAAACAGAAATATCTGTTTTTGCAAATTAATTCTTCATATACGTACTTACATTTATGACATAAAATACAGTCTGATCACTTAAGTCCCCGCCTCTCATTGTGGAATAGCAAGAGCAGAAAAAGGGCCTGCATGGCTCTCCTTTTAGAGAAGGAGGAGACCATCATGCCCAGGTCGGTCAGCTCTGACCAGGTCACTCAGTGCTACACAACAACTGTTTAAGAACCGTCACACAAATGAAGCCAGTTCTATCCAATCAGTGAGCCATGAAGCCATGCTGTAAGAGGTAATAAGAGGTGTACCTGTGAAGCTCCTGATCTACTGCAGATGCAGTCACACTGTGACCAGTCACTCCAGAGCGAAATGTTTGATCAATATAGAGACACTTGAAGCTAATGCTAAGCTGTAGAAATCAAATCTGTCCAAATGGCATCAAAAGTAAAACTTCTGGAGACCAACTTTGTCAAAAAGAACTAGTCTGTCCGGTGCAGAAGCGTCAGGAGCCAAAGCTGCTGTGGCTGCATGAGGTTCAGTGTACAGTGGGTGTAACTGGGGGGTGCACCCTCCTCTCCTGCTCCCATGGCAGAGCAGAGGAAGCGGCTGGGTGCCTGTGCCTCCAGCGTGTCTCTGCTGCTGTTTAGGCTGTCTGCCATTTAAAGGAAGTTGCATATTGTATCAGGCACAATAGTGCAAGTCGCGCCCGGCATTCTTTACTGGTCCTGCTCTCAAATCACCATCACAAACACATGCTCCAAAGCTGTGAGCGCTCATACAGGAGCCCATACAGGAGCCCATACAGGAGCCCATACAGGAGCCCATACAGGAGCCCATACAGGAGCCCATACAGGAGCCCATACAGGAGCCCATACAGGAGCCCATACAGGAGCCCATACAGGAGCCCATACAGGAGCCCATACAGGAGCCCATACAGGGGCCCATACAGGGGCCCATACAGCTTCCGGATACTGGATAGTGGCACAGTCCACGCACAATCATGAAAAAAGATAATGGTTTTAGTAGTAGTCATAAAATCGAGACCATTCTTTTTATCTCATAAGCCTTTAAAACTAATCAAGAAAAACAATCTATTTTGAATGTTATTTTTTATTCAACCCCTACTCAGTTTAGTGCCACACTCCACACATTTAATTCAATTTGTAACTGTATTTCTCTAAAGTTCTCCTTTTTAGATCTCAGAGACAGCCTCAATGCCTCCCTGTGTTCTCTCTACAGGGACTAATGGATTTGCGCAGCGGTTGATCCATGTGACACATAAAAGACAGGCACACGTGGCCTGGACATCAGACAATACTGCAGACATTAGGGTTAAACAAGGGACTGTTCATCATATCCAAAAAGTGTGCCAATATATAAGCAGGGCTCTTCCATAAATATTTGTGTGGATATAAGTTGTATTTTTAGCCGTTTGGGAAAGCAAACATTCCCAGGCACTCAAGCCCCGAGGCTAAAAATGTCTACAGACAAAACAAGTTTTTCTTTTAAAATAAATAACCATGAAGATGCCCAAATGATTTCTCAAAATCGCCTCAGATCAAGTCATCTGACAAACCAAGTGGGTCATATAAAAAATACAGATAAAAAATGAGTGATCATCTTCCTGTATTATGGATGGGAGCGCATAGATAATAATCAGTATATAATGTATCAAACCTTTTACATTTCAGATAAAAATATAGCACGGTATAAGGAGTGTAACCAGTGAGTAAAGCTCTGCTCTTGTCCTTTGTTTCTACATCCGTGGGAAAGGACCATCACCATTTCATTTGGACAGACGTTTAGTTTGTGCTATATATTTTTTGTTTGATTATTTATTCATTTATTTGGAAAACAGACATTAATCAATCAATCAATAAGTTGTACACAAATGTAAATATGCCGGATTTTAGCAAAACCGCTATTTTACATTTGTCCCAAGGCTTGTCACGCAGGTAAAACATTAATACAAAAGCTTCAATCAGAGGTTCTAAAAGCGGGGACGTGATCTGTGCATCAGTTTAAATTACAATGTTCTTTTGCAGAGTGAGGTGTGATTGGAAGTGCTGTCCTGTCCACATCACCCAAGTGCCTCACACCGTCTTATCAGTTGCATATCACATGCCTTTCCTTAAAAGAACGTGAACTTTTATGCACATGCGCAGACTACTTTACTCCCGTAACAGTTACAGTACATTCCCATATTCACATATTTTGTCTGTCAGTTTATCGGTCAGTAACCTTAAAACCAGCTGAGCGTTCAAAGTGACTGTTGATAAGTTGTTTTAAAAAAATGGGCTGATTTTAGGAGGCTTCATAATGATTCATCAATTCATACAACAACGGAAATAAAATAAAAGACAAAAAGAGAGCTATAGCTAAAACAAATAAAACTATTGTCTAATCAGTCGTTTCTGTGTTCAACTATCATTCATATGCACGTGGTCCAAAAGGTGTCTTCAGTAGGGCCTCCAGACAGGCTCCTCTCCTCTGATGGAAAGACATGCTCCTTCCATGTAGTTGGTCAGTGTATTGAACATGCTGCGCTCCTCTCCTGGCCCATGCTGGTTTGCTCCATAATAAAGTGGTCCTCCTTGGCTTAGGGGAGGTGGCTGGGGAGAGGGAAGGTATGGGCCATAGGCTGCAGAAGAAGGGGTGTAAGCATGTGGCAGGTGCTGAGACAGAGAGGAACTCAGAGATGTCATGTGGCCCAAAAACGATGGCTCACTGGTCCAGATGGTGGAGGAATACGCCTTACACTCTGCTGGAGGTTACAGAAGAAATTACTTGACAAGATTTAAACTTGATTCCTAATGGGAGGCAGAAGAATACCTGAAGAAGTGGAGCTGCGGCTGTGAGGCACTCGGATCACTGCTGACCGAACTTCTCTTTGCCTCTGTCCTAAAGAACACACACACACACACATTCAGTGGCCAATAAGAAAACATAAAATCCAGAGACTTTCAAAGTGTTTACTGACGCCGGGGCAGTCGGGGCCCATCCACAGTCACTTTGATGGCCCTCTGTATTGTAGCAATTTGAGGAGGAGTGGTCAATATATTAATGGACAGCATGAAGCTCTTCCCTTAAAAACATAAACACATGATAAAATAAATTAAATAGATATCAAAAAATGCATTGATTCATGCAAGAGATTTCTTCATTGCATCTGTAGAAGTGCATATTAGCAGAATAACACCAGTTGCACATGAAGATAATGATAATTTAACCTAGTCTTAAAAGAAAAATTAAAAGATAACAGACCTCGACCACTGCGGCCGAGGAAGCGTAGGTCTGTGAAGTGGGCAGAGCCGTGCTTCATGGTGGTGGTGGCATTGCGCAGTTCTCCACTGTAGTTTTCATCATTACCTGCCATCAGTGTGACTGTCACACCATCTGGCACATCACTCCCTAGCGCCACCACCTGGAGACAGGACAGTGTTCAGCGCAGTCCATAAGTCTGTCTGTCGGCTGTTCTCACCGTGAAGGTCCTCGGCAGGCTCTTATTGCACCTCCAGTGCTGAGGCAGCCCACTGCACATGATGTTTGGGCTGTCTGTGTGGACCAGGCCTCTGGAGGGAGCCATGGGCCGCAGGTACTGAGGCTTCCCCTGGTCTCTGACACCAGGAGGAGCAGGTGCTGGAGACAGGTGCTTCAACACAGCCTCTGAAAATCACATTATTAGCCTTTAGACAGGGAATTGTATAAAAATATTTTGATATTTCATAATATTTAGTGACAGGGGTGTTCAAAGCTTTTTCACAAGGAGGCCCTAAAAGTAGAGGGCCTGAGACTGGTGGCCTTAAAGCTGGGGTATACCTTTTACTCTCTGAAATAATGCATGTTGTTTTTCCAAAGTCTTATATAAGTATAATGTGCACAAATCAGAAATCAAACATAAGAGATGTTCTCGAGAAAGGTAGGCCTACCGTGGATTGTGTGAGGACCAACCCCAACTTTGTTTGGCCTTGCAGAACTTGCTTCAGTCCAAGAGAACTCGGTTGCTGCCCCTACGGAGATGTCAATCAGTTTAGTTTCTAAAAGTTAATTACATGTTTGATGGTGCTGTATGATGAATCTTGTTGTACCCACATTATTAATAATAATGCACTGGTTTTATATAGCGCTTTTTTGGACACTCAAAGACGCTTTTACATGTCATTATTCTTTCACAGTGGTGATGAATTACTACTGTAGCCACAGCTGCCCTGGGGCACACTAACAGAAGCGAGGCAACCAGTATGTGCCATCGCCCCCTCCGATCACCACCAGATTCATTCTAGGCAATGGGGGTGAAGTGCCTTGCCTAAGGCAATGGGGGTGAAGTGTCTTGCCTAAGGCAATGGGGGTGAAGTGTCTTGCCTAACGACACAACGGCAGTTTGGCACATTACAGCCACAGCTGCCCCACTGTGGCATCAGGTGTTCCCAGAGGTTAAGTGTCTTGCCAAGGACACAAGGACAGCAGACAGTGGGAGTCTTTTTGACTGTGGGGTAATGTCTAATTCACCATGGCCTAACTTATCATTGCATAATAATTACAGATTCGAGACTAACTGTGCAGTTTTTGTTTTTATTTTCATTGGGTTTAAAAAAAAAATCACAGTTTGATTTCTAACTGGTATTTTATTGTTTTTTATTATTTTATTTGTATTCTTTTGACTTTGTGCATAATGTTTTACTTCTATTTTATTTATATTTCTAAACATAAGGCTGGCAAACTAGCATTATTTAAATATGTTGATTTTATCGCTGTGCAGCACTTTGGAAACTTGTTTTATAAAATGTGCTATATAAATAAAGTGGATTGGATTGTTCTGATTAGACCAATGGAAGTCCAGTTTAGATTAATAGTTAGACCTAGTGCTACTGAGGCGGTGATGAAACCAAGGGCACCTGACAGGTCAGTTCTCGCATACAGCCAGCAGAGAGCGCTCTTCAGTGGTGAACGACCTGCTCTCATACATCCGTCTCAGTCTCTTCATGTTGTCCTGCTACAGATCTATTATAGTATCAATGGTGCCCGTTGTGCCAAGATATAATATAATACCTATAGATCCATGAATAATACACCCATGCTGGAGACGGACTTGTCGGACGGACTTGTAAAATGGACTTGTAAAATGAAAAGACGACGCGCTTTCATGCGTATGACTGACGTCATCAAAACGCGCTCAACAAACAAACAAAACAATCTAAACGAACAGGTGGTGAGGCTGCTACCAGGCTCTGCTCGCCACAGCCTTTGAATACAAGCAGGGTAAGCCTATTATCATTCATAATAGGCTGTGGGTTTACCAACAGTTCACATATTTACAACATTCAACTATATCCTTGTTTGTGTCTTTTAAAATCATCATTCTTTAGATTGTAACTTACCATAGGCTAATTGTGTTGCCCATTTGAGACATACGAACAGTGCTTACAATACAAAAGCCATGTGTGGTAATGGATTAACATGTAAATACACGTGTGCAGAACATGAGCAGTCCCATGGTCGGGTCAAAAGAACGGGGAGCCTCCAGAAGCAGCTTCGTCCCGGAGCTCCAGAGCATGATGTAAGTCACCCACACGGACAGAGGCTTCAGCTCCTCTGATCCTCATCACAAAACACGAACACACTTCATTACTGCGACTTACCCCATAGCAGAGTGGAGCCGAACAGACTGTTGGATGCCATGGCTGTACTGTTCCTGGGCACAGTGGGAAATGAAAACAAATAGTACTACGCAAACAAGAATAAGACTTAAGTCTTTCTGCTAAAAATATGTCCAATAGTTCTGGCATGCCCCTCCTGTACTGGCGACCCCGCTCCCATCTCTGTGTGGAGTGAGAGACAAATGCCCAAAATTAACAATTGTAAACCGCTTTGAGACCCTGCAGTGAAAAGGCGGTATATAAATAAAGATTACTTACTTACTTATTACTTACTTACTAAGATTACTTCAGTATATGAGACTTTTGTCCCAGGGATCTACAGGTGCTTTATCTGTCTTCACAGCACATTGCGTTACCCTATCCACCCAAACATGCATTCTCAGGAGCTAGAGCACCCTAAGAATGCTAGAGGGATATTTAATGACAATTGATAATAACACTAGACACATTGGGTTAAAAGAACTGTTTAGAACCTGTGTGGAATTTGAAGAAATACCGTTTTATGGCCTAAAACATGCTGCATTAACCTATAATAGATTATTGTAAAATTGCATTTTTTTTACCATGTGACGATGTGATGTAAACATGCTGCCCAGGGACTACAGATGTGTCTCATCTTTTAAATACCTTTATTTTGCAATGTTCCTGACAAATAAATAAATAATTTGTTGCAGTCCTTCAAACCTGTTGATTTATATATATTTTTTTATTAGTTATTATTTTGTGCAACTAGACTTCTAATGTCCACAATGGCATCAGCTGCTCCCAAAATAAAAGAAGGCAAACACTTTATCGATCCATTTTATTATTGCACCCTCTGGCAACCTGGATCAGACATATTTACTCGAATAAAACATTTCTGTCTTTTCAATATAAGGAAAACAATTAACGGATTGAATCCTATCTATCTATTTTTCTTTGGTAACATTTTGCACCTCTGCAATACCTTGTAATCTTTTTTTTTACTTGCAATCGCCCACAATGGCATTGCATTTGGGATGATTGCTATGTATATATAATTGCATACATTTTTAAACAAGGATTAAATAGAAAGTTAACTAAACTTTTTAAAAATCCATATTACACCTGTGTCAATCCTTTACTCCATGCCTCAGAGTGACAACAAAATGCTAAGGGTTCTAATCCTTGTTGAAGTGGAGGTGTGTGCAGATAAAGTGGTTTATATGTGTGGTACTTACTCAGAGGTGCAGAGGTGGTGGTGGTCAGAGCCGCTCAAACCAAAATGACCCCAGGACTGGTCTGACCACAGCCCAACAGAGAGACTCTGCCAATTACTGATTACCGGATAAAACTTTGAACCAATCACAGCTTTTGTGAGCATAGTCCTGTGCTTGGTGTGACAAAAGAAATGAGAGGGAAATGGACCCAGGATGTGGCTTCTGTGTGCAGTACTGTCCTGGAAGTGGCTTTTCTGAATGCAAATGCTGGTCGGACCTAAGTGTGGTCAGTGATGTAGCTCAGCCTCACGTCCTGTGCTTTTGTTTGACTCCTCAATATCCACAGACAAAACCTGGACATGTTGGCACACACACATACACATGTACTGTACACACAGGCACGCACACATACACACGAACATGCCCACACTCACTGCGGTTGAGGATTACAAACGGATGGGAGGTAGTATCTTAGAAAACATGCTAGGAATACATTCTACAGTCCCATGCCCATTTGTGTACGTTGAAATAATGGTTATATTTCTAAAATGGAACTTATTGGCTTGTTTCAGGTTTGCCCTGGGAGATGCTCGCAGACCACTTCAGGATACCGCTGCTCTGATGGAGGACATTGTTCACACTCAACTCATCACTTTGGTAATGAACAAGGATTTTTTATAATTGAGTGTAACTATTACACAATTCCTTTTAATTTAGCCATTATTGTTGTTTCTGTGGTGAACAATCAGTAATGAAGTGGTGAGATCTGTCATCCAGCCTCATCCCCATGCAGAAAACCTGAGAGCTTGTACTATCACTTTAATGAGTGACCTGTTTTCAGCTACATTTGGCCAGTGAAGCAGCAAGCCTACGGGGGTCAAGAGTCATATCAGTCGAGGACATTATTTTTGTGATGAGAAGAGACAAAGTAAACACACATCCATTTACAATACTACGTTTTTGAAACAATTACACTATAACTGGTTTGTGTTCCAGAGAAAGGTGGCCAGATTATTAAAATACCTCCAGTTCAGGGATTATAAATCTAAACTCTTAAAAAGTCTGGATGAGGATGAGTCACAACCAGATTCAGGTAAGACATGAGTTCCCCCTGATTATTTTAGTTGATTAAATTTGCAGCTATACTTATTATTTTCTAATATTAATGCATTTGTTTTATGCAGCACGGCTTTAGACACTGAAAGATAGATATATGCTTTTACAGTAGCCACAGCTGCCCTGGGGCTGTTTGACTTAAGTGAGACTTATAATTTGACCTCCCACTAATCATTCACACACACACCAGACTCGTGCTGTACTAGTTCAAAACTAGGATTATAACCTAGCTTTGACACTGGGTAACAGTGTAACGTCTTTTGCTCTTGTGCAGACAGGTGGGGCTCCATCTCCTCAGGGGGAGCTCATCGCAGGCAGCGGCTGGCCCAGGACTACCTGCTGTGGATGGACCAAACTGGAGAACTACTGACTCTGGCTGAAAAATCAGAGTTGGACCCAGTGAAACAGGAGCGCCTGGAGGTCAGGACTCGGCCGAAGCCTCTTGCCTGCTTGAGCTGCAGCTGCTAATGGTCTCTCTACTATTCCAGCGCTTAGAGCGGCAAACACGACACATGGACCAGGCTCAGTATTCAGAGTTCTGCGAGAGCCGTCAGCTCAGTTTTGGTATGACGTTTTCACAAATCTGTTAAGTCAATGAACAATTTCAGTGTTTTCTTGTACATGTTAGTAGTCACCAACATTATTCTCCTATTTCAAAGCAAAAAAGGCCTCAAAGTTTCGGGACTGGTTGGATTGCAGCAGCTTAGAGCTGAAGCCAAACACTGTTGCCATGGAGATCCTGTCCTACTTGGCCTATGAAACTGTTGCCCAGGTATGAATAAAACACATCAGAATTACTCTCCTCCGAAAAAGGAATGGGGTTCAGTTTTGGATCCAACTTGTTGCTAGAGTTGTTAGATCGAGTTTTCATGAAACAAGGAAGAGAATGTGTTTCGGGTCCCGATTATGACCAATCACAGCGGACCACTGGCCCCCACTTTCTTGAGAAAAGCTACAGGTCTCTGGTTAGCACAGACAGCCGAGTTAGCACAACAAGAGGCGGAGGCTAACCTGAACCTTCCCGTGTCTTTGTTACTGCTTACACAGCGAAACAGCCATCCAAAAGAAAGTCTCGTCCTCTCCGCGCTTCCCGGTTCTGTCATTCTATGGTCACGCCATCCACGTGCAAAAGTGCCATATTGTTCCATATTGTGAGACGCTAGCTCCAAAGCTAACAGCACAGAGCACAGGCTGAGGGAGAGGGGGGCGAAAGCTCCGTGGGTGGGGGAAGGGCGAGCAGAGAGAGCGAGGCCAGCGCTGCGTTTGAAAATGTCTGTTAGTGCAGCTTTAAGAAAGATGCTATGATACTGATCTAATAAGCTAATAATGACCCTCGGGCTGCCTAAGGGGGGGTGCCAGATCATCTGTACTCATCAGAATCATTTGTACCGTGAACCCCTTTTTTCCAGATTGTAGATGTGGCTCTGCTGGTGAGACAAGAAATGACAGGAAAGATTGATGCTGTGAGTCACGTGATCAGTGCAAGCCATATTCAGTACCAACTACCACACGAGGTAAATTAAGCCCAATGCCCCATTCTCAGTCTTTCTCAACTAATATGAAACTTTGCTTCACCCTAATTCTAAAAAGGTGAAGAAAGATCCAGATTCCCCTGAAGCCACTCCCCCATCCACTCCAGGCTCCTCCCACAATACAAAGTCTCTATCCCAGGGCAACGGCAGCCTGGACGGACGCACAAGGCAGAGGAAACGCAAAAAGGTGAGAAACCATTAGAATACTTTATTGGACTTGTTGGATGGTGTACATATCCTGATCAAAGCAGTTTCTGTGACACTGATTTTGTGGTATTTCAGAGTTCTCCAGTGGCAGCAGACCCACAGAGTGGAGCTCTACAGCCCTGCCATATCAGAGAGGCCATTCGCCGATTCAACTACAGGCACATGGTACCGTCCACAACTACACGGATATGAGATCATGCACACAACTATGTAGTCTTCAAACTAAACTCAGTATTAACCTTAATGCTTTAATGCTACTCCCTTTTTTTTTCTCCAGAATGGCTGTGGGAAGAATGGAATGGCTTTTTGTCTTCTTAAATGATTGTATGTAATTGTTTTTTAAATAAAAATTTGACCTGATTTATATACATTTTAAGACTTTATTGGATAATACACAAAGGAAACATTTGTATTGTGACGTCAATGATCTACTTGAGGCTGATTCCAGATCTGAATGACTACATTCTCACAGATTCTTCAGAGACATTGGGCTGTAGACATGTTTGCAGCTTGAGGCTGAAATCACCTCAGTACTTTTGGGCACTGTTCAGAATAGCTTCCCGCTCTAATACTAGCTCTCCATATCTCTGCTGCAGTTCTTTTTCACGCTCCATCTGCCTTTCCACATCTTCTCGCAGTGCCTGAAACAACATTATGTTAGAGCTCTCATCACCAGGTTGAGGAAACCAGATTCACAGTACCTCCAGTCTCCGAGGGATGGCTGTATCTTCTTGTGTTTTGAGCTGAGTGAATGTTTGAAGCTCTGTGGCTGCTTGCTCCACCTGAGAACAAGTGTATAAGTCAATGTATACACTGACGACATTAGCACTGCCATTTGTTCACTCTGATCAACTATAATTAATAGACAGAGACCCTCTCACCCCCAGGACAACAGGACAGAGACCCTCTCACCCCCAGGACAACAGGACAGAGACCCTCTCACCCCCAGGACAACAGGACAAAGAACTTTATGTATTGCAATTTTGCAATAACACAATTTTCAGCAAATGTAAAATATGGGGTGACAGTGGCTCAGTTGGTAGAGCATTGACCTTTGAGCCTGAAGGTTGTGGGTTTGAGCCCATCAAAAGACCTTCTCCACCGACTCCCACTGATATCTGTTGTTGTTGCGTCCTTTGCCTGAAGCGCCTGCTGAAACATCAGCTCCTGTGGACCCACCACCTGCAGGAGGATCAGTGAGGGGCTGGTGTTCTGTGTACTGGGTGCAGCTCTGACTGCCCAGAAATGGAAGAAGATGGATGGATGACAAAAGATGTGTGTGCTGAGGACAAACCTGTTCCCATAAGTCGTTGTGCTGCTTGAGGAGTCCTAATGCTCGGGACTGGAATCCTCCCAAAAGGATTTTGAGTTTCTTTTCCAGTTTAGCCGCTCGGCGAGCCTCTGCAGTCATGTGACCACGATTCACCTGGACATCAGAGGGATATTTCATTATGTCTTAAATTAATCTTGCCAACAAGGAACCATACCTCTAGCCTTTTCTCTAAGCTCTCAACTCGATCTTTCTTAGAAGCCAGGTTAGCTCGGGTGAACCTGTTTTGAGCTGGAAGGTACAGCACCTAGAGGAAAAGAGATTGTTTTTTTTTTGTCTTATTGATGCACAAACACAGCATGGAGTAGAGGTTACCTGTCCATAGCACTCTTCCCAGACCTGGCTGTATGCTTCCATACTGAGGTCACCATGGCCCATTCCCACTTTCACCACCTCCATTTCAGAGGCAAGAAGAGCTTTGGCCTAAAACAGAAAAGTTAAATCAAATAATTTTTTTTGTTTAAAATAAGCAGCAAGTGTGTCATTGTGTTGGTGAACATCACAAACAGTGTTTGACATTCTACATACAGTAGATCAGTGTTTTTCAACCACTGTGCCGTGGCACACTAGTGTGCCGTATGATATTGTCTGGTGTGCCGTGAGAAATTCGTCTACTTTGTCTAAAAATAACTGCATTCGCTGTTGACGAGCAGTGACTTGTTTTGAACTGTGGAGTAACCATGTAATACTTTTTCAAATCAGTAGATGGCAGCAGATAGCTAAGTACTTTGAAACTGAAAAATTGGATGCGACCACTGGCTGTAACAGGTCAGCATTGTGGCGAAAAAGGTAAAATTGGATGCGACCAACAAATGTGGGAGGGAGCGAGACAAGAGCTTTGTGGCGAGTGAGAAGTGAAAGTGATAGAGACGTTTTTGAAAATGAATTATGCCGTTTCTGAACAGGATTAACATCCTCTGCTCTGCCCCGGGGCAGCTGTGGCCGCGTTGTAGTGGTTTAACTATGAAATGTACAATTTTTGTACAACAGCTCTCGCGAACGCACTTCTGAACTGGGTACCGAGCGCAGACCGTAGTCGAGTGGACAGAACCACAGACATGCGGACCGGACAGAACCATGGACTCGCGTTCAGGACCTCCCGTGTCCCTCA